CCCCCGTCTCCCCAAACCTAGATAGAATTAACCAAAGTAAACAGGACAACCGCCGCCCAGTAAACGGCGACGGTTTCGGGGTAGGTTTCTACACGGACGCGAAACTGGGCCCAGAGCCGTGCATCTTCACCTCAACAATCCCAGCCTGGAACTGCGAGAACCTAGAGCGGCTGGCCTCCAAGACGTGCTCGAACCTAATCTTCGCGCATGTGCGCGCAACGACGGAAGGCACGCTGTCGGACACAAACTGTCACCCGTTCCAGCACCGCACGCTGATGTGGATGCACAACGGCAACGTGGGCGGGTGGCAGTACATTAAGCGGGCGCTGGCGGACTCGCTGGCGGACAAGTGGTATCTGGGGGTGAAGGGCGGCACCGACAGCGAGTGGGCGTTCGCGCTGTTTCTGGACCTGCTTGAGAAAGAAGGCGTGGATCCCAGCTGTGATCCGGGGCCGGAGGGGTTCGGGCAGGCGCTGCTGCGGCGCGTGATGGTCAAGACGATCGCGCAGATCAATGCGTTCATTAAGGATATTCCGACGCGGCATCGCGGCGTTTCGAATGTCGAGACGCGCAGTTTGTTGAACTTCGCCGTCACGGATGGTCATACTGTTATCTGTACGCGGTATATCAGTAGTAAGACGGATGAGCCGGCTAGTTTGTATTTCTCGTCTGGCACGAAGTGGACGGAGGGCAAGGGCCAGGGCCATTTTAAGATGGAGAGGCATGATAAGGGTGCGGATTTCGTGCTTGTCGCGAGTGAGCCTATAACCTTTGAGAGACGTGAGTTCTGCCCGTCCCTTTTTCTTTGCTAAAATCCGGGTGGGTGAATGGTGGGTTAATATTGGACTAGATAATTGGGTGTCTGTGCCTGCGAACTCCATCGTCACCATCCACAAGCAGACTGTCATGTTGCATCCCATCATGGATGAGTTCTACGTCGAGGACTCCAACCAGGACCGCTCCTCGTGCTATGCCGTCTCCAAGGGCCTGGTCAGCACCGCCCCCGGCACCACCGTGCAACCCCAGAATGCCGACCCCGGAAATCCCAAGCCGCCGCCGCTGGACATGAGTCGTGCGAACCAGTGCGCGGTATCTCATTGACGGTAGCGTTGTTTTGCGGGTAGTCATTCCTGGATTTTGTGTGCGGGCCAGCCGGCTCGATGGGTGGGAGTGCAACCGGAGTCATTTTGGCGTGGAGTTGGTGATGTTACTTTATGGACTTTTTTCGGGGATTTCGACTCAAGGGACTTCTACATTCTTCATTCACACTATATCGCAAGATTGTCTAATCACGGGTTTTGAAATCGAATTATCACTATTATCATGCAAAGAAGTCGCTATGCTAAAATTAGACTATCAATACGAAAGCGTATTGTTGTATGTACAGAGCGATCAATAAGCCGCTCGAGTATAATCAAGGTGTAACCGGTCAGAAAAGCGGAGAAGTCTCCAGAACCCGGCTCATGAAAGCCATTCTGTCACCGACATCATCAGATGTCTTCACCAGATATGTTCGCATGCTTGAAGTACTTCATCCCGACCCACGCGACAACCACCCACACCCAGGACATGACCGCCGTCAAGATGATCAGAGCAGGATAGTACCCGACAATAGGCAAGGTAGGATCGTCCTCCAGCTCCGGGGGGGCGTACGGCGTCTCCCCGACATCCCACGCCCAGCTCCAAACCCCAAAGCAGCTCCCCATTCCCACGACGAACACCAACCACGTCACGATCAGGATGATCCACCCCCACCACTCGGTCTCTGAATAGTCCCAGACCATCTGCGAGCTGGTAGCCATGTCCACAGTGTGTGTCGCCAGCGGGGACTTGGCCCGATGCAGCGCCCGGTACGTCGGATCCGTCTGCAACGCATAGTACGATTCGGAGGTCGACGAGGCAGCCGGGAGGCGGAGACCGGTCGGGGAGGACGAATGTGATGCGGTGGTGGTGGTGTTGGAGCGCGGGAAGGAGATGATATCTTCGTCGTCGGTGGTCATCTCGTCGCCGACGCCGAGGAGGTTGTTCTTCGGCTGGCGTTGCGCGGGCGGGGGCGCGGCCGTGGCCGTCCGGGCCCGTTGCGGTGCATCCATCAGCGTCCATGCTGCATCCGTCTCATCTCCTGCTTGAGCGAGAGTCCCAGGTGGAGTATTTTCAGTACCGTCGGGCGACACGGTGTCGGCCAGGTATAGCATCCGCGGGCTGGTGGAGGAAGAGGGTAAGGGGGTCGGGGTCGGTCCCGTTCCCGTTCCCGGTCGCAGCAGCAGCTGCTGCTGCTGCTGTTGTTCGATACCACCACTGTCCCCTCGCAACACATCGCTTGGCACCCTTGCAGTTTTCTTGTCTCGGTAGTCGAGCCGGGTGCCCAAGAGGGCAGTTTTGCGTAGGGAGCCCCGTCTTCGTCGCGTCCTCCGGTGCTGCTGGATCGCATTCGACATCGCCCGCCCGCCCCGGAGGCCGGAGGTGAGCTCGTCGCCGTCGTCGCGCTCGAGGCCCGAATGGCCTCGCTCGGCCGTGTTTTGGGTCGCTTGAATCATTCGAAGAAAGGATAGCCGAGATAGCAAGGAGCCCGAGGTGCTGCGCTTGTGTCCGCTGCTTGCGCTGCCCGAGCGCATGCGCCCGGAGAGCCGGTCATTGCCGTCCAGCGAGAGTGCCGCACCTTTGCTATTGCCTGCATCTTCCATTGGCGCAAGCTGGGGCGCGACTAACTGACTTCTATCACGTCCACATCCAGTAACCAAAGAAGAACGTCGGCGGGGATTATCATCAGTCGTGGCATAAACGTCGGTAAGAGAAAGGGAGGACGGGGGTGAAGGAAAAGGATGAGGGGGGCGGGCATTGGCCAAGAAAAGGGTCCAGGCGGTGGGTTGCAGAAAGAGCTTCCGACTTAGTCGCAGTTGTCTCCCCACCGTGGACCGTGGACTCGAAGGACTCGGGTACAACTTGGGGTTTACCTCTTTTGGTGCAGCCTAGATACGGACTTTCGAGTGCAAGCGACTCTTCCCTTGGAAATCGATGGCGAGAGACCTGGATCTGAACAGTCAACAGAGTTATGCCTAAAATGCCTAGAGTGCATAACGAGGCGAATGAACAACTCTGACAGTTATCTGACAGTTACAGGTACATGATTGTTTACGAGGCAGACTCACACCTTACCCCATGCAAATCGGAACCAATCTCCCGAATGCCAACATGAAAGGTACATCATCAGGTGGGTACGACTTCAGAATACTAAGAGCCCGAAGTTGAAATTTCGACTGGAAGAAAGTCACCTGAACAGATAATGGTATCACAAACTGAGGACGATGCCAACCAACCCACCCGACAAGGCGAGTAGAAAACAACAAACAAGGTATCCATCGGATCAATAAAGCTGCTCAAAAGGTACTCTGAAAATGGCAACAAGCTGCGGCTTCTGAAAGATGGAAACACCAGAAGAAAGCGAGAACCATGGCCTACACAGCCAGAATCACAGAGAACATCGATCTCCAGCAGGCTGTGCTTATACATACTAACCATACGACACAGACCAGCAACTATTTATTCAATAATAGACCAAGGAAAAATGGCAAGGATAGAATGAGAATGGTGAGTACTTTTGGTTTAGTCCGCAGAACGCTTAAGTGAGAAGCCCAAGAAGCTTAGCCTTTGATCAAAGTTGCGCGCATTCGTTCAAAGAAGACAGCATATGGAAACTTGGAGTCAACAGAGCGGATTGGGGGTATTGGGTGTACGATAACACACAAATTTCATTTCAAAAAAGAAGAATGGAGAATGGGAGATGCGCTGTAGAAACCCCCCCGTGTAGGGGGCAGTCATGAAGAAAAGGTAAAAAAAAAAAAGAAAAGAAGGGAGAAGCAGTAGTGAAAAGACAGCAACACTGAAATGTAAAGTATTAAGAAGAACGGAAGAAAGGAAACGAAGGGTGTATGCTTAACGCTTTTGCCGGGACAGGCCGCCGACGACACGTGCAGACTTCAGAACCATGCGGCAGGATATATTGAAGACAAGGCTACGCTTGATAGCCACCGAAGCCATTGCCAAAGTTGGCATTGTTTGGCTGGTTCCAGCCAGAGGCTGGGGTGCCTTGGCCGCGGCTGTAACCCGCATTACCAGGAACTTGGCCATAGCCTTGGCCACCCATTCCGGACTGGTCCCATCCTCTACCGGCTGGGTTTGGGCCTGGAGCCAGAGAGTTAGCGGGAGCCCCCACATTAGAGCACAAACGAGCTACCTTGAGGGGTCATAGGTCCCCCGGGACCGGTGTACTGAGGGAAGTACGGAGTGGGACTAGAATTGAAGGGCGAGCTGGCTTGCTGGCCAGAGAAGTTGTCAAACTGGCCAGTAGGAGGACGATCCTTGCCCCACTGTGATCACTAGTTAGCGAAGGGACGACTGCATAGATGCCTCGGGACACATACGCTGCACTTCAGAGGGCGTCCGTTGACGTTGTAGCCATTGAGTTGGCAGATAGCCATGGCGGCATTCTCATGCGTATCCATCTTGATGAAGGCAAATCCCCGGTCCGCCTGCAGACGAGTCTCGAGCACGTAGCCAAAGTTCTGGAAGAGCGGCACCAGGTCATTCTGCGTGGTGTAAGGGGTCAAATTACCCACATAGCACGTGGTCTGCCACTGCGGGGTTTGCGAGACGACCATGTCGTAGCTCTGGATGCCATGGGTCGGGAAATGATGATGTTGCCCGCCGTACTGTGCCGTCGTAGGGGTCATGCCCATTGCGGCCATGGCCTGTTGCTGGGAGATCGAGGGCTGTCCCTTCTGGTTGGCCCAATTGCAGCGGATTGCACGAGAGCCAAGCCACTCGCCGTCCATGGAGTTCAATGCCTTGTCAGCATCGGAGCGATCACGGAACGCAACGAAACCGTAGCCTCGAGAGCGACCAGTCTTCATATCCCACATGACGCGAGCCTCGGACACGGAGCCGAAGGCAGAGAAGGCCTGCATAAGTACCTCATCGTTGACTTCATTGCTTAAGTCACCGACAAAAATGTGAAAATGGCCCGAGGTATCTTCCTTGTTCGTATTGTTGGACTGGTAGGCCCAGTTGACACGAATCTCCTGCGCAGGAAGAAAGCGACGTGTCAGTACCCGTCGAAGCAAAGAACCACAAGTCCATTTAACCATACCGATTGGTGAATCCGACGACCATTGAGCGTCTGCATGGCCCTCTCAGCAGCCCCTGGGTCATCAAACTCGACAAAGCCATAGTTATAGCCTTTGCTGCTGAACTTCTGTGACTGTTAGTAGGAAGGATGAGCGTGCTTCAATAGAATGTAGGCGCGGAGACCGCCAGAGGCCAGTGGGGAGGAATGGAAAGACCTACGTTCTTGTCAGGGATAATCTTGACGCTGAGGACATGACCAGTGGTCTCGAAGATTTGTTTCAAGATATCCTCAGTTACCCGAGGGTCAAGGCCACCGACATAGAGGGCTCTTTTGTTTGGCTCAGGGGCCGCCCGACGCACGAAGCCACCCGCACTGGTCGGCGACATCATATTGCCAGACATCGGAGATGTGATAGCAGTCGGAATGGGATTGGTGTTTTGGGGAATCACCACGGGTGGGCGGGGAGGTGGTGGCATGTGGGAAGGATTGGTTTGACCATTGCCTTGGGATGCATCGTACTGTTGGTTGGAGGCAACGGTCGAAGATTGGGGGGGAGGGGGGAGGGTGGTAGCGGTCGCAGCGGAGACGTTGTCGGCCATTGTTGACTGGGGGAGTGAGGGGGGTCACGAGATGGACGATAGAGGACGATCACGGAACAAACAAACGGAGAGCTGCAAGGCGAGCAGGCGATGGGAAAGCGTTTGACGAGACCACGGAGAGTGGATATGCAATTTCTGAGTGACGGGACGATGCAGGGCGTTACGCAGTCAAATTTAGAGTAGGCGAAGGCGGAAGAAGACGCGGGGGTGTGTGTGAGTGGGTGGATGGTGGTGGTGTTGGTGAGTGTTTGATCAAAAGGTCCAGGACAGAGTGGTAGTAAACGGGGGACAGGCGCTAAACTAGATTGTTCAAGAAAAGCACAAAGTACGAGCGAGCAACAGATGTTGAATCGGACGATTGCGGTGCCAGTAAACTGATGATGAAGAGGAGAGGTGTCGTGAGGGACTGGAGGGTGCTGAAAAGCAAATAAGTGAGACCCGAGCCGGCTTTCTCAACCACGACCCCAACAAGTCGCAGCTTTTAAGGTCCGGGATGACAGCTGACGGGGAATGAGGAATAAGACAGAGGAGGGGGAAAAAGCTGACAGTTGGAAGAAAAGGCAGAAAAGGAAAAAAAAGGAAAAGAAAGGGGACGGAAGGGAAGAGGAACCAGCAATGACAGGTTGAACGAAGAGAGACGCGGATGAGAGTTGAAGGGAAATGGAGGAGGAGAAGAAGGAAGAAGAGTCGAAGACAAGACAGGGGAAGAAAAGCTGGTGCAGTGCAGAGGTTGGATGGATCTGACCTGACGGGGAAGGTTTGGATGGAGACAGACCTAAAAGAACGAGGAGATTGTTTGGGATGGGATCAACTGGTAAGTAAGGACAGGACAGGACAGGTCAGTTCAGGTCCAGTCCACGGTAACTAATTCACTAACTAACTACTCACCTGTAAAGGTAAGGTCGAGAGCCGCTCCGGACCTTTTGCTAGGGAGGGGCGCACTTAGCCTTACTGCGTTAGTCCCCCATTGACGGGCTGCTCCTCCTGGTCTTTTTTGTCTGTCTTTGCCGCAAAAGCCAAACACTTTGAGGGCGCTTAACTTCCACCTCTTCCAATCCATCCATTCTCTCCCTCTCCTTGTCAACTATCTACCTCCCTCCCCCGCCTTCCTTCCCCCGGACTCGCACCTACTCCTCTATCCCCGTATTCATTCTCATAACTTACTTCCTTGATATAGTGTCACCTGCAGTGAAGCGCCCTGCCCGTTTCTGTTTGGTTCTATTCTTAGTTCTCTCCGTTGATACCCCCTCCTCCTCCTTCCCTGTCACTTCCACGCGGACCTCGGTCCAGTTCATTCAATTGGCTATCGGACCCGCCGTACAGGGAGTATAATCCCTCACGGGGTCGCTAACATCCCGGGCTGAATCACATCTCGTAGGGGTTTCAGTATCGTACCCCATCGCCCCCCAGTTGACGCTGCAAGATCCGCACATCAGCGCGCGGCTTAATTACCCCAAATCCATCGTCAACACAGCCCAGGTCGCAACAGCTGCGGCATCATGGCGGCCACCGATTTTTCGAACCCCGACTCCCTAGATGTGTTAACCACCACGGTGAACCAGACGGTAATTTTCTCGAGTCCAACTGCTTTCTCTGATACAAACGACAATCCCTGACAACTTGTAGCTCGTTGACACAGCCCGGTTCTTCAACTCGCATGAGAAATCGCAATATAGAGCACAGCTCAGACGCTCGATCCCTGTCGCTCATGAGCAATTCCAGATCGCCCTGGACAACCTATCGGAGCAGATAGTAAGAGCTATCCTCCCTCAATTCAGTCTTCTGAGGGTGCACTAACCACCCCGCAGTTCATTGCCAAAGCGTTTCTGGAGAGAGACTATGAGGCCATCAAAGCGCGAAAGGCCGCACTGCATCCTGCTCAGGACTCCGTCATGCGCGATGCGGCCTTGAAGCCGGAGCCAGAACTTGCTCCCCAACCTCATGTATCACCAGTTGTAGCCACGAAGATGGATGCAATCAAAGCCGAGCCGGCGGAAGATGCACCCGTGTCGAAGCCGCAGATCGAGCAGGACCTTACTCAGCCCGCCTTGGCCGATCAAGTGATTAAGGAAGACAAGGCCGATGACGGCACTTCCGCCCCTGCAATCTCCGGACAGCCTTTCACCGGCCCGGACGAACTCAACTTCGATTCAATGCTCAATGACAATCCTGGTCCCAATGATTTTGACCTGAACCTAGACTTTGGAGATGACGAGGTTGGCAATGATGATTTTCTTGCCGGCTCACATCTGGTTCCTGCCAGTTCTGGCAACGAAGGCAATGATCAGTCTGGCAATGCTACCACCGGCTTGGCTGGCACTGACAACCTGACTGGTACTATGCCTACGGGCGGAGATGCCTTTGATTTGGAATTACAAAAGGCTGAGGCATTTTCCACCCAAGTCGACACTTTGACTGGACCACCGTTAGATGGTCAGGGAGGAGGTGGCCTTGAAGATGTTATGGCGCCAGGAGAGTCCAGCTTCGATGACCTTTTCATGGAAAACGACACGTTTGGAGGGGACGGTGCCGGTGACGCGGGTCTAATAGATGGGGATGAATTGGTGGATATCAATGAGTTGGATGACAGCTGGTTTACATGATCGCCAAGTCCTGGGAAGCGATAGCCGGATACGTGCGGCTCTGGATGCGGGTTAGATGGGACCACATTCTGCATTGGGGTCAAAAATTCAGGCAAATCTACATTGGAGCGTTCCCTACCAGCTTTGGTAATCAGATAGGCCGAACAGCATCTGTTTCACCGCGCAAACCCCCGCCCTACCGAGTTCCCGGCGGGAGACCCTCCGAAGTGTGTCAGGTCCATTCCTGCCTACTGCCGAGCAACCAATCGGTAAGCAGAGATCCACCCTGTAAGGGGCCCCGGTACGGTACCTCCCCCCGACGGTCCTGACTGACTACGCGATGACGCAAGGTACGTCAGAGGTAGGCGACCAAAGTTAATCTCCGTTCCCAAGTGACAGCCAGATGCTCCACGCCTAAGGTGGATTAGCTCTGCTGCGTTTGTCCGGTCTTGGTATGCAGCTAGTCGGTGCTTGGTTCCTGATTGAACTACGGGGCATGCTCCTGATCGGCTGAATTGGATGCCACGAACTGGTACTCGGGTTGGCCATCATTTGGCTTAGGTGTTGCCCAAAGCAGACACACTGGCAGAAAATCTTGCGCATCGTTGCTAGCTAGAGTGTCTTTAAGAATGGACCGACTGGCGTACCTGCTCACCCACAACAGGAGTATCTGAAGTCAAAGTAAAGTCAACATTACTGGATAATGATGTCATGGCAGCTCAGCCTATGGGAATTGTCGATGGAAGTGAGGGCACGTCTCGAACTGCGACTAGAATTCCCCCTTGTCATGTTGATGTTCGCCGTGGATGGCAAATCGTCAAGTGCGGGTGGAATGGGGCAGATGGGTCGATGGGTCGATGGCGACAGCAGACTGTAATCACATTCGTGGATGTCAAGCCACAGATGATGAGGTTCTAGTCATCATCTCTGCTGTGATTAGATAAGGGAAGTGCAGGGGGGTAAATTGCTCTCCGTGTAGAGAGCCGACTATCCGGTCCAGATAGGAAGTACTATATACAATCTGCTGGCAATCACGGCTCGGTAGGGTTCGGCTTTAGTTGAACGATGGGTGGTGGTGGTGGTGGTGGTAAGGGTGGCGGCCACATTGTGTTTATAGCAAAGTCGGAGAACGGAAGCTTTCCCGGGATCAGACCATGGATCCTCAAATAGACTTCTCGATCGTCTCTTCAGTCGGAATCGATCTTCGGTCAGCACCAGAATGATCCGACGGGAACTCTTTTATGTAGTCACGAACAAGCCAAAGCAATCAAGAGGATGGGGAAGCGGGGGAAAGGGGGGGGGGGAGAGGAATGGCAGGGCGAGGCGGCAAGGGCAAGGGCAAGGGCAAGAAGATTGAAGGAGGGGAGAGGAAGAAGGGCTTGTCATTGGGATTGAGTGAGTGAGTGAGTACTCAGTAAGAGAGAGAGATCTTCTCCCCACTTCCGCCCGACCCGATGATATCACCACCGACCGCCTTGCTCTTGCCGGCCAAGGATCCCCGCATTGACAACCGGACACATTGTCTTCTTCTTTTCCTCCGTTATTGGATGTGTTCTCTCACAACACAAGGCTCTCAGGCCTTCACCACTTTGGACATGTGGACCTGTCCACCACGCGAGTACTTCTTGATTCTCTACCGGGATTAGCTTTTCTGCCTAGTTAGCCTCTTGTGATTACCACTGCTAGTACTAAGTACTTACTACTAGGTAACTACCATGAACTGATGAGGTCAATGAGCGAGCATTAAGTGGTCATCTTATGACCGTGCTGGCCTGGCCTGGTGGGAGAGAAGGCTGTGCCGGACTACCCGCACACTACCGACCAGGCTGGCTAGACTGGCTAGACTGACTATCTTAGTAGCCATCAGATTGACTCTCCTGGACTGCGCAGTACTAGGAATAGTTAGTGAATGGGACTACGATTATAGATAGATACCGAACCACAAGGACGTCAGACGTCACTGCCCCTTCATACATGTTCGAGACCTCACCTACTAGTGTCCTGCGCGATGAAATCCCCGAAACTCGGCTGGATTCTCTCTCTCTCTCTTCCCTCATTCGCATGAAGCATCGGTCTCCCAATAGGTCGTTTACTCATCTTACCACTTTAAGCGACGAATGGGATTGTTGTTCCAGCGTGTAAGACACGAGGTAGTCCCGGGGGAACGAGGGGGAAGTGTATCGCATCACCTGACTGCTCCATCCAATCCCAACTCGGTCCGAGGAGATGTCGGGAGTGCATGAAGAAATGAATTCATGGTTCAACTTGATGCATCCGCTGGAGACTAGACGAGACGGAAAAGAGTTAAATAAAAATCCAACAGAAAACGAGTAACAAAAAGGCCTTCCAACCAGTTCAGGCAAGCGTAGTAACGGATCACCGGATATGACTGATCCTACCAGCTTTTCCTTCCTCCGCGTCATCGTTTCTTCTGGTCGACAGTCGGATTCCTCCTCGGACACATTTAAGGATCTTGTGCCCAAGGAACGGTATCCGCACCGCCTCATTCTGGTCTTGTCGGTGTTGTGTGTTGTTGTCATCATCATCGATCTTCCCTTCCTCTCTCTCTCTCTCTCTGTGAATAAACTGGGACTACTAATTACTACGAACGACTACTCGTATTTCCGTTCCCTGCCCCTTCCTCGATCCCTCCAAGGCTCCCCCGTCGTATCCCCGCATTATCGGCGCTTCTGGCCTTGTCCTTCCTTCACTTGCTGAAAGCGGTGATCATTTCTCCTCCGACTCTCCTCCACGTTCGACACGCTTTCCCCTCTATCGATCCCAATCATATCTCCGATCATCTCTTACCTTCTCCATTGATTGCGACTCTTGCGACCGAGGTGTGTGCGTGTACCAACCATCAACCCAACCACGACGTGTAAAGGAAAATCGCTCCTTGCCGGTGTCGATCATCGCCCCAACCTAGTCAAGATCCAAAACACCCCGAGAGAAAAAAAAATATTATTAGTATTCACCAGTGCAGGGCAACCAAAAAGCCAAAAGAGAACCCAACCCCAATATCCACTGGTCGCACGAATGCTTGCATTGGCTCTGTGCGTCAAACACTGGCTCTGCTACTAATCAGAATTGTCCCCATCCCATAATCCTCACGGCTGCTGCTGGGATTCGACTAGTATATTACTTTTTCCTCTCTTAAGAGTAAGTCCTTTTCTTTTTCCAGAGTCAAAATCGTGCTTACTTTTTCTTATTCTTCTTCCTCTCTTTCTTTTCTTCCTCTTGCTACATTCTTCTCGCATCTACCGGGTCGTGTGTCTAAGTGACTCTCACTTTTCATTACACCTGGTCTCCCTTGATGGTCCTGTCCTGTCTTCTCTCCTCCGTCCCTCCCTCCATACTTCCGTTTTCCGCCACAACTATTCTCAAATTACTCTCTCCCTCTGCGCGCTCTTATTATCTTTGACCTTTTCTAAACTTGGGGAGAACGACAATTCGAACGTCCAAGCTTGTTCACTTCACCCCACCCAAATAATGCCTATTGACTGCATCGTCCTTTGTGCACAATGACGGCTCACGTTTCTCATCTACCACAGGTTCTTCTGGGATCGGTTACCAGTCCCGGTGGTACAATCACCCAATTCCCCGACGGTGCGCCCGAGTCAACTCCGTTTCACGTGGGATCTGATCGGCGTCCATCGCTCGAGACATCGACCCTTGCTAGCGATACTAGTTCCACCGTCGGGCAATCGTCTAGACGAGGCTTCCGTCGTCGCGCCTCGATCCTTAAGAGATTGGCGGGTCCGCGGGAAAACGCAAAGCGTCTCTTCGGCTTGGGGTCCCTGATCCACTCTGCGCCCTCTACGCCACCATCGCCCCCTCTTCCTCCCCCTCCCCCTTCTGCCTCAATGACTCAAACACATCGTCCTCGCCCCGTGTCTGAGATCGTTTTGAATCCCGACAATGCCACAATGCTCTCTACCACCGGGTTAAGAGTGGGCAGACTGCGCTCGCATTCTTCCTCCACCGTGTCTTCCACCCAGCCTTTTCCGGCTTCCGCTCATTCCGTCCCCGCATCGGATCCGGCCGTGCCGTTCCCTGCTCTACGCAACGAGAAGATAGTCGCCACAGGAAGCGGAATCTCCGTCGGAATCGCCCTCACGGAGCCAGTGCTATACCTGCAGGGTTACGATCAGAATGACCCAAGTACCAAGAAATCCGCCATCCTCCGCGGACAGTTGCACCTGAAAATCACCAAAAGCGTGAAGGTGAAGAAGATCTCGATCTGTTTCCGTGGACATGCGCAAACCGACTGGCCGGATGGTAAATATCTCTTTCCTCTCGACATCTAACATTCATTATGCAGATTCTCTGACAGATGACTTTTGTACCCAGGCATTCCACCCAAGAAAGTGCACTTCCACGACAAGAAAGATCTGGTAACGCATGGAGTGATGTATTTCAACCACGGCGATACGGCACTGATGCAGAATGACTACGGCGCGCATTTCTATCAGCACGCTAAACCCGTGACTTCTGTTACAGGAAAGGACGGTCCGACTCTGATCACTCGCGAGCTGCTTTCCAAGACGGGTTCCTCGACTTCGTTGAGTCATGCGGGCCAGTTTACTGCCAAGGAACTGAAACGACTATCTTTAAGTTCAAACAACTCTCGCAGCTTTGGAAAGAATGATCCGCCGCCTCCGCCGGTCCATCCGCCCCGCAACTACCGCCTCTTCCCCGTTGGCGATTACCTGTACAGCTTTGAATTTCCCATCGATGGATCCCTCCCGGAGACAATCAAGACCGACCTGGGGTTCGTACAGTATGATATTGAGGCGATCGTGGAGAGAGCCGGAGCGTTCCGACCTAATCTGCTGGGCAGCTTGGAGGTCCCGGTGATCCGCACCCCGGCGGAGGGCTCGCTGGAGCAGGTCGAACCGATCGCGATTTCTCGCAACTGGGAAGATCAGCTGCATTATGATATCGTCATTTCGGGAAAATCCTTCCCTCTTGGATCCCAGGTTCCTATCGCATTCAAATTGACGCCCTTGGCTAAAGTCGAATGCCATCGGATCAAGGTTTATGTGACGGAGAATATTCAACACTGGACGGCCGATAAGAGCGTGCATCGCTTCCAGCCCGCGAAGAAAGTGCTATTATTTGAAAAGCGCGCCGACTCTGCCAGCACGAGTACCTATCCAGGTAGCTCGATGCGAGTCACGGCAGGCGGTGGCATCGACTGGGACCACCGCACAGCTGCGGCTCGAGGTGAGGAAGTGGTTGACCGAAACCGCACCAACCTCCTTGGCAATCTTTCCAGCGATTCAGGGGTTGGCCCCACCGAGATGGAGTTCAATGTTCAGCTCCCGAGCTGTCAAGAGATGCGCAACCGCGACGAGTCGCAGCGACTGCACTTCGACACCACGTATGAAAATATCCAAATCAATCATTGGATCAAGGTACGCACTCCCTATTCTGATCATCATGAGTAGTGGTCTAATCTGAATCCAGATTGTTCTACGCCTTTCGAAGGTCGACGAAAGAGACCCTGGCAAGCGAAGGCATTTCGAGATCTCGATTGATTCTCCGTTCCATCTACTAGCTTGCAAGGCCACCCAGGCAAATATCTACCTTCCGGCGTACACCTCGCCGGAGTCGGAGCCAACCCCGCAGGCTCAAGAGTACGAGTGCGGCTGCCCTGGTGCGCCACTGCTCAATCGGGCCGGTTCCAGCCGACAATCGCTGTCATCCGAACGGGATGAACGACCGAATGGAGGCGCTGTCTCCAGAAGTTTCACCAACGGCTCTGGTGGCTTGACTCGACCACCTCAGGCACATTTGGCTGACGAGCCGGTCGACCGACCACCCCGGCCCATGCATCTTCTGCGGGCCCCGTCGTTTGCGCCTCCTGCGTTTGAGGAACTCGAGCCACCGCCACCTCTCGTCACTCCTCCGCCCGAGTACAACACTATCGTCGGAGACAATGACAGAGAGACCGTGCTGCAGGATTATTTTTCGCGGCTTTCCACTTATGAAGAACACGCTGATGACGATCGCGGCCGTGGGCGTGTTGACGTGCCTCTGACACCCGGAGGCCGCGTGAACCGCAGCATGGACGTCCCACGAGAATGGGTACGCCTGGAATAAAAGGCGGTATATCGACCCATGACCGGCCGAATAGTCATGTCTCCATGACATTGGGAAATTACCTCACGACCTTTATGGATTTTTGTCTGATTTTATCGAGAGTACAGGGAAGGACAGGAGTTGGCGAGTCACTGAAAGATACCCTATGAAGCTGTGGAGGCATGTAAGGTGGCTTCCATGGGGAGCATGCGTTCAAACTTACATTTGGATTTCTTGGAAGGGGCGCAGATGGACCGGATATATGGTCGGCGCCTGTCTTGTGTGATTGCATTATCTCAAGCGACCATTCGTTTCTTTCTTTTATTTTCTCTCAATTTATGTATACACTTGGATCGACACTGTCACTTTACTTTTAGATACCACCCTTCAGAAGTCTTGGTTTGAGAATACAAGACGCGATGCCTGGTCGTCGCAACCCACCTCACGTGCCTGCATGGAGTAACTTCAGATAAACCTGTTGCAATCGGGTGTCCTACAGAATGGATCCCTTACAGTGGACTACTGACAGTGCTAGTAGAGCATTGCAGGAGCGTTACTGAATTAGCTTTGATAGTGTACGTCTCGCGGGCTGACAGGTGATCGATAAGGTAAGGCGAAGGAAGGTGGAGAGGGCCGCATGGAGCTGCCTCTTTGGGTCGACTTTCCGCCGCCGATTGTTCTGGCCTTTTTATTCTGGCACTGCCGTCATTCTTCTTACCTCTGTACCACCTTTCTTTTCTTGATCTTGATCTTTTGTTCACACTGATATAGTATCTTCTTTGTCCTTCCCATATCTGGAGATTATCTTATCACAAGGGTCGAACCACGGATTCTCTGAAGTTCACGCCACGAGCTCGGACCGAGCACAGAACAACTTTTGACCTGCAGGTGCTGAGTCAAATCGGTCCGTCTGTATGTACGTTTAATTGCCAGTGAACTAGCTATCGCCCCCAACATAAGCTTACCGGTATGCGCAGTTACTTGCAGTCTGAGGACCAACGGCAAACATGGCCATTGAAGTTGTGCCCCTTACTGAGGCCGACATTCCGGATGCCATTGAGATCATCCAATCGGCCTTCGCAGAGGACCCATATTTCAAATGGGTGTTCGATGCCAACAATGTAAGTTTTGTAAAGTCACCAAGAGTTGTGGGCGCAGATTTGAGCCGTCAAGTCTACAGTATCTGCTTAGCTTAACTGTGATGCGATGCGCAAGGGGCTCCCCCCCCTTACCCTGGGTCTTGCTTCAATGGTTCTGTCACTTCCTCACCGAGGATAGTACCTCAACAACGGGAATGAGAATTAAGTAAACAAGAGTGGAAAAGCTAATCAGTCTTCCCCATCTGACGTGGTTGCGTGGCCGGATCTCTCGTCGGCCAAACGTTGCTCGTCATGTGAGGGATGCCAATTTGCAATATAGTTCAATAAAGCGAGAAACCATGATTCTCTTGCTGTGCGGTGCCGCTGGGGCATTGACAACGCCATCTTCCAAGTCGCCAAGGAGACGCCACCGTACCCCGGTGACAACGGCGATGCGACCACGGCTCCGGCTTCACGTGTCGTGGGTGTCTCCTGCTGGCTTCCGCCCCATGCGCCGTCCGAGCCCGAGAGCTGGTATACCTGGTCGCAAGGATGGCTGCTGTCTGCTCGGCAGGCGTTGAACAACCTGCGCCATTGGGGCCGTGGGGGGCTGCGCACGAATCGTTATTGGATCTGGAAGGCACGTCAGCACGAGGCCCAGAGTCAGATCTGGGATGATCCCAAGGGGTATTATTTCTGTAATATCGTGGCTGTCCGGCCAGGGACGCAGGGGAAGGGCATTGGGAGGAAGCTTTTCGAGGCCGTAACGGAGAAGGCGGACCAGGAGGGGGTCAAGTGCTATCTAGAGAGCTCGAGGAATGAACCCAATGTTCAGATCTATGAGAAGATGGGGTTTGAGATGGCCAAGGAGATGGAGTGCCGCGATGGGGACGATGTGTGCATGGTAAGAGAAGAATCGACCCATGTTGGGGCGGGGTTGTATGGTGTTGTGCCTCTTGCTGACTCTCTTTCTCTCGTTCTAGTTGTATTGCATGGTGCGGAAGCCGAGGTCGAAGTATTGAGGACTCACGGATGCTGGAAGGAGGCGGAGTTTTGCTGATCAGACTGGCGCAGCGCAAATTGTAGACGCACTAGACTATGGATGGAACTACTGCCTATTAATCGACGAACCATTTTCTGAAACTGAGACATGAACGTGGGTTTGCGACCGCAATAAATGTCGTCTTCGTGGGGGTCGGTCGGCTTATCTGCTTACTATTATTGACTGATTTGATTCTAGACAAGCTACCACAAACCAGGAAACAAAACATACTGTTGGAGTCTATTGCAGCGAGCATGAACTGGGATCGTCTTCCGACCCCTACTTCTTAACTTCCATGTGATTGATGTTTGATGGGGGCCGAACCCCCTCCAGCCTCCCTCTTCAGGCTCCCACGGCAAGGTGAAAACGGCGAACCGTTTGGTCGGAAAGCCACTGACGAAACCCGGGGTACAATACTTTCCACTGCAGAGCAGCGGCTTTGCACATCCAAACTGGACGTGTATGTACTCGCCACTGTGACTTACCCTACGCCAAACATCTATATATCCAGCGCTGACCATCAGAATTTGGTCTGTTCTTCAGCCATGGGATCTGCAGGGTGATGGGCTTCTGCGCTTCGCCGTCGTTGCCGGTGGTCCGAGCCTACGTTTAGTATACGAGTCAGACACAAACCGCTGTTTCACAACTCCAGTAGTCCAACTTCAGCCTATCTTTGGTGACACTGCCTGTCGAAATCCTGGCCTAGACCACGTCAGAGGCCGGGGAAAGGCTTTTCGCAGGCCAACCGTCTCACCTTGATTACCCGCAAAAAGGTTAACATGATACGGAAATTCTGCACCTGATACCACGCAACGCACTTCCCAGTTTCAAGGCAAACCCTCCCCTCTTTTTGAGAACCCTCGACCCGAGTAACTCCAGAGCACTGTGATATATCAACGTGGATCGAGCGCGCAAAAGCCATCTTGGTTCTCGTTAAACCCTCGTTCCTTGTACGCAGCTGGTCTGTTGGCTTTTCGTTCATTCCTTCCTTTCCTTCTTCACCCGGAGATATCCACTCGTTTCCAGCGATTCCGATCTCGCGGAACTGGATTTTATGTCCAAACACAAGCCCTGGTGGTCTACGTCACTCACGAATGCCTCTTGCCTCGATCGCACGACGAACGCGGCTGTCCCACTCTCATGTCCAGCCATTGATGAGAAGCATCCAGAAACGAAGCCATGCACTTTCCCTATCTGCAAGTGTCGGACTGGCCCTGGGTCTCTTGGGTAAGCCGCACCGATCACTCAGGTACTGTTCCGAACCTTAACTCTGACGATGGGGCACAGCGGCCCTTATGCTAGGCGTTCTCCTCACAACGTGGGTGGTCTTGCGAGTCAAGCGCGGCCCGGGCGTCACCCTCCAGACCCTGTTCAGCCGACAACCTATTCCTCCTGTCCGAAGACCCGATAGCGATCCATCTGACCCAGCAGTCGAATCCGCGAAGCCTCTGAACGACCTGCCCTCTAAAGATGACCATACCTCACAAGATTTTCGTCGCATATTCAATGCCTCTCCGCGCCGCATATCACGACCTATGTCTCAATATGAATACCTGAACATCCACGAGAAGACAGCCGACGTCCCAACTGCCGTCCGCACAGCGCCATCGACAGACCCGTCCTCCAACTCTGGAAGTCCATTCGTTCCGATGCCCCCAATAGCACGATTGGGTCCGGTCCGCACCATGTCGGAGGCGGATATCCGGCGCGGACTCCCGCCGTCTCCGCTTGACGCCCGGACACGCACGATCGCGCGCTTAGCGGGAACCGCGCCCCAGGAGATTCAGCCGCCAGCATTCAATCTGCCGTGGAAGGAGGAGTTCTATGTTCCTGACAGCCCTGAAGATCACATCATTGTCTTACCCTCGCCGCGCGACCTGAAGACGTTTAGATTGACAATGCATGCTTGAGCGGCGCCCTTCTCTGGAGGACTTCGGTCAAGTGGGATTATAATGTGTAGTGTGTTTGGTTTAGGAAGCAGGGGATATGCGAGTATGAAGCGTTAATGTATATGATAGTTCACTTACTAACCAATATATAATGATGCATGACTGACTATATATGCTACGTACCTGAGGACCGTCTATGTGATCGCGCCACGATGCTGGCAGGTGTAGGGCACTTAATCGCACTCATGTGTTCCATTCGTGTCCCAGCTAGTCATGCACCCATTCAAAAGTTTCTACATGACGATCATAAAGCATCGCGCAAATATGTTGAATCATCTTTTGCATCTGACAAAGCTGTCCAAAGTTCCGAACTGATGAGGGCCCCCACAAATCACACTAATGAACGAACTTACAAACAACACCAGGAGATCCCACCCTTCGAGAAGCTGCTAGCCAGCCCAGGTTTTGGAACCTGCTTCGAATCATTATTCCGAGAGTCTCAATTAATTCTCCCTCTTTCTCCAAGAGAACAAAAGAATGGCGACATAAGATAGAGTTTGCACCGAACCCCCTTGTTTCACGGCCCCGCTTCGGCGTTGTCCGCACTGCAAACCGTTGACGGCAAACCCCTGAACGCGTTCTGTTTGAAATGATTCTTTGTTGCCCGGGTTGTCGGGTCGCAATCGGTTTCAGGATGAGTAAGATGAGGGTCCACTTGACATGGGTTCTGATGTCTAGAATTAAGAGATTTGTCTTCGGTGTTGTTTGACAAACTGTTGCTCCTGCTTGTCTCAGCATATGTATGTACAGTTTGTTCACTAAGGTTAAGTGACTTTGAAATTGGACTGCATCTTGTTGTCGTACTGATATGAGCTTATATAGTCTTCTCCGGGCGTTGTTTCAATCTGAAAGAATATGTTGGTCCGTCGGCTGATCACAGTCTCATAGTTGTGGCGTATCAGCTCTTATGAGGGACAGGGTTGATTGTGATTTCCTAAGCCTGTCAGTGCTTCCGAAGAATCTGACGCTGGTTTAGACGACAGCAATTCATGAAGTGATCGGTCAATAACCTGCTATTTCTACTCCGGCTCGAGGGAGGGTTTCTTTGTTGGTGGTCGACTTCTTTCGATCGCTATTCGTTCGCTCTCCCTGGCTTTACCATCCTGGACATCTCGGCTGTCACTTTGCCAAGAACCATCTCACATCAGATATGGCTTCCTGTTGCCAGTCATCCTGCCCATCCGAAAATTAATTCCCCGACGGAAGACCCTGCTTGTCCTTTGATCCCAGATCCCTGCTTGCTTGCTTGCTCCGGGTACGAGGAATCGGCAAGACTGCAACGCCATTGGTCGGTTTTGAGCTGGGCATCGGCTGTGGAATTGACATGTCCAAAGCGCAGTTTGATGAGCACGCGTCTGTCGTACAGTTTCACCCGAGAAGTGACTTCAGCATGGCGAGTTGCAGGGCCATTCTACCCGCTGGGAGTGCAGCAATGCAGCGTCACTGCATCTCCTCCACTGCTTAGCGCCCTCGATTTCAGCCACAGCGGATATACTCCCCTCCGCCCTGAGCCCCAAGAGTCCCTGCATCATTTCCCTTTCCACGAACCAGAGTCCAAGATCTGGCAATGTCACCGGCGCAAGGCGGTTCCAGATCGTGTACTGTCCTGTACATGTACCTGAGCGCCATGCGATGACTTCCAATGTGCGCCATGCCGGCCCTATGGCTCCTTCGCTGGTGGGGTAAAGTCGATTTATTGGACCCTTGTGTTGGTATTTCCTGCCCTACCTGTCAGGACGATGTCCAACCCCAACCATAGTGATCGCTTGATAGTGAACCGGGGTCTCTTTTTTTCTCTCACTGATGTACACGGCACGTCCAATTAAAGGAAGTATCGATGACTTGAAACAGTCTCTCTCCCACTGATTCTCTCATCGGGAGTGAACGAGACTTGGCAGGCACTGTACTTTGCAAGGATCCCTTCATTGTCGAGATCGGCCATACCGTATTTCGATCTCCCCATGTTGTGCTCATTCAATCAAAGCCGGATTGTGAAACTTGGGCTTTTTTTCTTGGTCTTCTGGCCAGCGCATCCGCGGCTTGATCAGTGAATACTAGATGCATGCCATGGATGGAGGTTCCCCCCCCTCTTCCTGGTATATAAGCATGCTTTGCTCCTCGAACTTGTGAGATCTTCAAACCAGCCCAGATTTGATATCTGTGACATTCCTTTCTATCCCATCTGTTTACACATTCCAGATTTGATATCTGTGACACTCCTTTCTACATCACACTTTACATATTCCAGATTCAATATCTGTGTCACTCCTTTCTTCTATCACAACGTTCCTTACTTGAAAGCCTTATCAAATTATCATGTCGTCCCTCTTTCATGTCATTATCCTTGCTCTGGGTCTGTTCATGGCATTGGGCGAAGCGTCGAGGTCGAAGTGGAGGCACTCCACCACCACCACCACCACCATAATTACAGCCACTCCGAGCCCAACCTCGTCCTCCTCCAGCGACGTTACCTCTAGCAGCAGCGTCACCTCCGCCAACAACGTGACCAGCAGCAGTAGCAGTAGCAGCAGCAGCAGCAGCAGTGGCTCAATCTGGCAACCCCAAGTAGCCGCAAGCTGGCAGATCATCCTCACGGACCCGATCGACGTAAGCAGCCTCGATAGCACGACGGAGATCTACGACATCGACCTCTGGATCAATGACGCGGCGACGATTTCCGCCCTCCACGCCGCCAACCGTAAGGTAATCTGCTACTTCTCAGCGGGCAGCTACGAGAACTACCGACCGGACAAGGACGCCTTCCAGCCCAGCGATCTAGGTAGGGTGCTCGACGGCTGGCCGGACGAGCAATGGCTGGACCTGCGCTCGGACAACGTCCGGCAGGTCATCGCGACCCGCCTGGACCAAGCAAAGCAGAAAGGCTGCGACGGCGTCGACCCAGACAACGTGGACGGCTACGACAACGACAACGGGCTGGGGCTGACGCAGGCGGATTCCGTTGATTTTGTGAACTGGCTCGCCGCCGAGGCCCGCTCCCGCGGCCTCTCCATCGGCCTTAAGAACGCCGGCTCCATCATCCCCCAGGTGATTGAAAATATGCAGTGGTGCGTCAACGAGCAGTGCGCCGAGATGGCCGAGTGTGATACCTATGTCCCCTTTGTGCAGCAGAATAAGCCCGTCTTTCATATTGAGTATCCTAAGGACGATGGGGATAGTGGGGCGGTGGCTGTCGCTGCTGCGAAGAAGACTAGTGCTTGCGAGTTTCAAGATTCCGCGTTGTTTTCGACTGTCTTGAAGAATATGAATCTTGATGCGTGGGTCGAGTTGTGCTAGTTGTGGGTGTTCTTCCACGGGGGGTAGAGGGCTTTCCGTTGGCTGGATGAGATACAGTTGAGGATGCATGGTTTGCGGTTGGTGGGTAGTCTGATAAAAAGGGGATGCTGTAGGAGCATCTTGTCTTTTTCTTTCTCTCGGGATATCTTCTGTGTGAATATATTGAAGTTGTGGGTTGCAGTGCAACTCTTAGAAGAAGCTCGGATGATGCTATTGGACAATGCATCGGACATTGCTATGGCTTGATGCCAAAAAGAAGACAATGCCTGCAAGAGACTTATAGTAGTAGAATGGATGATGGACCTGCCACTGGGAGGTAACAGTAATGCTGGCTGGAATAGGTATCTAGTACTTGACTACCTACTAAGGAGTGATAGTAGTAGCAGTAGTAGTACTTAACCTCTGTATGGTGACTTTCCGCTCCCGCACTTTCCCTTCTCGCTCTTTGCCTACTACACTACGCAACACCTCCCCATCTCTCTTCTCTTCAAATCTTCCTCCTCCACACGATCCTTCAATCAAACCAGACAACCTATCTCCATCCTGCAGCAATTTCTTCTCGAAAATCGCTGGCAGTGGCAACCCCTACAACCACCTCGACGTTCGCTCATCAGTTCTCTTGGCGGCCTACGACCCGAGGTGGCGAATTGGACCGCCGATCAGCGCCCGGCCGGAGATAGTATCCGAATTGTTCTCGTCCACTCACTTCTCCCACGGCCCTCACAAGAGCTGAAGATCCACAACCGAGCGTTCGGAGGGAAGCCCATCGAACGATCAACCGGGTAATGATTTCCACTCTCCAGATCGCCTGCTCATCACTCTGTATAGATCCATGACACCATTCCGAACAGCCACAAACCTGCACCGAGTCTACTTTGCTCGGCCTAACTGGGCGTACCGGAGAAGATTTTGGGAATGTTGTGGAACGAGTCCCATGGGAACCAGACCTAGACACCCCCCTCCTCTGATCAACGTCGGCTGGAATTCTTCGGCCGACGCAGAAAAGTCGGCGACCGCCGAGCCAGGGAAGCACAACAAACGAAACTGCTGGTCTTCCTGCCATCAAAATTCCCCGAGGCACTCACAACCATTATCCCCTTAACACTCGCAAACAAGGCGCCTTCTTTGCATACATATTTTGCGCATGCTGTCCCGGTTGTTGTTCGAGATGCATTTCCACTTCAAAGTGGCAAAATGAAACATCCACCACCGCCAGCCTCTTCACATCATTCGGTGCTTGGGATCCTCCAATTGCTGCAATCTGTGGCTGCTCTGCCAAAGAGTTCATCGGTATACTCTATGGGATCACCAGTCCATCCATCATCTTCAATGGATGACACTTACCGTTCTGCACATCGAAGTAATTCCGAAGAGGACTGTCATTCGAGGAGCCGGTTTCCGGTTTCTTGCCCTTAGCGCCTTTATGGTCTTCCGTTGCCTTAATCTCTCTTTCAATAAACCGCTCGCTTAGGGGGCTCTCATTGCTGGAGGCACTGGAGGTTCTTGCCTTAGCCTTCGTGTCAAGTCCTGTTTGCTTCCCTGATTTCCAAACTGCGAGGTCTGGGTCGTATGGCTCTCCTTGGCACAGAAGTCGTCGGTATCGTGCCTAGAGGGCCGGAGCCCCTCATAAAAACGAGTGGCCCCGTCGTCGGCAAAGGTTGCTTCTTGTACCCCCTAAAACGTAACAACAAGTGTCCGTCCGCGTCAAAAGCATTCAGTCAAGAAGCCACCGAGCCCAAGAAAGAACGTTCGTACGATACCGATGCTGCTGTCATCCAACAATAAGGAGTAGCCAACATTCACATCCTTTAATTCTTTCATTCCTTTTCCCTTGCATGCTGCCTGCTGCGTGTGTACGTGCGAAATCACGACAGCCTCCTATATCGGCCCTCCCTCGGAGTAGCGTTCATCTTCGAGAAAGGTTAGCAAGTACCGGCAGCATTATACTCAACATTGGACTGTGAAGAACCTAGTTCCATCGCCTCTGAGCTTATCAGAATCCAGGCTGGGCCAAACAGTCACCAGCTCGATCCGGGAAGCAATCAACGAAGCAATGTACCCATTCTTAGAAGCCGTGCCTTCATAGTTTGAATATGAATAATGCAGGAGTAAGGGAAGGTTTCCCATACCTTGCCTTTCAGTGTACTCACGTCTACCTTGTCCGAACAGTCCAATTCTCCTCGATCTCGAATCCAGTGACACGTCGAGTAGTTGTTCTCTCGAGTACAGTCATCCAAGCTAGCGTCATGAGGTGCGACCCTAAAATAATGTTGTTCGACTGTGTTTGAGTATTTGCCGGCATCAGCGCGCCTACTACGAGCGATGGTTCCGCAGCTTTTCACGGTGCGGACGATTATAGGCGGCTCCCTTATCCAGTGCAACAGTTCGTGGAGATGTCCTCGGGAATCAACAAACCCCAATGTCTCATCCATCCAAAGCAGGAGCCCACCGGCAGCAAGACAACCACCTCCTACCATTCACATTCTCATACTTATAGTTGACAGCTCTTCCGCCCTCCAGTCACACCGTGCTGCATGGGCGTTCTTCAATTCATGGTGCCGCCGCTCGAGCAGTCTAATGAGCTTTGGGGAGGTATGATTCCAGCGGATGGGATCACCAGCGATCGATTTCACTCATTTGTGGTAAGTGTGCGACAGTGAAAGCACTGGTGAATATCAATGATGATGGGCTGTATTCTGGAGTCAGAGTTATTTTATATTGCTTCTGAGGTTTTCGAATCTTGCTGCGCTCATCTTCGCACGGCAGGAATTGATTCTCACAACCCGAGTGGCGAGTTTCCCTAACGAAAAACGTCCCCCATGCTGCGATTGGACACGCTAGGCCTGATATTGGTCTCAGGAGCAACTCGGGTTCGTATTCCAGGGCGGCCATGCGCGATATAATGGGCATTCGAGCACAGCTAATGCTGTCCAGGGGAAGGCGCTGGCCAGCACGCATACTTTGCTTCGCAGCCCGCATCAGCCGCTTTCTTCTTCATTGCCAATCGGACTTGGAGCGTCCGATGTGGACATGCTGAATGGTGCTCACGGAAGAGCTGTGCAAGTAGCCCTGTATATCATTCATCCCATGGCGCAAAGCCTAGGTATTATTGATCGGTTTGGTGTGAAGCGCGCGAATATTGAAAACATCTTAATGGACAGATGGTTTTGCCGCGCTCCCACGGGGTTTTTCCGAATGATGCGGAGCCATCCGAAGCATCGGCGGAAGCGTATCCCGGAAGGGAGCCAAGCTATCATCTACGAGCGCGCCATACCTTCTCCAGATCAAGTCAGAGGAGAGCGAGCAAGTTATGAGCTGAGTTGATAGCTGTTGTCTTTGCGGACAGTTTTTTGTGCTCTCAAACGGTTGATAGCCCAGATTATTTCGAGATCTTCGCGATGTTGACTGGGCCGACATAGAACACGAACGGTGACATTACGGAAACCTGACGCGTGCACGTTCACACCCCCGTCCACCTAAGCCGTAAGATTGGCCTGGATGACACCCCTTTCCTGCTCCTTGGCTACATTGTTAGTGATACAGCCGCTGGTCGGACTTCATTCATGCCCGGCTTCAAAAAAGCTGCGCGAGTTATCACCACGGCTTATTCGAAGAAATGTGGCATCGCGAACGCTAGAGTACAGCGATTTTCTATGATTGCTGCTACCAAGCAGAAAGCTCCGAGATGAACTGACCGTGGATGAGCAGCTTTACGCCATTACTGAGATCATACCAATTAAACCGGATAATCTAGCCGGCCAATGGAAATAGTCCAATAATAGTGGATCACATTCCATGATTCTTGGTCAGTACGGCAGCGCTGAACGGCAGTCTAGTCGACCTGGCAGGCTGGTATGGCTAGGGAACCCACATTTCTCTAGTAAGAAGAAATTGCGAGACTTGTACGCTTCGGTACGGGTAAGCAAATGCACTCAGACACTCTCATCGTCGCTTGTCACCGGGAAACCCAGGCGCGGGTATATCACCGGCTCGGTCACGTTGCCGTCATCGAGCAATCCGGCGCTCAGATATTTACTGATACGTCCTGGTGCATGATTCAGGAGCCTGTGATTCCGCAGCATGTGGGATCAGATCCGACCAAGTCGGTGAGCTATGCATACTATGGGACAGAGCTGACCGGGGTCCGTCGGATGCGATTTGGCAGTCTCGCCGAGTGTGTTGACGCTGCTTGCTGGAGGGCCCTCCAGCATGGCTCGCGGACAAAATCGTTTGGATTGACGATGACAGCCATTAAATGCATGAGGATGATCAGGCCACGCATATGTGCGGGAGAAGGCCTACAAGCTTCCGGATGTCTCAAGCCTTTCACCTTGGCTGAATTATTTCGACCAACAGTCTGGTTATCCACGGTCATTTTTCATTTTTTCTTTGCAAAGGTGATTGTTTCGGTTATATTCGTGGGATCCGAAAAGTTTTGATTAATCTGTCACTGCGACAGCATTATTTGCAGCAGCAGCAGCAGCATATCTCTTGTCGGGAATTAGCCCATTCTCTTTCCTTAATGCATGCATGCATACTCGAGAATCCTAGTGTCTCGCGTCCATGATACCAATATTTCGGTTTCATTACTCCGAGGCGTTCCGAAGGGAATCGACAAATAACATCCTGCCTTTCTTCCTATCACGCCTTTGTTGGGAGTGCAGAGACACGCATTGTCAACTAACAGAGTTCTCACTCACCTTTCCCCGGGCATTAACAGGTGGTAATAATATAACAGCCCTGGGGAATACCAGCGCATCCTTGCTGTTTCGCCCGCCACATACTCCGTAAAGTGATGCGTAACCGATCTGAACGTCCACCCAACCGCTCTGTCGTTGCTCTTTCCACTCCGAATGTTTTTCCTGTCGGCTGCGCTGCACGTTAGGGAAAAGTGTTGTCTGCTCCCTCCACGCGCTATCAACTCACTCACATTCATTCAATTGAAGGTCTCCAAATCATTAACCATTAAGCAGCTGACAGGAATCAGTTAAGTCCAAGGCAATAGGATACTAGGGTGTATTATACCCACCACATCCGTTCACCGTTAGTAGACTAGCCACCAGCCACAAGTAGAGACAGCCGTTATCTGAAACCCCCATCCCATCCCATCCCTTCATGAGGGTATCATGTAGATACCTCTTAGGAAACCCCTCCCTCCCTCGGGTAGTTCCGGTGCCCCTCCCCCTCTCCCCATCCGCCCGCCCCGTGGTCCCTTGTCTCCCTTGTGCTCCCTCGTTTCTTATCATTCTTCGTCAGATTCGAAGTTTGTGTAGCTGAGATCTTTGCACTATATTCTCTGCCGGAGAACAATGACCCTTGTACTTTCTTTCTCTTAAGGATCAGGGTCCGAATGTCAGGAACGCTAAGTTGATGGAGTCGACTACTTATGGTGATTATCCTAACCACGAGATACGGTAGTTTGATGATGGAGAGAATGAGAATTTGGCGACATAAATGCGTTCAGCAGATTGTTTCGAGATAAATGGCATTTTCTTCGCGTTGCCATTCGTTGAAAATATTTAAGTCCTTTTTTTTTTTTTTAAAGTTTCTTTTTTTCCCAGAAAGAGAAGTAAGTATAACGTAGTTTTCTCGATGCGTGTACAGTGCTTGATCGACAGGCGGCCAATATCGACTGCTAATCTTACGACCTTGGGATCCGGAGAATATAATGTGCGGGCGCACTATATACCTACATGTTACTGTGTGACTATCGGATGCAGAGATGCGGGAGGTGATGCGGGAAGTCCAAGGGGGGTTGTGTGTGTGATTGCAGATGTCAAGCTTGCAAAAGAGGGCGGTGTTGCGTATGCCTCGCATAAAGGACATTATCCAACCGGATGAACGCGACGAAGTGATTTTTGTAAATCTTAGTATTCAGTCAGTGGGAGATGGATGGTACATTGAACACGACCGAAAATGAAAAGAAGGAAGGGACGTCGAGATGAGGCGTACCATGGAGGTTACTGTTGCCGCTGGTTAATGCTTGATCAATCGTAATGGGGGGATAGTATAGCTGATACAGTCCAGGATAGAGATCCCTGAATCTCAGTCCCGTACGGAAAACCCTGGCCAGATGAATGGCTGTTATGCCAATTGCCACTGGGTGGATGACATCAGCTAACATAACGGTCTTCCATCCAAGAGGTCGGGTAAATGATCATACAGCAAGGGCCCTGACGATCTCTCGCTTGCCTTGCCGTGTAACAGGCTTCCTTTTCCCACCGATGTACGTACTTTCCACCTTGGGTTAGTCTCGTTTGCTTGATGAGATCGCCGGATACATTTTGCGAGGCAGAACGGTGTAACAGGACACTTGGCTTTGATCATAACGGTTGATATAAGTAGATGAGTGCTCCCAATCGGTCGAATGCCGGTTCATATCGTCGGTTGGATTGACTAGAGAGCAGTAAGTGGCGGTCATGGCAGCGGAGTCTAGTGCCTAAGCAGGTAGGAGGTGTCTCTGCTCCCCGTCCGGGTTGCTTCATATGAGCAACCCTATCATCACGGTTTAGATCGGCGGGGGTTCAGGCACCCAGATGCTCAAAATTGGGTGTGCAGTAAGAAGAAGGTGGCTTCCCCAAATATGATCCTGCCTAGATTAGTCAAGATTAGTAGTGAGTGGCTAGTCTAGTCATTCCATAGCGTGGCGGAAATTGCCGCTGCACTTCTTGGCGATCAGCATGCCTACGTGTTGTGCTTGACTATCCTTGTTTGACAGACACGCGGCCGATGACGATCTAGAACAAGGGACAAACATCAATGCCCGCCGGCAATTTAAGAGTCTGACACCAACACAATTACCGTGAACAGGGGCGGACTGCATGGATCCTTTGAGGGGGAGAGGGAGGTTCGGCTATGCCGGAATCCACAACCTTCAATGGCGAGTTTCAAGCCTTCTCCACTTCCAGGTCCTAGTCATCAAGCATACAATAGTCAACAAGCGAGGTGTTGGCGATGAAGTCATATGTGCATGGGGGGCTGTTATTTGATCTGATCCTTTCGGATGGTACTGGTGGAAAAGACAAATGATGGGCGGGAAGACAAAGAAAAGAAGCAATCAGGCTATGCATCGATCAGGCTATGCATCAATCGATAGGCTCCACTTGGGATCCTCGATCCAACCGTTGTGTGTCTTGTCTCCCGAAAGCTGGAGTCGGAAGTAACACCGTACTGGTTGGTGGCCTAGCGGGGGAGGATGGGCCTCCGGGAACGAAACTGGTGACTGACTCGATCCATACGCGTGAGCTGGATGAGCCGGCCGGGCCATACTTGTCGCCTAAAGTAGGGGAACTGTTCGTGCGCATTGGTGGAGTCTTGCCGATCGTCGTCGCTTTTCCTCCCATCCGAAGACGGAAAGGTGAGCATGGATATGTCACGGAGAACAAAGAAAACAATTCCATTTCTCACAAGGAGAACTTTAAATCGAGATTCAGGTTGGACTACTCTGGTCATCGAGTGGTCGACCGCCATCTCTCGGTTTGCTGAAATTCCCGCTTCTTCCGGAACCCCTTGACTTGGGAGGAAGGAGATCGGAGTTTCAATTAACAATATATTCCACGAAAATAAACTTGGCGACACATCGGTCTTTATGTTGCCGTCTCGCTCATTTGCCGTCCGGTCCTGTCTGGCTTCAGAGTTTAATGTGTGCATACCGTAAGTATTGTTCAACTCCACATGTTTAGGCCGGTGGTGTTCCCTACTCCGTTCTCCGTCCACGGAAATTGTCGTTCTGCATTTCCGCCGCGAGTCTGCAGCGATGGGAGGGGCACCCTCTGTATGCCCTGCAGGAATGCACTATCGGCCCGAATGTGGGTTGAGTGGGAACGACTCTGGATGTTGGCTTGAAAAACTAATCCATCAGTGTCTGTACGTTTAGGGCTTTCCTCCGACTTTTTGGAATAACCCAAGAAACAAAGAGGGAAAGTAAAAAGAAAAACACAGATCAAAGGACAGCAGTAAATAGGCGAATCCTCATTTGTAAGTCTAATAAATCATTAACGTCGAGCGATGTCACACTGGGTGTGATAGGCGACAGGTGGGGAGTGGTAGAAGAAAAAGTAAAGTTGTCGTCGTTGACTTCGAACAGCTGTTAGTTGATGGCTGCCTATGGATTCCTACTTCATCCCCGACCCAACGAGAAATAAAAAAGGATGTGGATATTCCACCGCAATTTCGAGGTACCCCAAAGTTAACTAGTCGGTAGTCAATAGATAGATTGACTGACTAGCAGGATCTCCACCGTATCATTGCAAAACCGGATGATTAGCTGATCGCATCCGGTGTGGGTGCCGGCAGGTGTGTAACCAAGGTCTGTGTCGGGCTTCCAGCAGGAGATGCGCAGAAACTTCAGATGAGATTTGACTGACAGAGAAGCTTGGTCGTCATAGACCCTGTTGCATGTTCCCTTCCGAGCGGGAATTACTTGTCCGGATGACTGCGGGAGAGGACGAGGAGCGTTCGAGGTTCAATGGGCGAGAGAAACTGCTGTAGAGCTTGGTCTCTTTTCTCCCGCTCTAGATCCATTCTATAATAATCTTTACTTGGCTTCCTCCTCTTATTGGTTTTTTCTTTCCTTTTTCCAATATTGTATTTCCGGTTCTCGCTACCTCTGTGATACTTCCCATTGGGAGTTTCCACCTAGCCTCTTTCAAACGGTTGGATGGGTGGCACGAGCAGGAAGGGGGGGGGGGGGGGGCAGGGGGGTCTTCGAGATTCCTGCTAGGAGTTTAAACTGGCGCAGTCCTCAATCTTGCTGGATTGTAGCGAGGTGCTAGAACCCACCACCTCCGGCCGCGGGACTAAGAGGATTCGCCAAACCCGGTGCAAGGTCTCCCGGTTTTCGGCCGGTCGCCGGCGACGCGAAGCAGGATGAAGAGGAGAAGAAAAAGGAGCAGAGTAGAGACTTCATCGGGGGCTCATAGGGTGGCAGCACGATGAATGTCTTGGCATGCAATGGACTGCAGGCCTTTGCGTCCGAAGTAGTGGTGCATCGCCGCCCAGATAGACCCGGTTAACGGTCTCTAGCGTTCGGATATTCCGGGACACCTTGGAGCCACATACGCGGGAGAGGAGAGGGTCAACGCGGATCTTGTGTGGCGTTCTCCCTCCCTCACTTGCTTTTACGTTCGGTTTCAGTTCTGACTCGTTTGTTCTGGTGGACGAATCGTTTGCGTGGGATTGTTCTCCTCGAGGAAGGAAAAGAACCGGAGCGCGCAATGAGTAGAGCATGTGATGCTGCATGTTGGAGGGGGGTGGAAGGGGAAAGAGGGTCTTGGTGGTACCATTCTTTTCAATCGAGACTGGACGTCTTTGTAGATACTCTAGAAGCGAAGGGAAAGAATTCTAGAAGAGGTTTGATCTCTTTCTTTGTGCGCCAGTAGGCGAAAGAAGGATAGCGAATGTAGCTCCTTTGTAGATGGTAAACGATGGTATGCAGAGCCCGGCTCGAGACAGCCTCTCTAAGTCCCCGTTGCGCCATGCAGATGAGAATCAAGAAGGCCGAAAAGATTGACAGGTAGTCATGGAAGAAAGCCATGGAGGAAGATGAAAAAGACAGAAAAGAAAGAGAAGACGAAGAAGTCGCGTTATTGAGAACGAGGAAGGCGCGAAGGTGGTGAGGTGGTGGTTGTGATGTGGTGGTGCACGATAGTAGTAGTTGTAGTAATAATAGTGGTTATTGTTGCCGGTGGCCGTGGCTTGCTTGGGCTGGGGGTATAACAGAGGCCTCATAAGGTTCATAAGGCAGAAAACTCTAGTTGATGCAAGACAATTTCTCCAATTCCCACGGCAAGTCGTCAGGATTTGAAGGTCTTCAGCACTTTTTGGTGCAGAGATCGCAACTTTCCTGCAGATAAATGAGTCGTTCATGAGGCCCTTTTTCACATCGAGGTTCTTTGTCGCATTCCAACTCGGTTTTCACAAAGTGTTTTTGTGGTATTTGGCACGAAGCGTAGATAATGAAGTTTTTGAAGTGGTTGCACATGGCTGTCAGATCCTAAAATCGACCCTGGCTTGACGAAGGAGTGACAAGGAAAGAGGCGGACGTGAGTGGTCAACAGAGGCGTAAGCTGAGAGTACGAATAGCAATGATGGCCCAGGATGTGAAACAAGAACACTAGGAGGGTCTGAGGATGATATAGTGTCCAACAAGGCCAGGAAGAGAACTGATGGGGAGTATGGCTTGCTCTGATCAGGGTTGAGAACACAGTTGTTCATGACTGAAGGCGTTCCAGACCAACTATAATATACTGTAAATTGGGTGTTTGCCCACGACCATCACAAGCCTGTCGTAGTCACAATAAGGGACCAGCAACCACTCCGTAATTATTTTTTTGTTTTCACATTTCTCCTTTCTGTGTGGTGACCTTATCCCGCCCAACTCGCACTCCTTCGAATGGTTGTATCTGTCCTGCCTTGTTTTCTCCGCCGAGTCATCGTTGGGTGATTCTTCTAGTATGTAGATATTCCCGAGAAAAATTATACCATCTCCGCCTCTTCTGGGTCCCTTGTCCTCGCTGAATTTTATTTCTCTCTCTATCCATTGCCTCCTAATTTGCGGAGAACTAATGTCTAAAACTAAAAGTTCTGACGGGCTTTTCCCCATAAGTCAAATCGAGATCTTTAGTTGAGTTGGTGGCTCGAGGTCGGACCCGCTCTTCAGGTTTCAGGGCTCTCCATACTGTCTTGGGCGAATCCAGCCCTGAAGAGTGGCAGGAACACTTACCTGAAACACCACAAGGCGAACAGAACAACGACTGAGGCTGTGTGGCGTAGTCAAGGAGAGATAAAAACGAAAACAAAAGCGAGTAAGATCGCAAAATGAAAATAAATAGGTCCGAAGAGTCAAGTGCAAGGTCGCCGAAAAGAAGGTTTCCCCGAAGCCAAGCGGGTCCTGCTACAGTATAGTACATGAGAATTACATCAACTGGATGGGGGGCCTCCTAAACTCTAACGGCCACGATAGTGAAGTCCGCAGACGCTAGATATCTTGCCGTTCCACAACGATGCAAAGGCCCATCAGCCTCGGACTGATCGGGTCGGGTCAAAGGGTGATCGACGCGGTCCCTCGCAGCCGTTAATGCTTTTCCTTGCACGTGGCGCTAACCAGGATCGTCATGCATGGGCAACGGTGAGCCTTCAACAGCAAAATCAGCTGCATGATCAATGACGACTGGGAGACATGTCAAACATGTTCATCTGGTTGGCCCGAAGCTGGAATGTGTACTTTCAGAGGTGAGGTGAAGTGACATGATTAGCTTTTCCCCCTCACGTCTGCGGCGACAAGCCAATGGATGGAAGACTATGGAGAATGGTCGTAAGTTGGCCCGGTGAAGAGGCTGGATTGGGTGATATCTATAAATCACGCACACGTTAGAATTGACCCATATTGACGTTTTCTGCAACTCGGTCGGCGCCGACAGGACCCTATTGAACCGGTGCGACTGATAACTCTATTTGCAGGGCCAATCATCTCGATGCGGACAGTCGTAGGCTCATAGCCATTCACGTCCACCAACGGCCAGTGGGACCGCCAGATACAAGCCAAAAGAGTTGAAAGTCCATCTGAGGCGCATTGCGACCATCTCTGGAATCATGTTGTTACTTTGGCGAATTGTGACATCCCACGGAAGGCCGACTGGCGGAGAAGTTTGGAGAAGGTCTGAGCACCAAGCGAAATCAAATCGAAATTGGCTAGGGCCCGAGCAGAACTCCACCGAGAGAAATAGAGTCGGGAAGGCTCGCTCTGGGTGGTTTCTCATATAGTATAACATACTAAACGGTAAGTGGGAGACGTGGAGTGACATGGTACCATATGCGCGATGCAATCAATATGGCAGTGGTCTCGGCCCTTCCCGACCACGCTCCAACCCTACCAAAACAGTTAGTACCGGCAAACACAGATGGGGTACTTAGTAGAACTATCTACCTCAATCTATTGTTCGGCCGGAAAGTTGGTCTGCGTCGAGGGTTCTCCACTGCAGCTATCATGCTTGGCTCATGTTCCTGCCACCAGTGCGGCGGTGCCACCTAATTGAATGGTGGACAATTCCAGGCAAACAAGTCTCCAGGCCAGGAGGGTCTGAAGACAGAACTAATGAGGGCAACGTATTCCTTCTCCAGGCTACCGATCATCCCTTGTCACGGTAGATCAACCCTAGAGAGATCTTCCTACATCACCTCCCAAAGAAGAAGGGAGTGTGACAGGAGACGAAGACCGTAGCGAAAACAGGGGGAAGGGGACAAACAAATCCACTGGGGAGACTGAAGAGATGGAGGGGGGCTTGGAAGGAGGGGAAGAAAAGGGACTGAGGGCCATGGCGGCATTTTCATCAATCTGATTGAGGCACTGGGACTGTTCCAACCACAAGATAGGAAGCCGGATTGGTTATCTGCGAGTCAGGACAACGGCCTTAAGGAACCAGTCAGCTCGGCATTCGCCGAGTTGGAGAGTAGAATCATGTGGGGCACGAGGCGGGGAAATGAAAGGTTCGAGATTGCTTTTGTTGCTTTTCTTTGTTATCCATCTTTTTTCTTTGTTTTCACACCTTTCACACTCCCCTCTTCCCCCCTTGCTTCTCCTCTTTCAATGCTTGTTTGTTTGCTTTTCATCGCCCAGAACCAGGGAAAGATCGAGCCATTGTCGCTGCAGGGGGGATACCCGGTCAGCCAAGAGGGCCTCAGAAGCCAATTACGGCGGGGACTGCTGAGGAGGCGCAAATCAACAAAAGTCCCTGGATGCACAAGTACCGGACCAGCAGGTGGTGTTTGAGAGTACCGCACAGAACTTGATACCAGCTCACTTTGTATCGAGAGCTCAGGGTGTTTGAGGATGCATGGTTTGTTGCCGCCGAAGTATGCATCTTCATAGCAGTCGCCTTTATGCATGCCAGGTACGGCGAGCATGTCTCGGGGGATTAGTTGCCATCCGAAATCCTACTGAGCTTGATAAAGGGTCAGCGATGATCCATGAGGATGATCGATGGATGGATGGATAACTAATCGACTTACTCAATCCGGCCGACTCCAAAGCACCTGCCATATTGGGACAAGCTCAAATCATGCCGCCGGGCGGCCAGTACCAGTAGATACTTACAGTAGTCCCAGGCTACAATCAATATGAGTGCATAATAGGTAGAAGGGCACTGCTCCTCAAGTAATGTACCCAAATCATGACAGTATACGAAGTATGATCACCAAAAAGAAAAAATACATATTGCGAACATGAATATCCTACGAATACCACTTCTCTGCACATCGGCGTCGGCTCTATCCAGTCTCGGACTATACTCGGAGTTGGACCAACCCTACCGCCCCAGCTTTCATTTTAGCGAGGTGATCGAGTCTGAAACCGATTCTTTACGTCACAGACAGGTTGGTTATCGCGATACAGAATCAGTCATCTGGCTTTAAATCATCAATTATGCCGCTTCAATCTCACGCTCATTCTCCTGGGTGTCTACCTTAGCTTGGTTGCAAAGTGCCTTGTTTCATCAATTAAGACTCCGTATCGATACGGTAACTGAAGGCAATGCAGCTGAGACATTTATGTCACGTGTCACAATCCGATGAGAGCTAACCAACCGCTGAGGTTCAAGGGCCCTCCTAACTGGTGGTCTGATTGCAATTGCTGCACCGTAGCGCTCGGAGGAAGTAAAATCGGCTCTTAGTATCTAAAGGGTGTGGGTTGCTGATCAAGAACGATGGTCGTTCAAACCAGTTCTCTTAGTCGGTCTGATCGAGCCGGACTTGACGCACGGCCGGCTCTTCGGAAAAGGGAAGGTCCACCGTCCATCCATGATGGATCGAATGGTATCATCACCTTCCTAATGTACCGCGTAATCTCTTCAAATCAGTCTTCGGCGAGCACGCCAATTGCCTGCGTCAGATGTAAGCCACGAATCTTCAGCTATGGGAGCGGCCAACTGGTATTTAGCTCCCCCCGCCTTCGTTGTGTCAGCCTGGGTGTGATCGGACCCTTCGTCCACTAGCTCCAACTCACATCGTCCCAGCGTGCGTGCGTTGCCCGGGTAAGCGACAGACTTGTTTTCGGAAGTTAGTGGAGCAACGGGGCCAATATCGGAAGCTGAGATCATTTTATTGAGACCACCTTCAGGCCATTAGTGGTAGAAATGCGTACGGAGGATTGTGGAGAGTCGGCGAGCAAAGAAAATTTGGAGAAAAGGTCGGATGCGTTAGGACTTAGGGAAGAGAAGGAGGGAAGGACTTCCGTCAATGGCCCTCCCTTCTCAGCCTCGCCGAAGCACTGAAGCTTCTATTCCAGGACCACCACATCGTCGCTGTCCATAGATCCACCACCGGACTGGTCGTGGAGACTGCCACTCTCGGGGGGCGGCATATCCCCATCAGTCTCCTCAATTGGTCCTGTGGCCGTGGCGTACCACCCCTGGTCGATCGACTCAACTAATGCTCTGCTTGCTTCACGGAGAAGTGAAGCAAAGTCTGGATTCTCCGTCTGCAAGAACATGCTGGTATGAGCCTTGATTTCATCTGCAGCTTTATCATTCACGGCTTTGATCCATCGGAGCCCTGAATCCGGGACCCCCGGGCCTTGGCCTTCCGCCGGAAGCGAACAGAAAGTGCGATCCTTAGAGCGTATAATCTTTTGGCTGAACGACGTATCGCTACGGTTTGTGTTCTCTACCAGCGTGCTCGCATTTTTGCCCAAGCACGTATAGAAATTAACGCAGGCGATCCCACGATCCCTTTGCACTTCCGAAAGCGAGACTAGGCGCTGTTTCAATTCCGAAGAACGTGCGAGACAGCCAACGAAGACCAGGTGGGATGACACCCAGCCCCAGCCGTCGGTTAGTCTCTGACGCTGCGAATACACTGCTGCCGCCCCGCCTGCCGCCAAAGCGCCTGCTCCGGCAAACATTGCATATCGCCCCCACCGTTGCCAGGACGGCGTGGCCGCGGCGTCGTTAGTCGAGGTGCTGCCGGCAACCGAGGCATTCGGCAGAGGTTTCTTAGGTTCTGCTGAGCGACCGGTCGAGGTTGTCTCCGCTGCAGACTTGTTGCTCCCTCCAATTCCGAACAGACCGGCCACTTCAGACAACGCAGTATACGCGGTGGTAGCATTTCGAAACTGTCCCTCGGCTCCGTACGAGACCACCCCCGGCGCAATCCCTAGAAATGGCGTATCGAATGCGAGAACCCCTTGGATGTGCGGGAACATAAATGAGCCGGGGCCGACGGAAGTATCCGAATCTGTCAGCGAGCCCGTCACATTCGGCTTCGTTGAGACATTGGCGGCGGGTTTTGGAGGCAGAGGCTGCTCGAAAGCCAGTAGGAGGAGTGTTTCGGCCGCCACAATCCCACCCATTGAGTGACCGACGAGGAACACATGGACCGACGGATCCACGGTGGGTGAAGCTGTTCGGTTCGCGACTTCCAAGTCGATGACTGTGTTCTGCAACCTGTAAGAACGGCTGTGGCTTAGTGGTACGTTCAAAGCCCAGATGAGCTTGCAATCACATGGTGCGCCGGCGCTACGAACCATTCCCGCAATGCGCTCACACATTCCTTCAGGTCACCTCGAGTTTCGTACTTTGGATAGACCGCAGTTGTCACTCGTACGGCGGGGAGAGCGCGGCTGACCACCGTACACAAATGCCTAGGAAAGTCCCCGAATGTATCATCCCCCCCCTGCTAGTATTAGCGATTCCGACTTCCGACGAGTACGGCTTGCGACCGACCGGCAAACTGCATGCGCGCAAAGCAGAGCGACGACGGAAGATCACATATTGAACGCAGGACACACCTTGAATCCGTGAATGAACACGATAAGCAGTGTCTTCTTCATTGCGCAGATGAGCTAGGCCAAACAGTACATGATGGTGTTCAAGACTAGAAGAAAACTCCCCCGGAGAAAGACAGTGAAAATGGGATCTCGAGATGGATGGAGAGCGGGACAAATCCCTAGGAGGAAAGCGTCGGTCAGCACCTGGCAAAAAGAATCACTACGTCATCCGGCAAATAAGTCATGTGACTAGCTTGTTTGCTGCAAACCCGTGTGAATGCCTGACTGCCCTCTTTTCTGCCTTGCTGCCTCGTTTCTACTCTTGCGCCGTCATCGAGATTGAGATGGTATCTCCTGGCATCTGAAGCTTGTTTGCCGTGGTGGAACAGTCATACGATCTTCTCGGGTCTTGGATTGCCATCAGAGGCCGGGCTGTAGTCTATGCAAGGTTTTGAGGCTTGCGCCTAATCCAGGCCACCCCATCAATCAGCCTTCAGATCTAGATCTCGATCTCGATCTCGATCTCGCTCAATCAGACTGAAGCTCGATATTGCCACTCGATGCGATAAGGTACCCGCTTCAACAGATCAGGCTAAAGGTCCAGGGCGGGTCAAAGATTCAGGCACAACCTTCTTGCAACCTCATATAAAAGACGTGGTCGTCTCCGTCCCCAGTACCACCAGTGATTATCCGTCTGGCAGTGTCGTAGTGGCTGTTTCTCTGAGAGTTTATCTGATAAGCCACGTCCGCAGTAAAACCTAGTACAAAATATAAAGCTTCACGAAATACCTCTTGCCAGTGCCTTCCGCTACTCCGTTGGGGAAATATTTCGAAAGTAGTTGCAGAACAGATTGGAGATAGCTACCAAGTTTGTCCGGTAGAGTACATTGAATAAAGAATTGTGCATTCAGGCTTCGACTATTCAACAATGAGAGTCTATCTCTTATTCACCTCGAATTTCTTCTAGCTTCAGTCCTCGTAGCGTTGTATGGCGTACTCCGAAGCACCCTAGTACGTGTCCACATCAATCCATTGTTGGCACTATTCCCATGTCCTCATCATCAGTGTCCAAGTAGAGATACAGGTAAGTGAACGACGCACTGCATCTCAATTGCATGGCCAGATTCTCAAAACATAGGCTATCATAGATACTCAATTTTCCTTACCATGTCATGCTAGCCACTTCAGACCAGAGATGCTGACTTTATAGCTTCCATGGTTTGTTGGTCTCAGTACTTTCCTGTAATTCACAAAGACACCCCCCCACCTAATTCAATAGACATTTAGAGACCACGAAATCGCATTGAATAATCGCACTCGATGCCCGGACACGATAATTTTGTGATTATCACTCAGCTCCTCTGGGTATCCCACTCCACCGTTGATTTAGGCCTCGTCAGCACTACCTACCATATTTTCTACCATGCAGTATCCCTCACTGGCTGATAGGCTTAAATGTAAGCGATGCTATCTCCAGAGCCCTTTTCCGTTCAACATCCTGCCAACACAATTCTCTGGACCAGGTCTCCGATTTCTGTCGCTCGGACACTCCATCGGGGGTGCCTGCGTGCGTGGTTTCAAGCAGCGCACAGGAAAAGAGGCCTGGCTGTGGAATTCGATCTGATTAGGGTAAATATTTGTCGTATTATAGACGACCATATGTGTATATCGCTGACAGAAGACAAGGTCCCTCAAACCGGCAGCCCAGTTAATCCTAATATCAAAAGCTCGACCTGCTTTTCCAACCAGATCGTTGTCTACCCTTTACGCAGACCTGGGTATCCACCAGGCTATCTGATCTTAATTGCAAGCATTGTCGCAGACAACAAACCACCCTCATTTTGTGGGCGCAAGAGTGCTCAGCTCCTCAAACTCTTGATTTCTGCATCAATATTAGCGATTTGAAAAGTTCCCACCGTTGCTGACTGCCGATCTTCTACCTTCGCTTTACAAATCATTGTCCATAGCCTCCAGCACGAAGCAGGCCTCTTCCAGCCGACTAAAAGTGTAATTCAGCATATCCTAATTTTGCGAGTCCCAGGTGGCACAGACAAATGCATAACCCAGTAGCGCAAAGTCCGACAGACAGCATGTCGCTGTTTGAAGTCGCGTGCTGCAGGCACTTTGACCAGCAGGGCTATCCAGCAGCATTCTCACCTTCAAAGCCCCACAATCGGATATGGCATCATCTTAAACTCGCTCCAGTCGACTCACCTTCCCCCATATGCGCGGTGTCAAGTGGTACTCCAGCAAGAGTTTCAGCAAGGCTGTACCGTTATTGCCAAAGCAAATACCGAGACCGCAGTTCTGTCCGCAAGCATCGATGCTATCGAGATGCGGTTGCCCCAGGAACTTGCGTGTGCTGGCGACGGGCACCTTCCTCTCATGAAATTACAGTAGTATTTATTCCTTGCGTCAGACATCATCTCGAATACCAGCTTCCTCTTCAATTCTGATCCTTGATCCTAGTGTAGGCTGCCACATTGCGAATCACGAAAGCATACGAGCACAGCTTGAATACCTGGTTCACTCGACCTCCGCTATGAACCAAGAGAAGGACCTGTTCCGGGGACGCTTATGGACGAACGGGACTCAAAGAAATTAAGAACGAGTCAGCGCGACGAGCAGTGGTCGTGGTGATTGCTGGTCAGGAGGCTGTCGGGAATGACGAACATAGTGCTTCAGCCGCGTGTTGGTGAAGAGGAGTGTTGTATTTTGAAATTTCTATGTTCATCGCACTAAATGATTCGAATATCCTTTGCCTTTGCCTGTATACGGAGCCTTGAACCTTATCCGCAAGTCCGGCCTGGCCGCTTGTTAACATCGTGCTTCATGTTACTCATTGCATCTTTTTCCATGCCGTTTCCTGCGAAATCTTTCGGTGGACGACGAATTCGTATCCATGGAATGGAGGAGACGTCAGCCAGCATAGTGATTTCACTGATCTAGGCAGTTGCCCGACATCAGCCTGGTCAGAGATTCTCGGAGGAAAGAGAAGAAGGATTTTAATCCCGGCCGATGGTCGATGGTGTCCAGCTCGTGCGTCTTTTTCCCCTTAAAAAGTTTTCTAGGACACTATATATAGAATAAAATCTGTGGTCAATTTCATATCATGGTCTCCCGATATAGCTCCGCAATCTCATTGATCCAGTCATTCTCCTCTCTGTTCGGCTCGCAGGGCCGCTGGTAACACCAGTCAATCTCACCAGCCACTGAACCAAGTCATCGGCAGGGTAGCAACCCGATGGAAATCAGCGTAGGACGATTTTCCGAGAAAGTAAATCCCAGCGGACAGGACATACGCCTGGGCCTGGATCCTGCAGACGCGCATCCACGTACTGCGCGGTACCCTTCTCCACGCGTCGAGAACCCCGAACGGGGGACGATGCCGATGCGCCCGCAGCGCCGGATCGAGCGGCACGATCGGATGCTCCTCGTCGGGAAGCATGGAGGCGACGATGCGGATGAGAAGGACCCGGATAGGGAGAGTGGCCATGCACATTACAAAGCAGGGGAGTAGGCCGAAGGTCGCCAGCGCATAGCCTTGCTGTAGTGCGCGAGTGGCGTCTGGATCGAGGAGATCCTCGACATTCAGGAAGGGCGCTATGGGCTTTGCGAGGAGGAGGATAGCGAGGTCCATTGAGTACACGCCTACCAGATACTGGTTTGCGGCTTCTATGATGGCTAGGGGCGCTGTGCGGGTCCAATTGGCCAGGCTGGGGAGGCGCTGGTAGATGGGTCTTGTGGATGGCTTGGTGATAACGGTGTGGATCCAGAGGATTTGGAGGTTGGCGAGGAGGGCCACAGTGAGGATAGAGCACAGGTGTGCTGCGCATAGGTTGGTGTTGATTCTAGTTGGGATGAGCGTTGGGAGGTGGGAGAGAGCACTACTGGCGAGGTCGTGGGTGATGAAGACGGGGAATCCGCGGAGGCAGAAGGAGAGTCCGGTCTGGATGCGGACGTGGTGGATGGCACTCCGGACAGAGTTGGTCTTGTCGGACTGGGGCGATTCGATTGCAGCGACAGTTAGCATGACCATTGCGTACGGATATTGGACTAGCCACCAGAGCACAATAAACACTTCGGGGGGTAGCATGTTGAACAAGGCGAGATGAGATTCGCGAGATCAATTATTATAAAGTCTCCAGGATGGCTGGGATGCAGAATGGAGAGAGAAGATGCTTCCTAAATACCAATGAGGTAGCCAAGTCTACAAGTCTAGGATGAATGATTACATACTCCTAGTAGTAGTAGTAAACCCCACCTCAACCAGGGCTGACCTGTAAACTACCTAGTAACCTAGTGCCCTCAATTACTATCGTGGCACTAAATAGAGACTATAATTTCTACTACAGGCCTTATTCCACCGGCATTGCCTCACGACTCACAGACACGTTGGACAGGCGCCGCAATTATCAGGATTCTCTTTGCCCTCCTCATACATCTGGATAGCCACATGCCAGACCTTTCCATTCTCATCCCCCACCTGCCACAAAGCGTTGGTAAGCCCTTCTGAGCTTGTCGAGTTGACCAAATCCTTCGCAAGGGTGCCTGGGCTTCCGCCTGAGTCGCATTTGCAGCTCCCCGAACCACTGAATGACCCAAACACTGTAATTCCATTGGCGAGACGAGCGATGACAAAGTCGACCCCCTGGGCAACCACTGACCAACCCCGGTTTTTGAACGCTTCATAGACTGCCTGCCCAATCTGCGAGTTGCTTACCCTGTGTGTCATGTTAATGGCCCAAGGCACAACGCTTCGAAACTGCAGTATGCCCATTCAAGCTGGCGGGCCTCTAAAAAGCCGTCGAGGTAGACTTCGGGTCGAGAGACCGGACCGAGGCGTGCTCTTTTTCGGGTTGGTCTGCATCCGTGCTTTGCACAGTCCACTGACGCTGGATGCTATTGACATGTTCCAGGTTGGTGAGCAGGAACACGTCAAAGGCTTCGTTTGCATAGATGTAATCCTCCGTGCGGTTGGCTCGGTCCACGGTGCGGAAAAGGCCATGCGCAACCGGGACCTTCAACTGCGCTGCATTCGACGATGGAAAATTGTACAGGTAGTCCGTTTCGAAGTATTCGGACGCGGACGCATCGACCGTGTCGCGCGTTCTGGCTGACTTGTCACCGGTACAACCTTGATGGATTATCCGACGCTGCTGAAGGCGTACAGATTGAGGCAGCCGTTCGTGTTTCGGATGTGTCCGACGATGGAACCGCTGCAATCGTCGGTGTCATAGACATTGACTGCGTGTTGGTCATCGTAGATGTTGTCGACCTTGACGAAGACATTGGCTGGACTATGGAATTTCCTAACGCTATGTTCTCTTGCTCTAGCAGGTAGTCCTCTTGAAGGCTGTGTATGTATTCAGTTTTTTGACAAATCTATATCATCTTACGTACTTGCTGGTCATATGCTGCCAGCTGCTGGACACAAGTTTGCCAACCGTAAGGCTTCATCTTCGTGTCCTACAAACAACATAAATTAACATTGCGAAAGGATTAGGCACAATTGTTTCAAACAGCTTTCTACCTCCTTCCTCTCCACTCAGATGTTGTTACTGGCAGGGTCCAGCGATGTCTATCTGCTGTGACCTTAGCCTACCGCAGAGGAGTAATCCCCATGCACCTCCACCCATGGAGAGTACTTGTCACAGTCTACAGGTTTTTCAACCGTGACGACCTTCCGAGAAAATCACACGACTCTCAAAATCTCCGAGAATGAATTCTATAGCTCTTAAAGCTCTCAGCTTACGCCAGTATACACTATTCATTCGCGTGCTCGCTAGAGTATTTCAAACTCGGGATACTTTCCCATTTACTCTAGCCCATGCATGTATGTACTGTATTCCGTCAGCCCTAGTAACCGCGAACCGACGAGACAGTGCGGGTGCGGGGACCCCACCAACTCCGATCAAGGCAAGAAACTTGACTGTCAGCATTGACAATGACTTCCATGCGAGCTCTCAGGCCTCCTTGGCGGTTATGATGACCTCCAAGTTCGAGTCATGCAATGTAACCCTTAATACCCACTCGTTCGCGGATATGCGTCTGGAAATTGGCACGGTCGACAAGTTCCCGGGCGTCGGCGCTCTTGGCAGTCTGTGATATCACACAGTTTGCCAAGACAATATGTTCTGGGAAATTGCTTTCCATTCATGCCTACCAACCTCTCATATTTGCGCTGAGGCGTGATGTGTAAGCGCAGCGAAGAGGCTGCTGGTGTAGTCAAGCATGTAAACACAAGAAAGCAGTCCTCGCTCACAGACGAGATTGGCACTCGCGACGAAGAGTAGAGGGAGATAGGTCCGGCCTGTTGTTTTGGATTGTTGAAGGGATTTCTTTTAGGTACGTCATAAATCACCTAGAGAAAGCGAGTGTCGCTCAACTGGCCCGGGGGAAAGCAAGAAATGAAGCGCAGCACCAACACCAACACCAGAGAGACGGGCATTGGCTGGGGATGTGACAGCCCTGGCCTGCCAAGAATGGCCAAGACGACCCTTGTCAGGACCCGTGTCGATGATCCGAACTGGTTCTATTTCTCTGGTAGGTACTTGTCTCCCTGTTTGGGATTTGCCTATGATGATATAGTCCGGTGCATGGTAATAAGAGGATGAACTCGGCCTACTACTATTGGATATCAACCAGCGAAATTAGTAAGACCATGTAGAAGAATAGACTCTGACAGTAGAGAGTGCAAGAGAGAAGCGCATGCTTGTGGATAAACTACCATGGTCATTGCATGGGTCATGCTGTGAAACGAGACAGGGATCCCAACCAAGCCCAATCACAACCACAAAATATATAGCTTTAAGCACTCAAAACTCTAATGTAGCCACAGTGCCGTGCCAACACGCTCAACACCCATCATACCGTCCGATCAGCCCAGCCTCACGAACCGTCATAGCTTCTCCTTATCCAGCCTCACTGCCTTCAGCAAACTATCCTGATAGCTCGTAGCGACCAACCTCCCCTCAGGCGACCACAACCAACTCTCATGGATCGCGCGATTCTCACCCGACCTAGGCGTCCACCCCTCCTGAATAAACCACCTCTTCTTCTGCTCCCCCGCATCCCCAGCCCCCCAATCCACCATCCTCAACGCCTCCCCATGCTCATGAAACACAACAGTAAGCGTCAAACTCGCCAACGCATTCCAAGCCCTCATACCCAGCGCCCGCGGGATAAGCAACAACGAGTTCTTATCAGCCGCATACATATGCGCGCACGCATACAAGTTATCAAACTCGCCCTCCCGCTCCCTCCTCCTCAGCTCCTCCGCCCTCTCCAAGCCCCCGCCCTTAAACCCCTCGGGATCATCCCCCGGCATTCCCTTGAGCGCATAGAACGTCAACTGCCGATACCGATCCGGTTGCGCGCGCACCTCCTCCGTCTCGTTGTAGCACCGCATATCGACCTTCCGCGCTTCCAGGCCAGGGAACTCACGCTCCACAAGTCCGTGCTTCTCCCACTGCTCGCGCCAGTACTCGATGTAGAAGTCCGCGTCTACCCCAGGAGACACCGCGAAGTCCTCGGGGACTTTGCCGGTGAGGAGAGAGGCGTACCGTTCTTGGGCTGGGATGGGTTGGTGCACGAACCCGGCGGGCTCCTCCTCGCGCCGTTTGAAGGAGCACAGTCCCGAGAAGCAGATTTGGCCGTTCTGCCGTGCGTCGACGGCCCGTGTGCTGTAGCTTCGTCCGTCGCGGAGGTGGCGTACGCTGTATTCGTAGGGAGTGTCTAATTGACCTGGGAGGATGAATGTGCCCGTCATGTCCTTGGATGGTTAGTTTGGTGGTTATTGGGGGGGAAAGGCTGGGATGCGATGGGTTAGCGGGGATGAAAGGTGCGTATTTACGTGAATGATGAAGCCTTTCTCAACCGTCTGCGCGGCGGCGTAGGCCGATTGTGCGTAGACATGCCCCCCAAATGCGCGATCGGTTTCGCCAGGGGGGTAAGGTGGTGCTAGTGACTGGAACCGTTCGATATGTTCCGGGCTGGCCTCGGTCTTCGGGGGACTGTCCAGCCGGCGGAGGGACATCAGCTCCGCGAAGGAGGACGGGCTTTCTTGGTAGAGGAACTGCAACATTTTGAGCTGCCCTGTCGGATGATTTATGAGGACGCGAAGCAAGCTGTGTGCTTGGGGGGTGGGGTGTGGAGATGATGGAGGTATGGATGGAGGGCGAGATGAATCCCGCTCCCTGCGAATGGGGGTCACGGCGAATGAGATGGCAATTGACCGATGTGGGAGGCTCGCATAGGTGCGTGTGTTACTTCCGTGGCGTTTACCTGCGCAGACTTATTGTCGATCCAGCAGGGAGCCGCAAAAGAAGAGTATATGGCGAGGGCGGAGGCCGCTGTACCTGGTCGGCATCATAACCGACGCATGGCGGAGCTTACCTCGGCTGAAGGAGCCGTCGCGGATTGCACGCGGAAGATCTGCGGCCTGCCTGCAATGCCAATCGCTGGACACTCGCGATCCAATCTATCGAGTCACGGCACTACTAAATTGCAGGTCCGTGATTCTTGCATTCTGTGTGGCTTGCGCTGACTGATCCACTACCGCAGCCTTCAAAAGGCCTACTCGAGGAGACAACTAGCAGTATTACCGCTCAGTCAGGCTGACTAGTAGCCACTAGCCCATTCTGGGTCTTATCTTGCCATGAGAGCCCCATTGTATCTAGAATGTCCCAAGGGACAGACGCAAGCTGCGGTCCACGAAAGTGTTGAACTCAGATGAATTGATCCATCATCTTTATTGGCCTGAAACCGGCCAGTTCAAGTATATGCGCCAACGATGCTGATATGATATACAACACAGAATAAAAAGTAACTCCCATCCCAAATATGATACAATAACGATTCAGACGCGTTGCGCCGCAGGGCAAACCAACCGAGAAGGCTCCTCCGGCTCTTTTTTCGTCGCGAACATAATAACAATGAGTAAAAACGATCGTCAAACCAGTAACCTAGTTTGCCTCAGGTCGGAACAGCATGCTACGGTATCTGTTCCATTCCACCTTGCCCTCCACATCCTTAATGTCCTCCAACTTGTCGCCGAGCTTCACGACGGAGAAGCGGATCATCCGAGGGTCGAGACCGAGGGTTCGGCGGACGCTGTTCTGGACGCTCGCGGAGGAATCGAAGCGCATGATGAAATGGTGACCTTCGGCGTAGCGGGCCTGGTGTTTCGTGGTGGGACGGGGCAGGCTGAAGGTGCCCCAGTTGGTGTAGCCGCGGACTACGCCGCCGGAGCGTAGGACCTGGATGCCGGCATTGCGAGCGATTCTGTGCAGATGATTAGAGTCGGAGCAGAACCGGTGGATCGGGACCAGTAATGAGGTTTTATCGTGTCGCTGGGCAGTGCAGGGGAAGGGGCCGACTCGGTACGTACTCTCGGACCTCGCTGAGGCTGCCGGGGCGGACCTGCACAACACTGTTAGCCATAACTCTCTCTGTCCAGCTGTAAAGTTCTTTCGAGTACATACAATTGCGATCAACTCGTACAACATGGTCTCGATCAATCTATGGGTGAATATCGGGATCGATCGACGAAAGGAAGGAGACACAGCCAGGAGATTGATTGATCGATTGAAGCCAACGGGAACTTCTGAACTGGGAAAGGGAACCAGATTTTTCCGGCCCGCCGCCGCCTTTCTTATCGCAACGGACTTGGCAGTTGTTATCAGAAGTACCCGGGAATTGCTCGTCATCTCCGTCATTAGCTCTTCTACTTTACTATTTAACCTCTTTTCCACTTCTCTCTCCTTCCCCCACAACTATTGCTCTTCGCACTTTCTCCCACCACCACATTTACATTCACTCTACGGTTAGCTCTACAACCTCAATTCCTCTCATAATGTCTGCTCTCGCCAGTTCCTTCCGCCCCATGGCCTCTCGCTTCCTGGCGCAGAAGCTCCCCCTCTCCGCCGTCCGCAGGGCGACGCCCGTCAGTTTCCCGCGGGGAAGTGTCCGGAGCTTCTCGCAGAGCCCCTTCTGTACGAATTTCCCTGTGAAGCTGTATTGAAGCCAATGAGGCTTCCCGCTTGCTTTCCCTTTTTATAAAACTCATCTGCAATGGCGGTGGTGGTGGTGGCTAACCAGACCTTTTTTTTTGGCGGATAGGGCAATTGAAGAAGTACACCGAGTCTCACGAATGGATTGAGCTGGCCGATAACGGCAAGACTGGTGAGTATCCTCCTCCTGCCTCGTTCCCAAGCCCAAGCTCCTTTCTTAACTTTACCGTCCCTTCCCCATCCCACCCCTCCACATCCCTCCCACCAGACCAAGATACTAACCCAAGCCAGCCAAAATCGGCATCACCACCTACGCCGCCCACTCGCTAGGCGACGTCGTCTACGTCGAGCTCCCCGCCGAGGGACTGGAGGTGGCCGCGCACGAGCCCGTCGGCGCCGTCGAGTCCGTCAAGTCCGCCTCGGACGTGCTGTCGCCCGTCTCCGGTACCGTGGTGCGCGGTAACAGCGTCCTCGACGACCAGGCCAAGTTCATCAACCAGAGCCCCGAGGACGAGGCCTGGATTGCTGAGATCGAGGTCAACGATCCCGCTGAGCTGGATGCGTTGTTCGATGAGGCCGCGTATAAGAAGCATATTGAGGCGGAGGATCACTAGATTCCCAGGTTTGTGGCCTTGGGAGGCTGGTTGGGTTGGGGATTGATTGATTGATTGCGCTGGCTAGCTGGGGTGGGTTGGGTATGCGCTGGTGTTTATCCTATTTTCTTTGTGTTCTGTTTGGTTGCTATGTTTATGTATGCTTGGGTTAATGCTGTGGATGGTGGTGATGATTGCTTGCTTGCTGGCTTATAGATGATGTATATGGGTCCCTCTGTCTTTTATCTGACGTGTGATGAGGATGGCCGGGTTGAGGGAACTGGGACACGGCTGACCTCGTCGTTGCCGGGTTTGGATGAATAAACCTCGTATTCAACACGAGGTTACATGATAAAATTTACATTTTCTGCTTCTTCATGACCTGACCCCAACTCATCATCCACTGCAATTAACATAGTCTGCGTCTATCATACGTGCGGTATAAGCTAATGACACACATAATTGCTAATATACATCCGGCTACACCGGGGGAATGGACTCGCGACAGATCGGGCATTGGAGTCTAAGACGCATCCAACTCTCGAGGCATGTGCTGTGGAAGATATGACGGCAGGGAGTGACCATGTACGTGCGCCGACTGAGGATGCTCGTGGCGCCGTCGGCCATGCTGCTACTGCCTGCCCCACCCGTGAGCAGAACGGGCACCTCAATCTCCTGCATGCAAATCGCGCAGTCGAAAACCGCCTTCTTCTTGTCTCGGGGTCGGTGTTTGTCGTCGTCCTTCGATTCGCTGGGGTATTCGCGTTCGTCGGCCCGCAGCGCCCCGATGGGTAGCACGCTGCCGGACTCCAGATCGTCGCCGGATCCGGCACTATCGCGCAGAGTTGGGTGATAGTCGTACGCTGGGGGTACCCATCCGCGGGGAACGAAAAAGCGCGGGCCCAGGATGTCCTGACTAGCCAGGATCCAGACCTGAATCCAGACCCACCCTATCATAGAGAGAGCCGTCGTCGCGTCCGGTCGGATGAAGAGCACGTTTCCACGGGCGGTGAGGAAGTAGAGAAAAGGAAACAGGCGGAGGCAGCTCTGGCCGACCACAAAATCCCACCGCAGTGCTTTGCGACAGTTACGCATAATGTTGCGATAGATCTGTGGCGTCCAGAAAGATAGATAAATGAACCCAAGAATTCGAGCGTAGATTGCTCCGAGTCGGTTCGGCCAGAGAAATGCCCAGATCGAAATGATAAGCATTACAAACAGAATGAAGTAGAATCGTGCATACATGGCTCCCATGTCACTTCGAGCGTCCCGCGCTGTCTGTGGGGCACCACGGTTTGCGGCTGGCGCGTCTTCGTCAGCGGGAGCATCTTGGTCTGGCGGCAATATAATCGGAGTTGCGCCCGAGTCTCTGACCTGGGCCGCCGTAGCAGGAAGTGGCAGATTCGCTGAACGCGCAGTTGTCGGCGGTCGCCGCTGCTCTTGCTCTCTTCGCTCCGGGGCTTGAATGGCCCAGATCTCCATCATGAACTTCATCCCAACGTAACTGACGGAAAGGAAGGTCAGGAAGGAGGCCGTCGTCATCACCAGAAAGGATATCACCGAATAGAGCTCCAACAAAATGAAGACAAGCACAAATGAATCTCCGAATGCCATCAAAGCTATCGTATAGAAACTGATACGGCTCCTCGTGGAAGGTGTGGAAGCCTCCTTTACTTGTCTCAACAGCAACGCGATCTGAGCGACGGAGACGGCCGACATCACGAAGATCATGCGAGCAGAGTACTTTCCGAATTCCTCTATCTTTGGCCCTGATAGGTACAACGTCTCCGTGGGAGGGAATTCGGGTGCGCCCTTGGTTTCTAGAATGTATCCACAGTCAGGAGAGAACACAACGGCCGACATGACCATCAGGGGAGGTGTCGGGATCGGTGCCCCGATGGGATATCTCAGTTCCTGCTCTATCTGCTCGATAACTGCTTTATCCGCTAGATATCCCTGGATTGCCAGTGGGTGCTGCTGCAGGTAAACAATGTGTTCGCACCGCGGCGCGGGAAACTCCATATGCTCACTACCGGCCAATGAGGACCAGGGGAAAAGGGTAGGAGGCCGATTCTGCTTTTCGGAAATGGTATCCGACAAGGACTTGATGAGAAGGTCATGAGTGAGATTGTATGCATCGGGCGAAAGCGTGAGATGCGGCAAAGTGAGGAGACCTCCGAACTTCTCGCTAGTGGTACTCATGATGGCCCCTCCAGTCTCTGGAAAGTGTATACCGATCAGTGAGAGGTACCAAGTGTTTCCCCAAGACTCTCCACTTTCCACAGCTAACGTGGCGCGGATCTCTCGGACGTGGCCTTGAGGCGACCGAAGCTCTTCCCCACCCCCTTCACGTACATCCAGATAGAAAGTGCCACTGTTCCCAGTGATATTCTGGCTGAATTCGTGCGTGAAGTAATCATTTTCTGAGATGATAGCGGTCTTGTTGAGCGGAGCATGAGGCTTGTCCTGCTTGCGGCGCACCCATTCGCCGCGCAGCTTGCCTGTCGTATTGCGGTAGACAGGAAGCATGAGCTGCGTTAGGTTGAGATCCGCGAGCGCGTCAGGGACCGCAAGGGACTTAGGCGGCCGAAAGCCTGCCTCGGACATGGCAGACCGCAGCTGAGACCGGGCTCTGTCCTGGACATCGGGGAGAAGATCCCAGGCATAACTGTCGTTCTTCCGGACGCCGGGAAAAGGCAACCATTTGTCCGCTCGCGGGTCGAAATCTCCATACTGAGTCTCGTTCAGCATGCGAAGCGCATTTCGCTCCTTTTCCAGTTCCCGCTGGTGCTCTCCATCTTGAGAAATCAAGGGCGAACGAGTCTGCGAGCTCAGGAGAAGATAGAAGACGAACAGGAAGAAGAAAAAGGAGCCGCGGTGATCCATAGATGCCGAGGGGACGTAGGCATCGGAGTTGGGGGGGAGGGGGAGAACTCCTAAAGATGAATAGATATACTTAAGTGAAAGCGTGTCGCATCGCCAAACTATGGCAGAAGCAAGCGACACTCATTTAGTGCCGGGCATTAAGCTTTCAAAAGGACCAGGCAACTGAGGATAACTAACGGTGATGATGACGAGGGAAGAAGCGGATGATGAAATGAGGAAGCGGGCGGGAAGTCCAGAGTCGATGATGCGCTGAGTGAGTCGAGGCCTGAGGCCGACGGTCTGGCTGGTCTGGCTTTCCCGTCCCCGCCTTTTTCCCACCCGGCTTAATCGCCGACATTCTTCCCTTCCGAACTGTCAGCACTCCCTGCTTCCTTACTTTGCAAGCTTGCTCGCCCTTTTGTCATTATCATTCCTTTTCGGGCATACTCCTGAGTTTTTCTCCTTCCATTGAGTTCCGGTCAGTGTAACGCTAACGCTGCCTACGATTGATCTGGCCTGTGTATCCCTTCAATTGGATCGGCGCCGGCGCCCCATTCTTCGACGACGTTCGTGATGGCGTCGAACCTCCCCATCCCTATTCCTCCGCGCACTCCGACTCCGCCCGCGGATGACCCTGCCAGCGGCGCGTTCGAGCCATCCTCCGCTCTCTACGATAAAGACTCATTGTCGCCTCTGCGGGATACATTCACTCCCGCCAGGAGTGCTTTGGATGTCAATGATCCGACTCGTTTGAGCCCGACGCGGGCTGGCTTCAATCTGAGTCCAGCCAATGCTCGATCACAAGCCGAACAGAGCGACAATGTCTCGGCTGGACCGTTCAATTTTCAGACAACGACGATGGCCAAGAGCCCCGTTGTCAAGTCTGTGAGTTATCAATATATGGTAAACGTATGGTCATGGTCCTGATTGCCCTTGCCTATCAATTAGAATATCGGACAGCGGCGCGGACACAAGTACAAGCACAGTAGTATATCGCATCAGATCTTCCTCGAGCCACCACCTCGAGCTCCCCTAGCATTGCCCAACTCGTTGCCCATACCCACCTTCAAGGAATATCGATCTAGTATGTCCAAAGACCAAACGACTCGGTTCTGGTGGAGCGTGTGCCACATGTCTGTCGCAGCATATACGCTGTGGAGCGCGCATGGCTCCTTGGCCATGACGGCCTTGTCGCATCTGATCTTGTTCGATTCCATCGGAGCACTCCTCTGTGTCGCGGTGGATATCCTCGGTAATTTCGAGGTGTGGAAGAGATCCAGCGTGCGACACCCGTTCGGGCTCGAACGGGCCGAGGTGCTCGCTGGGTTCGCCATGTGCGTGCTTCTGCTCTTCATGGGCATGGACCTTATATCGCACAACCTTCAGCATTTCTTAGAGTCAGCTGGCCATGAACCGCACCATTCCCACGTCCACGAGCGTGTGTCTCTAGGACGCGTGGATTTTACTGCTCTGCTAGCTATCGTCTCGACGCTGGTCTCCGCAATTGGTCTCAAGAACCACGGGCGGATCGGCAAGGCGATGCGCTTCGGGTACATCGAATCGCTGCCGTCGGTTCTCAGCAACCCGTCCCACTTCCTGACGCTCTCGTGCTCATCTTTGCTGTTGTTGCTGCCGCTCGTCTCCATCAAACTCTACAAGTGGCTGGACGTGCTCCTGTCTGTGACCATCTCCATCTCGATGTGTATCATCGGAGTGCGCTTGGTCAAGACCCTGGGGTCGATGCTTCTCATGTCTTACTCCGGTCAAGGAGTCACCGATGTGATGCGCGACATTGAAACTGATCCTTGTGTGCATGGGGTCGATGATGCTAGATTCTGGCAGGTGCATTACGGCCTGTGTATGGCGAATTTGAAGCTCCGCGTGTCCGGCCCCGAGGAGAATCTGTCACGCCTGCGCGAACGGATCACTAGTCTGATCAAGAACAGACTGGGCGGAGGCTATGGGACTGGAGGGCAGAAATGGGAGGTATCGTTGCAATTTGCGTCAGAGAAGGCATGATCAGGTAGCTGTTCTTATGTATATTATGTATTGAACATATCTTGTTTTCCAATGGAGATACGAACTATCTTAGTCGGCCATTATCAGAGGTTGTTGCTTGGTAGGCATGCTCGTAGTGCTAAGTCTATGCTACATACGACTGAGACAAGAACTTCATGAGAGGAATAGGGCAGGCGCTTTGGATTTCATTTGCATGGATAGAAGGTATGCATGTTTGTAGACTGAACATAGCAGTCTGGAATCTACCCCGTCTACACGGCTCCTGAGCAGACCGTACCAATACAAGCAGGAAAGCACATCCATGCCTTCCGCAGATTCCATCCACAACCTAACTGGACGCAGAAAACACCCCAATACACATCCAACAACCCACCACACACAAATCCACCCCGTCCACCCTGTCCCCCTCCGGGCCATACGGAACCTACACCCAGGTAAATCAATCAAAAGAAAAGCAACTATAAAATTGGCGTTGCAAACAACGATATAAAAAGGACAACCACACACAAAGCATGCAAGCAAACAACAACCCAGATATACACACGCTCCACCCTCCCCGCAACGGAAAGCAGAGAGGGATAAGAGCCATTGTTCTTCAAAGTCTTCTAATTTTCCATCTTCATTTTTCTTTCTGGACCCCGTCCTTGTCCTTCAAGCCGCAGCAGCCAGAACGCTCTCCTCAACCTTGCTCAACGTGCCGCTGTTCTCACGGTCATCCCGCCTCCGGCGCTTCTCGAGGATCGCCTCCCGACGCTGTGCGAGTATACGGAGCTGGCGCTCCTCGACGCCCTGGAGCCAGTAGCCGAAGCTGCCGCCGACGCCGGCGAAGAGCGGGTACACCCACAGGGATTCGCGGGCGAGGATGGGCCGCATTTCGATGCCGAGTTGCCAGAGGCGGACGGCGATTCCTGGATTTGGGTTGTTAGTTTCGTGGGGGTTGGTTGGGTTTATTCATTGGACTGAAGTTGCGTATGGGGCTGTTGTTCATGGGTGGATGCGAAGGGAAGGGCACAGGACATACCGAAGCCGCCCCAGAAGAGGACTTTGTGAACCATGATGTAGAGTATTGAGGGATGGATAGAGGGAGGGCGAGAGGTGTGTTGCACGGAATCAGCCGGCTTTCCTTGCGCGGATTGCAGAATGTCCCGCTGAAAGTTCGATGGGTCAAAAAGAAAACGCTCGATGAAGTTGCGGCCAAAGTGAAGTGCGTTCAATTGACTTCAATTATCCTGCGATTGCACGACGACGGCGGACGGAGGTTGCTGCGTCGAATCACGGGGCCGCAGTTCCCAATCGGGTGGTCGGCTGTCGGGCCATCTGTTCCTCCGGGGAACTCTTTCCCGCGCGCCGGCAGAGGGTGCGTCTCTTGCAGAGGTGGTTCGTGGTTGTTTGCACTCACTGCTCCGTCCGCGCGCCCGCTCCATGCGAGCGCAACCTTTTTTTTGTTTTTAACAATCGTCTTCCTATGTCTCGAGCTGGACTGATTTTAACTTGATACGCGCGACCTGTTATACACCTCTTGCTTCGGCTGCGGAACGCATCTGTCACTAGCCGACTCTCCGCTATGGCTGGTCCACTAGAGGAGACGAGCGCAGATGTGTTGGCCCCGGCGACGCCCACTACTAGTGATGCTGCGGCGACGACAACGACAACAGCGGCGGGTGTGAAGCGGCCGCTGGACATCGACACTCTCCAGCGCAAGAAATACAAAACCGATGAATTGCCCTTAACCGCCGCGCAGCATGCCGCTATCGACAATCTCTTACACGCCTTTAAGAAGAGAGGGGCTTTCGACAATGTGCGCAAGAAGATCTGGGCGGAATTCGAAGACGGGGTGCGTTTTTTTTTTTCAATCTTTGCTCTGGTGTTGGGAGGTTTTTGTTCGCTGATTTAGTCGCATGCGCGCCTGTCTCTCTAGGAAGGAAAAGTCCAATTCACGAATCTACTCGCTGAACTTGCGGAGGTGGAAATTGAGCGCGAACCCGGGCTGCTGTCGCGGGAACGTGGGAAAGCCGCGACGCTGATTGAGGGTGCGGTCGATCGGAGCGACGTGTACAAGACGGTGGAGAGATCGCTCGATGCGCTTGCGTCGAATCACTTGCAGACGATCCTGGACTCCGTGCGCGAGATCCGGCGGGAAGAGGTCGGCGAGGAAGCCGCTGCGGAGGAGGAGAGGGCCGGCAATAAGACCGACGAGGACTACGCGAACTACGTACAGGCTCGGCGCGATGAGCGTGAGAGAGTCTACCAGGAAGCATTGCGCAAGGAGAAGGAACTGGAGGAGGAGGAAGCACGCAAGAAGGCGGAGGAGGACCGCAAACGGCGTGAGGCTGAACGCCAGAAAGAGGAAGAGGAGCGGGCTAGGCGCAAGGAGCGCGAGGACCAGCGGCGGGAAGAGCAGCGCAAGTTGGACGAGCAAAGAGAGAAGGAGCGCCAGGAACGGTACGAGCGCCGGCGTCGCGAGGATCGTGAGAGATTCCGCGATTGGCGGGATCGCAGTCGGACCAGAGACAAAGATTCAGATCGCGACCGAGACCGTTATCGCATCCGTGACCGCTCCCCGGGGCACCGCTCCGAACGAGGCCAGTCTCCCCGCCACCAGGCCCGAAAAGAAGAGTCCCCCACGCCCAAAGAACCCACACCAGCCCCCGCGCCACCACCGGCCCCTGTCGATGAGAAGTCCTTGGAGGAAGCCGCGTTGCAACTGCTACTGAAGGAGGGAGAGGAGCTCGCCGCGAAGGCTCGACAGAAACCCGAGTTTGATTTTGAAGAAGCCGAGGCTATCGAAAACGGGCTCAAACCACCAAAAGCTCCTAAAGCTTCCGACTCGAGATATGCAAGCACCCCTACCCGCGCCGGGAGTCTTCCTGCAGAAGGAGATCCTCTGAAGCGGCGCGGCTCTGCAACAGATGAACGCGTACGGCCACGACGACGTGATGACAGCCGCAGCCGCTCAAGGAGGAGAGGTGTTGCGCCTCCGCTCCACGATGACCGCCGCAACCCATCGCAGGACGTGTCGAGCATGTCTCGTGGACGCGAATCTGATGATCGAGCACCTGTGCGAGACTATCGAGAAAGTCGATACGCTGACCGCAGCTACCGACCCAACCGTCGAAGTCGAAGTCGATCAACGGTGCGCACCCATGATCGAGATCGCGATCGGGATCGAGATCCGGGTACAGACCGCCCACGGTTCCGCGAGAAAAGTCCAGAGCGGGATCGAGATCGGGACAGGAATCGTGATCACGACTATCGCCGAGATCGAGATCGAAGTCGTGATAGGGAGCGGGATCGCCGAGAAAGGGATCGCGACAGGGATCGAGACAGGGACCGGGAGCGCGAAAGAGACAGAGACAGAGACAGAACTCGCGATCGCGACGATTACCGCCGCCGGCGCAGTTACTATTCCCGCTCCCGGTCTCGTCCACGATATAGATCTCGGTCACGCTCGCGATCCCTCCACAGGAATCGGGATCGCGATCGCGATAGGGAGCGAGACAGGGATAGGGACAGGGATCGCGAACGGGACGTTAGAGAGAAGAGGGACTCAAGAGACACCAGGGACACCAGAGACACCAGGGACGCGAGAGACAGTAGGGACGCAAGAGACACCAGAGACCGCGATCGTGATCGAGAGAGGGATCGAGATCGAGATCGAGATCGAGATTACAATCGGGAGCGAGACAGGAATCGGGATCGCGAGCGTGACCGCGACACCACCAACGCCACCAACACCCCTTCCAAAAGCAGCACCGCCGCCGCCGCCGCCGCCGCCGCCACTGCTGCCGTCGCCACCACCGACCACGGCCGTGAGCGCGAACCTGACCGCGAACGAGACCGTCCTCGCAAGGACGAGAAACCCGCGCGCGCCTCTTTATCTTCTCGCCAACGCTCCAGGTCTCGACCTCGCCGCTCGCGCAGCCGCCGTCGCTCACCCAGCACCCTCGACATCGACCGGTACGTCCCACCGACCAGCAATCGCAGCCGGTCTCCGCGTCGTCGCGTACGGTCTCCCGAACGCAACGAGAAAGAGCGCGAAGAACGCCCTCGCTTCGTCGAGATCGATCGCTATATTCCTGGGAGCGGTAGTGGTGGTGCCGAGCCGCCGCGCAAGCCTTCAGACACCGAGTCCGCGTCGGCGACGGCATCGACGACGGCGGCAGCGACCCCGCGCAAACAAGATCGAGAGCCCGACGAGCGTCGGCCGCTGCAACCCACACCTCTGTCGTCTTTGCCTTCGTCTTCTCTGCCTCCTCCGCAGCATCCGCGACGACGGAGTCCCAGTCGCAACCGATGAAATGAACTAACTTTCCTATCGTTGAAGACGGCCGTTTGTCTTCGGCTGTTGTACTGATATATTGTGTTTTACATGGACTTGTAATTGCCTTGCATGGGTTGGCGTTGTTGTTGGGAAACGGGTTCGGTTGGAGGGTTCACAAAAATTTAGGGTCAGGTTGAATGTCCATGGGATTTACTATCGGTTGAGAGAAATATCGCATCGTCTATGCGGAGATGCCTTGCCTTACATGACTATTTCAAGATTCATTGGAAAAGCTTAATACATGGGAAGAGGAGCATTCTCTATTTCACGTGGATAAACTAATGCAGCCTTAGAAGAAGAGAAAAAAGAACATACTGTGCTGCCCGAGCCGCGGGATGCTAAAGAAGGAAAGATGAACGTATGCGGATGCGAACTGGCTATTTGAGCAGATCAATGGAAGATGAAAAGGGGCAGAGAGGTGGTGAAGTGAGGTTTTGAAAAGACCCAAAACCACAGGACTAAGCCATGCCTCACGTCACAGTACTCGCCTTCTCAACCGCTTCGGTGAAGCCGTCGTTCTCGGCATGCCGTTTGTAGAAGTACGCGGTCGAGCCGGTGCCGGTGGGACGCAAATCGGGCGACAGGCGGTCGAGGATGGTCTGCTCGAGAGCCTTGATGGAGCGCTCGTTGTCGCCGAGCTTGTTCCAGACGGAGATGAGGTTGGAGTTGAAGCGTGCGGATGTGGAGACGCCAAGGACGTGGTCGTGTTCTATGTCGTTGTCTGGGTTAGTATATACTCTTGAGAACTGACGCTTCCCTCGTCGAGGGTCCGGGGAAGCGGGGGAGAAGCGGGGCGCAGGGGACAAACATACCCTTCTCCAGCACAGCCTGGAACTCATTCGCCATACACAGGATGGCAATCTCGTGGAAGAACTCCTGTGCCTTGTTCTTGGGCACGCGGAAGCGCCAGCACCCGCCGTTGCGATTCTCCGGGTCCTCCCACACGGGCCGCACGCCCTTGCGAAAGATGTGCACCGTGTCGCGCAGGCGCACCTTGTCCCATGGGTAGTTGTTGTAGACACGATAGAAGGTCGCGATGTCCGACACATCCTCGTGAAGCAGGTACAGGCGCGAGTCGTAGTCCCGCGTCGTGTTCTCCTTGCTCGTGTCGCTGTTGTGCTTGTCGTACCACACGGCCCAGTGGTACTGGAACGGCAGCGGCCGCAGCTTGCCGAAGATGTTCTGGTGGAGCGACTTGCGGGTTGTCGCGGAGGACGGCGAGGTCGGGTTGCTCTGCGCCTTCGCTTGCGTCTTGTCTATGTCCTCGGGCGGACTGGCGGGCTGGTTGTTCGTCATGGAGATGGGCATCTTGTCTGTCTCGCTTGTTTGCGGTTGCTTGTGTTCGGATGCTGGGTGTATAGATCGGGTGGCTCTACGTTGGGGTTTGGGTTGACAGAGGCACCGCAGTGGAGGTGAGGCGAGGGCCACTGATCATGCCAATGCGACTCTAGGAGTGGTCGATACAGTGGGTGGTGTCGTGCTTGGGAGATCTTGTGAATCTCTTATAGTTCGGTCAGCTGTTCCTGAAGATAGCCTGAAACGCGGGATGAGTGTAAGGACAATGAGAGGTATGGATATGAAAGAGAGAATGACGGATGCGAACCAGGAACTATGTTATTGATACTGGCTCAGATGAAGAAAGACAAAGAAGCCACAGGATAAAATAAGAAACAGGGAAAAGCTACCAACCAAAGTAGGCAACAGTGAGTGTATTCAATTCCGAGATCTGGCCAGCCAACCAATCGAGTGGGAATGGAGGATGACAGCAACAGTTGTTCCTGTGGGAGTAGAACTGTGACAGACAATGAAGTTCTCAGTGAGTAGGGAAGAAGAGAGAGAGAAAAGAGGAGGAGGGGAAAAAGGTCAGTCAAATAGAAGAAGAAATCAGGGAATCAAGTGAGGGAGTGAGGGAGTGAGTGCGTGAGTGAGTGAATTGATAACTAACATAACATCCCCTGAATGCGGGAGGATGTAGTGGATTCAACGCATGGATCAAGTTGAAGAAGTAAGACAACAAGACAGAGTGATGATTTACTCGGGACTGGCTGCCCGTCTGTTCAATCAGTGCAATCACCTGCAGAGCGATCAAGCCGCTCGGAAAAGAGGCCTGGGCGATTGGCGAGTGCATGCGCCCTCCCCGGCTGTCATCATTGTGCAGCAACCTTCTGGCAGTAGACTTGACTTGCATGACTTGTTGTTGACTTGGAGATAATCAAATCAACTGGTCTGGTCCGTCTTTCCCCCGCCCACTTTCCTTTCTTTCCCCCCCCACTTCGGCGCCAATTCGATCGCCCGCAGTTTCAGTCGATCTTGAATTTATCCATTCTTCTTTTCTCCTTCCACCATAACCCACCATCTACACCTCAAGCACCCTTCACAATGAGTGCGCCCGCATCCAATCCCTCTCGCGACGATCGCGTCGCACTTTCCTCCCCCTCTGCCCCTCCACACAGCCAAACAACCACCGCTCCTCCCCACCACCGCCCCGGCCCCAATGAAGACGACAGCGACGATTACACCTCCTCCTCCGGCCCAAGCGACAGCGAAGACAGCGACGACGACGAAGGCGAAGACAACAACGCAGCCTCTCATCCCCCCAGCACAACAAACCTCCCCACGCGCAACCCCACCACCACCACCAGCACCTCCTCCTCGAAACCCTCCGACACCATCCCCCGCATTCCCGCCCTTCCGAAACCCAACATCCACCGCATCCAGCAAACCCCCGACCTTCTCTCCCGCCTATCATCTTTCCTCCCGCAGATGAAGACCGCCAACGAGCAGCTCGAGCGCGACATCGCCGCAGGTCGGGCCAAGGATATCCGTCTGGACGATGCGATGGATGAGGGGGAGGACGCGGACGATGACGAAGACGGCCAGGACGGGAAACGTTATATCGAGATGGTGGGTGCCCCCTCCTCCTCCTTTTCCCTTCTTGGAGGTTCGCATTCGAGAACCTTGGCTAACTTGCATACTGGTAGAACCTCGGATTGGGCGTGCTGGAAGAGAAACGGCCCGACGATGAGATCGCGAGCCCGGCGCACACACACACCGAGGAGATGGTGCTGGCGGAGCGGCCCAAGGATTCTGGGGTTTTGGATACTCTCATGGGTAATACAGATGCTACTGCGGCGGCGGCGTCGAAACCCACGATTGAGGAGTTGGAAAGGTGATTCATCTGTCTTGTTGTGGATATTGACACAAACAAAAAAAAGTTGGGGTTAGGCTGGGTTTCTGGTGCATGGCTGACGGCGTTTGGGATTTGAGGTTATGATGTTTTGATATCTTTCGCGTTGTCTGTGGTTCTGGTTCTCGGGAATATATGCATGGTTTGGACATTTCTAGATACCTGCAGGATCCCATGTCATCCTGCAGGATACAGATGTAGACTACTTTTGGACTTGAACTATAATTGACCAAGACAGAAAAAGGAAGAACTATGAATAATTAAACAGTTATACCGAAAAAGTCTAATACATGAACCCATATACAAACACCCGAGTCTAGCCTATTTGCACGAAAAGAGAAGGAAGTGCCCCGAGGCTGAAAATGTGGTATTGATTAATTATACGTCACCGCATCACCATCATCCATTTAGAACACTTCCTTGACCCGGCATGTCCAGCCAGACTCTTGGCTCAGAAGAGGCAAACTGCAAAGACAAGTTAGCAAACATACACGTGATTCAGACCGATAAGCTTACCTAGCTCCCAGACACCAGCCAAGCTCGTTGTTCTTGATCTTCTTGGCGATCTTGACCTCACGCGACAACGGCATCTCGTAACCCGTGTGCAAGAGACCCAGCATGAAGTTCAGGTCCAAGCACCACTCGGGCCGGCCGTTCAACTGGGGAATAGCGTCCTCAATTCCCTCGAAGATCTTCCACTCCGGCTTACCAGCGCAGACCGTCGAGGTAAGGTGGTGCAGCTCCTCCAGAGTGAAAGAGTCCGGCATGCCCAAAGGCTTGGTGCGATCATAGAAGTAGGAGAAGACGTAGACATCCTCCCGAGAGAACGTCTTAGCCAGGGAAGGCTGGTGCACTCCGTTGAACGAGCAGGGCGCCAGCTTGCAGTCGGCTTCCTTCTTGAGGATCTTCTCGGTCAGACCGCGACACTGAGGCGCCGCAGAAGACCCTTCCTTCGGACCCACCATCTTGACGCTGACCTTGGGAGCGAGAGTGTGGCCAGCTTCGAAGGAGACTTCCACGTCGCGCTCCATACCAGGCCCAATGCAAGGGTTGGAGATAGGCTGCTGGAGCCAGGCCCGGTCCGTGGGACTGGCGGCAAGCTTAGCCTCGATAACAGCCCTGTGGACTGCCTCCCGAGCAGCCATAAGTCCGTATCCCAGATGAGAGTGCTGGTACAACTCAAAGTGCCGACCGCCAAACTCAAGATCGTACCGGTGGTCACCTTCGGCCAGGTGCTCGGGCATACCGCCGGATGGGCTCTTGGGGTACGTGGGTTGAAAGACAATCTGAGTAGAACCACCACCCAGGTCGAAGATGGCAGCAGTCGGGGTCTCGTCAGGTCCGCCAATCTTGCCGAGAAGGTAGTTGGTGGTGATCCAGGCGTAAACACCCTCATCCGAACCATCCATGATTTCGACGCCACCCTTCTCCCGGGAAACGACGGGGAAGGGATACACGGTCTCCAGACGAGTCCTGACGGCCTCAAGGATCTTCATGCTCATCTCATTGCCAAGCATGCGCAACCCGGCGGTGGCCTTAACAGCAATGGGCGAGCATGACCTATACTCCTCAGGCACGGACTTCAGGGCCGTCTGCATGAGGGGATCCAAGCTCTTAGCCGCTCCCTCAGCATCCTCCTTGTATGCGCTCAGGCCAGAGCCGCCTTCTCTCTTCGCGGTCTGCTCAAAGACCTCGTTCTCAAGCTCCGGGGTAGGGCCGCAGTTGTTGAAACGGTAGACGTGAATCCGAGAGCCCTGGCTGCCGGCATCGATCATGAGCGCATACTGGATAAGGGGTTTGGACGAGTCATAGGGCTTTGTGCACTTCTCCGTCAGAGGTGCTGCGCCGGTCGAAGGCTTTTCTATAAACGATGGTTGAGTACCCGTGGCATTGCCTAATGCGGAGAAAGGACTTACGGTATCCTCCAAAGTTGCTCACAGATGGCTTGGACGGCGAAAGCCAGAGGAGCATCAACAGAACAAAACCAACAACAGCTCCTGTTTTCAAGTAGCGAGAGCGTTGAGTTTGAGCCATGGCGAACATTGAATATTGGTCAGTCGACTTGGGATCGTGAGAATTCTCAGGAACTTTTGCGGGGGTAGAAGTGCGCGAAATCGAGCGTCGACTATTTCTGGAGCCCGGTTTAGAAAAAGACGGTAAACCCTTGAGATGTCGGCTGTCAACTCCAGTCGACATGCGGGCAAGGCAAGTAGACAAGGCTATGGCGTTTCGGACAACGCTCCTGAATTCCGACCGAGTTGGACGAGAAGGAAAGATTGACAATTAGCGGTCGTAGCGAACCATAGGATCGTCCAGGAACTTCTGTTCCAGCCCAAAAGGATTGTGGATTGGGGGAAGAGAGATTTAAAGAGAACAAAAGCACATCAAACAACGAAGGGAAGGATGAGAGTGAAGGTGGTCGTCAGGGGAAGGGAAAAAGACCAAAGAAACTAAATCAGAGAGAGGACGAAGGAGGAAGCGAGAAAGACGACGACCGTACGGGATGAGACACGGGGAGGCAAATGGGGTTCAGCTGGCTCAACCTCTCAGCGTTCAGCGTTCAGGGTCTCTCTGGTTAAGGATCCGCCCTGTCGTGGCGGCGGCTGTCACTGTGGCTGGTGAGGCGGTGGGCTTCCTGCTTTGCCCGCCGCATGCGTTACAGCTCTTTTCCCGGGACACATTCCTCATTATTGTGACAATACCACACTCGCCAGTATTTTCTGCAGTTAGCTTATTATTCCACTCCTTCGGTCGGTTTCGTTCGATCAGATTCTTGCTCCGTGACCGCAATCATCCTTGCGCCGAACATGAAGCACATGCGCAGCCTTCTCTCCACAGCGCAAGCCCTGCGCCAGGTCTTTCTTCCGCCCCAAACCATCCTCCGATCGCAATATCTACGGCCTTCATCCATTGGCATTCGGGCATCTCTCCGCCCTTTCACCTCCACCCCGGAATTCCTGGCATCGAGACCGAAAGCAAAACCAGAAGATAAGAGATCAAGTGTAGCAAACCTTGTCAAAGATGAAGCCATCACCGCGGAGTATGTCCAGCTTGTGAACGTGGAGGGCACTCTGGACCCTCCAGTTCGAACCTGGCTGGCTCTCAGGAGAATCGACCGTGCCAAGGAGTGGTTGATCCAGGTCAAAGCAGAGATGGATGGCGCGCCGCCGGTCTGCAAGGTCGTGAACAAAGCCGAGTATCGTGAGCAAGAACGTGCCCGAGCCAAGGCGGCTCATGCTGCTCGAACCTCTCTCAAGCAAGTGGAATTGAACTGGGCCATTGACAATCATGATCTCAGCCACCGTTTGAAAAAGATCACGGAGTTCATTACCAAGGGTCACAAGGTGGAGGTTGTCTTGTTGAGGAAGAAATACAAGAGAGCCCCTAAGCCGGAGGAGGTTAAAAACGTCATGGACAAGGTTGTGCAGACCATCAAGGAGGCCAATGGTATGCAAATCAAGCCCATGGAGGGAGAGCCGGGGAATCATGTTTTGTTCACTGTGAAGAAGAAGCCCGACCAGCAACATCAGCAGCAGCAGCAGGCGGAGACGCAGCCGGAGACGCAGCCGGAGAAGCAGCCGGAGACTCAGCCCGAGACTGTGTATTAGATCATACTCTTGTATATTAGCCCAGCCCGTATCTATTTCCTCTTAAGGCAGGCGTTGTAGCCGACCAATTCCCATCAATTGGCCTACCTACTAGTAGTATTCTCGGCCATCATCATCATCATACTAGAAGGTAGGTAGAGTAGTAGTAGCGGGCTGTTCCTGACCGACTCCGCAATGCTGCGGGTGTGATTGGTCTGAGGCTGAGTCAGCCGCTCTCCTAGAATTTTCCGGCTTAAACAAGGTCGACCTCCAAACCTTCCCGGTCCGGCTCGTTTTGATTTCTGTCCATCGCGTTCCCCTTTGGTTTCCCTTCCTGTTGTTGTTTTTCCATCGCAGGTAGCCATCATGTCGAGCCTTGCCAGATCTGCCAACCTCTTGCTGCGTTCCAGCCGCGCCTCTCTGCTGCGTCCGCGTGCTGTGAACCCTATCCAGCATGTCTTCGCCAAAGACAGATTGGCTGCCCGGGGTCTGGCAACCGCTTTCGAGCGTACTAAGCCTCACGTCAACATCGGTATGCTTCCCCAATTATTCATCCTAACTTCCTACTACAAACACTAACTCATGTCGGACAGGTACCATTGGTCACGTCGATCACGGCAAGGTTAGCACCATCTTCCCCTCCTACGGCTTTTCCTTTTCCCCGATTTGGCTTCGAAAACTTCTCACACTTTCAATCAGACCACTCTGAGTGCTGCCATCACCAAGCAGCAGGCCAGCAAGGGCCTTGCGAACTTCCTCGACTATGGCTCTATCGACAAGGCCCCTGAGGAGCGCAAGCGTGGAATCACCATCTCCTCTGCTCACATCGAGTACGCCACCGAGGCTCGCCACTACTCCCACGTCGACTGCCCTGGTCACGCCGATTACATCAAGAACATGATTACTGGTGCTGCCAACATGGACGGTGCCATTGTTGTCGTTGCTGCTTCTGACGGTCAGATGTACGGTGATCCCTCTTCCTCTTGTCAGTGACTGTGCTCACACTGTTCTATAGGCCCCAGACCCGTGAGCACTTGCTGCTCGCCCGTCAGGTCGGTGTCCAGAAGATCGTTGTCTTCGTCAACAAGGTCGATGCCGTCGATGACCCGGAGATGTTGGAGCTCGTCGAGCTGGAAATGCGCGAGCTTCTCAGCCACTACGGCTTCGAGGGTGAGGAGACCCCCATCATCTTCGGCTCTGCCCTCTGCGCCATCGAGGACAAGCGTCCCGATATCGGTGCCGAGAGAATCGACCAGCTTCTCGAGGCTGTTGACACCTGGATCCCCACCCCCCAACGTGACTTGGACAAGCCTTTCTTGATGTCCGTTGAGGAAGTCTTCTCCATCCCCGGTCGTGGTACTGTCGTTTCCGGCCGTGTCGAGCGTGGTCTCCTGAAGAAGGATAGCGAAGTCGAGATCGTCGGTACCTCCAACGAGATCCTCAAGACCAAGGTCACCGACATTGAAACCTTCAAGAAGTCTTGCGACGAGTCCCGTGCCGGTGACAACTCTGGTCTCCTTCTCCGTGGTATCCGCCGTGAGGACGTCAAGCGTGGTATGGTCGTCGCCGCTCCCGGCAGCGCCCGTGCCCACGACAAGTTCATGGTCTCCATGTACGTCCTGACCGAGGCTGAAGGTGGCCGTCGCAGCGGGTTCGGTGTTCAGTACCGCCCCCAGTTGTACATCCGCACTGCTGGTAAGTGAAATCCACTCTCCGATGAGGCTTGGTATAGGCTGCTAATCCCGTATCACAGATGAGGCTGCTGAGTTCAGCTTCCCCGACGGTGACGACTCCCGCCGCATCATGCCCGGTGACAACGTCGAGGTCATTGTCAAGACCCTCCGCCCTCTCGCTGCCGAGGCTGGTCAGCGCTTCAACGTCCGTGAAGGTGGCCGCACGATCGCCACTGGTCTGGTTACCCGTGTGTTGGAGAAATAAACAGCCGGACCCCCGACTGGCTACCATGTACTATGAATCAAAATCTTGTCTGGGAAATCTTATAATGTTTACACCATCTTGCGGCGCGGGTATCAGCGAAGGGGTGAATCTGGGAACGCTGGATCACTTGTGATGGTGGGTTGTTCTGGAGTTTCGAGACATATCCATGTATCATGTATTGTATTTGAATTTTTTTTGTAGACTCGCTATGCCTTCTCCTCTCTTCAGTTTCTGTGTCCAGATGTCTAGGTCTGAATATATGAACCGTTATGATCAGTTTTGACATGTAGCTCGTATCAGTTAGGTCAACTTCATGCAGTCTCATCGTATGATGAATTGTTTCCAGTCACCACTTAGTAAAGTATCCACCGAATGTTCCCTAATTTGAGTCGGACCAAATCACGGACCTCGACTAAACCCGAACAAGCAAAACCCGGGTTTGGGTGGGGGGAGTGGTGGCGGCCTGGATGCTCAGGCGACGAATCCACTAGACTACTAGACGGTCGACCCCCCGGACAACCGACCAAACAAGAATAGACAGACCAAAGAGGGTCCGCCGCCTGCCTCCTCCTGACCAGACCTGACTTGACCTCCAGCCACACTCTTCCCAACAACATATGAACTCACTAACTAACTTCCTCTTCGATCAGCGGGGCGCTTCTCTTGATTCTCGAATTGTCTTGTGATTCTTGTCCCCGTTTCCCATGGTGATGCCCTTCTGACCTCATTATACTGTCGCTCACCTCGCTCCTTGCATCCTCCCTCCCCCCCGTTTTATCTCTTCTTGTACAATACTACTAGTCTACTTCCTCTTGCCACGGTCTCCGCATCTGACGTCCCTTTTCCACTTGCGCCCCGGGTTGTACTTGATTGCAGCTCTGCTCCCACCACAGCCCCCTTTTAGTTATTTTTCGGATATACATTGGACGAGAACACGCTTTAGCATTGTCGACCGGCGTGCCGCGCAAACGCCTGTTATCCCGTCATGGCAACCAACGGCCATTTTGCCTCGATTGGCAACGGCAGCAGCGACAAGACTGCTTACGAGCATGGCGTGCAAGTCATTGACGGAGACAAGGAATTCAAGTAAGCTACGCTCTCCTCCTACCGAATTACCCTGCGTTTGCGCAATGCGTGGGTTGTTCCGCACGCACTCCTTTACATCACTGTATAGGAAGTCGTCATCATCAGGGGACGATATATCTAGCGTGCACCTGGCGCATGAAGTTAACCACTATGACATCGCAGTCCGAACCTTTCGCAATACCTAAACCTCGAAGATGTCACCCACGCGGGTTTTAACTACCACCTCATCTCCGTGTTCGGGTCCCAGTCGACGGGAAAGTCCACGCTGCTGAATCACCTCTTCGGCACGCATTTCTCCGTCATGTCCGAGCTGGAGCGTCGCCAGACGACCAAGGGTATCTGGATGTCGAAGAACAAGAACGGTGGGGACTCATCGATGGCGGATAACATCCTGGTCATGGACGTGGAGGGCACGGACGGTCGCGAGAGAGGCGAGGACCAGGATTTCGAGCGCAAGAGCGCTCTCTTTGCGCTGGCGACCAGTGAGGTCTTGATCGTCAATATCTGGGAACACCAGGTCGGATTGTATCAGGGCGCAAACATGGGATTGCTCAAGACGGTGTTCGAGGTCAATCTGCAGCTGTTCCTGAAGGATCGGAAGTATGTGTCTTGTACTGGTCCGTTCGGCTTGTCTATTGTGCTAATTGCCACTCTTTTGTCTGATACAGTACCACCCACCGATCCCTCCTCTTCTTCGTGATCCGTGATTTCGTCGGCAATACGCCCCTGAAGAACTTGCAGACTACCCTCATGGAGGACATGTCCCGACTGTGGGACTCGATCTCGAAGCCCGCCGGCTTGGAGCAGTCGTCGGTGCACGATTACTTTGATTTCCAATTCTACGGCCTTCCGCACAAGAGCTACCAGCCTGAGCAGTTCGTCGCCGAGACTAAGAAGCTCAGCCTACGTTTCCGTGAAGACCACAAGGACGCCAGCCTCGACCCTCGCAAGGGTGAATTCTCCGATGGGGGAGTTTTCCTGCCCGAGTACCACCGCAGAATCCCTGCGGATGGATTCTCCAAGTATGCGGAGGGAATCTGGGATCAGATTGTGAACAACAAGGACCTGGACCTTCCGACTCAACAGGAGCTGTTGGCACAGTTCCGCTGCGATGAAATTCTTCGGGAGGTCATGGTTGCGTTTGACGAGGCTATTGTCCCCTTCGAGGACAAGCAATCGCAGGCAGCTCGCCTTGGGGAGCCAGAGATCCTCGGTGGCTTGGGCGCTGCCATGCGCTCCTCTCGCAGCAAGGCGTTCAGCAGTTTTGAGGTCGAGGCCAGTCGGTATCACAAGGGTGTCTACCAGCGCAAGCAGGCGGAGCTGGAGGATAAGATTGACACCCGCCTGAAGGCGCTCTTCCAGGGTCAACTGGATGCCATGCACAAGGCCGGCATCAACGAGTTCAGCGAGGCGGTCTCCGGCACTGTCAAGGCTGGTCAGAAGAAGGGTACCGGCTACGACTTTGCGGAGATCGTCAACGAGGAGGTGACCAAGGCGATCCAGAAGTTCGAGGAGGTTGCGCGCGCCACTGTCGTCGAGGAGACGGCCTGGAGCGATTACCAGCAGCAGTTGTCTCTGTATGAGAAAGAGCTGGCCGATGTGAGCGCACGGTTGCGACGGGAGGAGATGAGACGGCTGGCCAGTCGGGTTGAGCGCTGGGTTCAGTCCCGTTTGGGAGAATCGATCGGCTTGGAGTTCAACGCGCTTGGCTCTGGCCGCGCCGGAGGCGGTGCACCAGAGGAAGGCGACAAGCCTACCGAGAAGAAATTCTGGGACCGCGTCTGGAATGTGTTTGTCGAGACGGTTCTCGATGCTGAGCGCAGATTTACCGACCGCGCCAGTAGCTTCGATGCCAGTTTAGAAGAGGTGGATGTTGGCCTGTGGCGCTTGCGCCGGAAGTCCTGGGGTGTGCTGCGTGCCAAGATTGAGGAGGAGATGCTGGAAGGCAATTTGCTCCTGAAGCTGCGCGAGAACTTTGAGGACAAATTCCGCTATGACGAGGCTGGTGTGCCCAGGATCTGGCGCCCGACGGATGACATTGAGGGTATCTATACACGGGCTCGCGAGTCGACGCTAACGCTCATCCCGCTGCTATCCCGCTTTCGCCTCGAGGAAACGTCCACTCCGCCTCCGCTGGATCGCTGGATCGGCCACACCCCCAGCTCTTCGACACCGGCGGACGAGGAGGACCTGCCGCCGATTGGAGGAGTGGATGAAGAGGAAGGCAAGAGCTTGGAGGAGGAGATGACGATGCTCAGCGAGGCCAAGCGCCAGGAATTGACGGTGCGGTTCAAGAAGGCGGCGGATGGAGTCTATGTGGAGGCTAAGCGGAGTGCCATCGGGGGCATGACGCAGGTTCCGCTGTACTTCTATGGTATTCTCCTTGCGCTCGGCTGGAACGAGATCATTGCCGGTAAGCTTTTTTACTGTGTGGGGAGGACAATAGCTAATGAGCCACAGTGCTTCGTAACCCGGCCTACTTCTTCCTGTTGTTCGTGTGCGCAGTGGCCGCATACGTGACCTATCAGCTCAACCTCTGGGGACCGATCATGAAGATGACGGAGGCGGCCTCCAACCAGGCCATGGTGGAGGGCAAGCGACGACTGCGCGAGTTTCTTGAGTCGTCCGATACAGGCCGTCAGGCAATTGCTATGTCGACGCCGGGCGGCGCTGGGCGGGGCGAGGAGCATGAGATGTCGCGACTCAACAAGAAAGGACAGAGTGTGACAGAGGATGAAGATGATCTGTGAATAGGGGAGACAGTGTCTTGAGTTCTTGTATTCATCATTGTGTATTGTCTTGTCTAAATAGATATTCTTATATAACGGCCTGCAGCTGTTTCCACCGCTCACCGGAATTACTCCGATTCCCCGCTTTCTCCACGACGCCCCTCATCTCATCAGCTCTTCTTCTGTCTCTCATGCTCTCATGCTGGTACTGTCCACCTTCGAACTTTTGAAATTTTGTTTCGAATATACCCATTCGCACCTTGTATCGCTTATAGCTCTACAATGTCCGACTTCAACCCTCCCGAAACCTACGATGACCTACCGGACAAGCGCCGATATTGGCCGGCGGCACCAGGCTCGCGCGAAGAAGGACTGGGCATGCTCCGCTTGTTGACGCCGGAGGTGGTTGCCAACGCAGCGCGGACGCAGATCCAGACAGGTGAGCGCGTCTGTCTGAACTGGGACCTCGAGAAGCTGAATCCCCCGGGTAAGTTTTGGCCTATGTTATGTCCTTCAGCGATAACACACTACTACCTGGAATACTAACTACGTCACCGCGGGAGGGCGCAGGCTTCAACCGCAAGCCCTTCGAGCACAAAGTCAAGTGGGTAGCAGAGGGCGTCGCCTTCGACGACGAGTACCACTTTAACCCGCAGCAATCGTCACAATGGGACGGACTGCGTCACCACAACGCACCGGCCCCGCGCGACGACGGTAACACGACAACGACAACCGACGGCCCGGACGCCGACGCCGACCAGCAGCAGCAGAAACAACAGCAACAGCAGCAGGAACAGCTCTTCTACGGCGGGACAACAGCAGCCGAGATCCTAGACCCGCGATCCTCACGCATCGGGATCGGGCACTGGGCGAAACAGGGCATCGCAGGCCGCGGAGTGCTGATCGATTACTACACCTGGGCACGGGAGCAACGAGGGGAGACGATCAACGCGCTCAGCCAGACGGAGATCTCGCTGGACGACGTGCAGACAATCGCGCGGGAATGCGGAATCCGGTTCCAGCGCGGCGATATTCTGTTCCTGCGCGTCGGCCTGCCGGCCACGTGGGACGCCATGACCGAGGCCCAGAAGGCGGAGTATAGCCGCCAGCCCACGCCCCAGCATGCCGGGCTCGAGCAGAGCGAGCGCGTGCTCCGCTTCCTCTGGGACAATCACTTTGCTGCTGTCGCGTCTGATGCTGTTAGCTTTGAGGTCTATCCGCCCCGTAGACCGGAGTTCGATCTCCATCATTTTCTACTTGCGGGGTGGGGGGTGCCCATCGGGGAGATGTTTGATCTGGATGAATTGGCGGCTATGTGTCGGCGTTTGGGACGCTGGACTTTCTTTGTGTCGAGCAGTCCGTTGAATTGTGCGCAGGGGGTGTCGAGTCCACCGAATTGTATGGCGATTTTTTGATGGAGTGTCGATGATGAGGGGGTGTAGGCAAGGTATTATCGGTGGGTGGAATGATGATAAGAGATGAGATAAGCACGGGTTCCGCGCCGCGCCTCGGCTCAATCACTCAATTTCCATCGCGTCTCATTTTTGAGGATTCTCCATTTACCAGGGAACCGAGCGTCTGTCGCGGGTTCAGCTGTCGTTTTCTTTCAGACAGACAGGTGTCCCTGTTGTCTTGTGCTCTGTTGGTGCGCTTCGCTAGTAGCTTGTATCCTCAGTCATTCTTGTTGAACTACAGCTTAGCTAGCTAGCTAACTAGCTAGCATCGCATTACAACAAACAACATGGCCATCCTATCCACTCTAGCCACCCTCCTCAAGGAATACATCGCATCGCTCCTAACATGGAAAGCCTTAGCGCTATTCCTGGCGGTGATCAACCTGAAGAACCTCCCTCTCGCATGGCACGTAAGTACTCTCGCCCCCCCGCCGCAACAACCAACCCCAACCCAGCTCCTCATTCCTCCCCAGCCAGACCCTCCCAACCCTCCTCCCACCCCCAACCTCCCTCCTACCTCCCAACTAACCAGGAACCAAAAGGCCCGCCTAGCCAAAAACCTCTACCTCAACATCCGGCGCACACCAACCGACCCCCACCACCCACCGCACACGCACCCGCAACCGCACAGCAAACACCCGATCTTCCTCCCGCTCACCATAACCTCGCGCACCCCAATCCTAGAAACAGACTACAACCTCCACAAATCCAACAGCACGTATTTCTCCGATCTGGACATCGCGCGCACCGCCCTCGCCACCCGGATCTTCACGCCGGGCTCCCGCATCGTCAACCGCGAGCTGGACGCCGAGATCGCCTCCTCCTCCTCCCAGACCCAATCCGGTAGTGCAAGCGCAGGTGCAGCCGGGGCCGGGGCCGGGGGTAAACTAGGCCTGTATATAGCCCTAGGCAGCGTGTTTTGCAGCTTCAAGCGCGAGATCAAGCCGTTCGAGCGGTATGAGATCTCCTCTCGCGTGGTTGCTTGGGATGAGAAGTGGGTTTATATGGTTAGTTTCTTTGTGAGGCCTTCTAGGGCTTCGGGGAAGGGGGATAAGGCTGAAGGGAAAGAGAGGGGCAGGTTGTTGGCGACGGCTGTTAGTAAGTATGTTGTTAAGAAGGGCCGGATGACTGTTCCTCCTGAGCGGGTGTTACGGGCTAGTGGCTTTTTGCCGGATAGGACGGGTAATATCACCGGGACGGGGACTGGGATAGGGGGTCTTACGCCGGGGGAGAGTAGTGATGACGGGATCACGGCTGCTGCGACCGCTACTGCTGTGGATGCGGAGGTTGTGAGGGAGGTTTTGGTGAGTGGTGGGATTGGGGATGAGGAGGAAGAGACGAAGGAGGAGCTCCGGCGGAGGAATGTCGGTTCGTGGAATGAGGAGGACTGGCCGTGGGAGAGGATCGAGGAGGAACGGTTGCGTGGGTTGAAGGTTGTGGAGGGCTATGCGGGTTTGGATGCGAAGTTGTTTGAGGAGTGGGGTGGGGAGTGATGCTTGTATAGAATAGACAAAGTGTAGATTTAGACTAGGCGCGTGTATCATATGCTGTTACTTGGCTGTACTTGGGTTCTGCGGGTTGGTGATGATCTTATGGCTTCTGCCTAGGTCAACATAGGACTGATATTTTCATATGTGATGAGGGTGGAAGCTAGGTCATGGTTCAACTACTTCCGCGTTCGGCACGCTCTTCGGGTGTAGAATCACGGACAAGAGTTGGAAAGAGGGAAAGAGAGGGTATGAGAGTTGAAAGCCAGGGTCTACATCGCGGGGGACTCGAACGAACCGCTGCGATTAACTACAGGTTTACTAGAAGGGACTTCTGTAGCCTGTAATGGGTTTCAGGTCTATTGATATCGCGCGGCGCACGATTGAGGAGGCGGCTGTGATCACATGAGACCGAACAATTCGTACGCTTTCTCGGATGTATGTACTTTTCAAACGAACAACCTGTCTGTATCGGGGGGCTCGAGGCATTCCTTGAGTTGCTGGATTGTGGGTGCCGTCGAACAAGGGCCAATTTTAGTCGATTGAATGGGTCCTCGAACATCTCGGGATGTGCGTAGTATGTTCACTGCCTTCGACAGTGCCAAGAGAGTCCTCTCATGGCTGCAAGCCCCAGGCATAGCTGGGAAATTGGTATGACAAAATCCCATCCCGTCGAATGTGGTGAGGGTGCCGACAGGCTCATTGACAACAACAACATCACCAAGACGGATGTCATGCCATCTAGGTCCACCACCTGCAATCCCGACCAGCAATGCGCATTTGATTTTCGAAAGACGTTCAGCACAATTTGCAGTGCTTCGTTAGCCTCATTCGACAGAATAACAATCACATTCACATTCTCTTTACCAAGCAGGCCCCCGGACGTGCACTGACCCAGCGTCATATGACTATATTCTTCTTTGTCGCAAAGAGGGTCATGTATTTCATCGAGCACCGCTTTAACTGCAGCATACTCCAGTTCTCGGGTGCAGGTCCATGACACTTTGTAATTATCGTAGGTGTAGCTCATCTTATGTACTGAAGTCTCTCAAGAAGGCCTTGGAAAGCGAAGATAAGTAACTCGAGGTGTTTTTAATCTTGAGGTGCGGGTTGATCTTGCAAGAGTGTAAGTGAATTAGATAAAAAAGGAAAAGAGGGGAGTCCAGCGCGTGGTACTACAAGTGTCCTCCTCATGATTGGCGGCCACAGGTTAGCCGCTGCATGCCCTATAGGGGGTGAATGACTGCTGTAGTTTTGCTGCTCATGTAGGAGAACATAAGATAAGAAGTCAAGGCAGTATGAAGTAACGAGTGAGACGTTGGGGTGAGAGAGCATCGAGGCAGGGAGAAGGAGGAGTCAGTTGTTCCGAATCAGGCAAGCGATGAGTAGCGAAACTTGAGACATGTGATCACAAGGAGACCTTGCAAATAAACCACTCTGGGTGTCAATATTTTGAACATGTACTCTTAACTTATCTGCTACCTAATCTGACTCTCAGCTTCTGTCTTGTATGTCAAGTTAACTATCCACCCGCATGACTCAAAAGTCTACTCACCACCTCCTCCAACTCCATCTCTCCTCTATATACCTTCACCCCCTCCCTCTTCTTAGCATCAGTATGCATCACACCCCCTGGCAAGAAACTCAACGTCATCTCCACAAACGGCCCAACGGCCACCTTCGGCAGAAACCGCCCAAAGAACTCCTCCAGATTCTCTTTGGCAACAGGTCTCAACTCCACCTGCCGACCCAGGACCTTCTCAAAAGCACGCTGCACATCAACAGGCGTATAATCCCTCGGACCCTGTAACTCAAACACATACGGCGTCTGGGGCACCTTATCCATGAGAATAGACTGCATGCTGTGGTAGCCGATATCTTTGACTGCGACCTTCCATAGAATCAGCAGCTGTGCATACCTCCCAAACTCATCCCCCCCCCCCAGATCTACCCCCCTCAAACATCACCAACCACTCTTTGATACTCCAGTCCACCGGAAGAAATCAAACTCACCATCGGCACCGCAAACTCGACCGGCGTAATCACGGTCTCCAAATACGGCCTGTCACTGCGCACGGTCTCGACCGCCGCCGCCCAATTCTCCATGAAATACGCACACCGCATGATAATCACCTCCGACGCTGCATCTTTCAGAATCTCTTCCGAGATGTGATTCGTCATGATCTCGCCCTATCGCCCGAGGCACACAAGCCATTAGCCCAGTCCACTATTCCAGCTCCCACCCACAGGCTATCCCACGCAACCATCCTGACTGAAGAGCAAACCGAACGGAAAGGGGGAAACATACCGTCCCACCCTCAAACTCCGCCCCCATACTCGACAGCAACACCAATCGCTTCACGGTTCCAGACCGCTGGATCGCGAGTCGGACGTTCGTGGAGACCGTTGTCGCCCATTGCAGGAGGTTCGTGCCGTCGTAGCAGGGCGGGAGGACGAAGAAGACGGTGTCGAAGCTGTGGAAATTTAGGGTGGCTGGGTCGCTGAGGTCGCCCGGGTAGGATTCAAAGTTCGGGTTGGTTTGGAATTCGGGCGGCACGCGGGTGAGGTTGCGGTAGAGGCCGCGGATGTGGATGGGGTCCTGCTTTTGCGGGGTGGTGAGGAGGTTGTGAATGGTGGTCCGGGAGGTTTGTGGGGAGGCGGGGACTATTAGGATGCGCATTTTGAGGAGATCACTAGTTGGTGGGAGGTTTTACTTGAGAGTGCGGAGTTTGATAGTGGGCTGTGGGCTGTGGTGAGTTGGGGATGGCTACTTATATCGGGGATGATGCATGGGTGTCGTGTCCATTGTAGTAGACTCTGAATACGAGAGCTGCGGGGTGTACAGAGGCTATTGGGTACCAGTTCTTGTCGCTGACATTGAGTTACTCGACCACCACTTCCATGAATCTTCAAGGATGTATACTTCTGGATGAGGTGTAGTTCAAACAAACACCGATGATCTCATCAATCCCCGAGTCTAGTCCCAACACAGTCTGGCGCGTGCAGCACTGCAATCACGCCATCAGTCACGTGACTACGCTGACTAACCGCCGACTATCGGCCCCGGAGATGAGGCGGGCGCTCTACGCTGGTACTTTACAGCTGCATTATCCCCATAATCATTGAAAGCGAAGGATAGAACGCAATGTTCCGCCAGACTATCCGACAGTTCGGCACGACGGCCCTCCGCGCGGCGGAGGCCTCGTCGGCGGGCTCGTACAATGTCCGGGTGTCGCAGGCCCAGGGCTTCGTCAACGGACTGACCGAGGGTACGTGCAATTGCGTCCGTAGCCATGGCTACCTACAGGAGATACTGACCTCACCTCACCTTACCTCAGCGATCGGCAACACACCACTGATCCGACTGAAGCGGCTGTCCGACGAAACGGGGTGCAACATCCTGGGGAAAGCGGAATTCCAGAACCCGGGCGGCAGCGTGAAGGACCGGGCGGCGTTGTTCGTGGTGGAGGACGCGGAGCGGCGGGGGCTGCTGAAGCCCGGGGGCACAGTCGTCGAAGGCACGGCGGGGAACACGGGCATCGGGCTGGCGCACGTGTGCCGGTCCAAGGGCTACAAGCTGGTGATCTACATGCCCAACACGCAGTCGCAGGGCAAGATCGACCTGCTGCGGCTGCTGGGCGCCGAGGTGTACCCCGTGCCGGCCGTCGCGTTCGACAACCCGGAGAACTACAACCACCAGGCGCGCCGGCACGCCGAGGCCCTCGACAACGCCGTCTGGACTAACCAGTTCGACAACACCGCTAACCGCCAGGCGCACATCGAGACGACCGGCCCGGAGATCTGGGCGCAGACGGCCGGGAAGCTCGACGCGTTCACCTGCGCCACCGGCACCGGCGGTACCCTCGCCGGCATCACCCGGTACCTGAAGACCGTCAGCGATAATAAGGTGAAGTGCTTCCTGGCTGATCCGCCGGGGTCTGTGCTGCATAGCTATATCCAGAGCGGCGGCACGCTGGTCGAGCGCTCCGGCAGCAGTATCACCGAGGGTATCGGCCAGGGCCGCGTCACCGACAATCTGAAGCCGGATATCGGTCTGCTGGACGGATCGTTGAATATCCCTGACGAGAAGTCCATCGAGATGGTCTACCGCTGTCTCGACGAGGAAGGTCTGTACCTGGGCGCCAGCTCCGCCCTGAACGTCGCCGCCGCTCACGAGGTCGCCCAGAAGTTGGGCAAGGGCAGCACGGTGGTTACCATCCTCTGCGACGGCGCCTACCGCTATGCCGACCGCTTGTTTTCCAACACCTGGCTGCAGGGCAAGGGGCTGCGCACGGCTATTCCCAAGCATCTGGAGAAGTACATCGTGCTTCCTTAGACCATGCTTACTGCCTCTGGGGTATCGTTGATGTGTATAGTACAATTTGTGAATAGATAACGAATCATGTTTGTTCTTTTATCCTCAGGATCGGCTGAGAAATGATGTAATACTATACAAGAGTGTAGTGAGTCTATAGACCAGACCAGACAACGCACGCAAATCAACATAACCGAAAACAACGCCATATGCACCCATTCTATGCCGAACGAACAATAACGCCAAACCATGTATGAAACATGTACAGCCAGCCTCCGGGTCCTATCCAACACCCGGATATCCTCTCCCTACCTCCCATTCACACCGCGATTATCGTCCCTTTCAGCCCCGGGCCAACAATACCCCCCATAGACCAAGGTGCAACTAATCCTCATCAGAAGGCATCCGCATATAAGCATCAATGGCCGCACTAAACGCCGCAAAGCCCGCACACCCAGCAGCAGCCGCCTGGGGGCCGGCCTTCGCGCCCAGAATGCCACCAGTGATGCAGCCGGCAGCGACGCTGTTGGTGAGGTCGTTTTTGGCGCGCAGGCCCTCGATGCAGCACTCGGTGCCGGAGTACAGCGCGCCGACGATACCGAAGTTCTTGGCCGAGGACCACGAGCGCGAGCCCATGTCCTTGAAGCCGCGCCGCACCTGTTCGCGCCAGGGGAGGTCCATGATCGCTTTGCCTTGCGGCGTGAAGGTTGAGTCGTAGGACATCTGTGGTATTCGTATATTAGTTTGGTGGGTTTGGGTGTGTTTTGAGGGGTGGGTTCTGGGGCATCGCATCACATACACTGGCCATGAACAGTCCGAATACTCCTCCCAGTCCGAATCCCATCGTTCCCGAGATCACCGTCTTCACCGGACACGACTCCATCGCCGAGTACATCTGTCATACCCATCCGTCTAAGTCAGCGCGTGCTTCTGTTTACAGCATCCCGAACAAGAATCATACCAGCTTCACCATCGCCTGCTCCTGCTCACTCATGCCCTGCATGTTCGGGCCGCCGCCCAAACCACCGAGTGGCGGCGTCACACTGGGGAAACTCATGATGTGCGTGAAATAAGGAATCTCAAGTTGTATGTGAAGAAACGAAAAGGAGGAGACACAGTTGGGGACCGGCCGAAGAGAAAGTGAGAAGTGGTGATGTCGGACACCGAGCTCGATCGCGCCCCGGACTTTTTGCGGAGACGGGATGGCGATGTCGCAAATTTATTCACGGCACGCCACAAAGCCCAGAGACGCAGATTGCACGTGATCCGTGCATACAAAGCATACAGCCTAACTATATTGCTTCTATAGACCAACGAATCCTAAGGATTTCATCATGAAAAAAAGTATATTTGTTCAGGATCAATCATACCAGCTATATCTAATAGGCTCATGTTCAATGCCAGAAGAATCAAAGACATCTCGAAAAAGTAAAGTCAACGACGGAAAGAATGTAACAAACGCTCATCGTAAAGGGTATTGTGATCCACAATCATAACCCTGCGTTAATCCGTACTGGCCTCATGCTCGATGAAGAAACCAAAACCATCGTCTGCCGCTCGATCAGAAATCGATCTCGCAAATGCTATGTGCTGTATTTACAATGTGTTCGAAAAGTACACCCCCGAGATCAATCCCGCTTGTCGTCCTTGTCGGGAAAAAATTCTTTCCGCTCAGGGGAGGGACTCAAACTGCGCTCCCATTCAGCCATCAGGTTCGACGCCGTGCGAGTCAGCTTCGAAGGCGCCATTTTAGTCATCGCCGGCCAGGGGATCCCATCGGAGACGCTGGGATCCGGGATGCTGGCATCATGCAGCGGGCGCCAGTCGCCAAAACTAGATCGGAACTGTTAGAATGGACCACGGCAAAGAAAAACAAAGCTTACCTAGCACTTGTGCGAGGACTGCTGTTCTGCGTCATGGGCGACTGATCATGCTTCGTCTCCAACGTACTGCGACTGGACGACGGCGTGTGCGTCTTCTTCGTCTTCGGAGACTCCCACTCCCAGTTGTCTTCAACATCGGGGGGGTTGCTGCTGTCGCCCTGTCTGGGTTCGTTCGGCCCGCTTAGGGTATTGGTGGCTCCGTGAGCGCGAGGGGACTTCTGCCCAGGTGGATCAATGCCGAATTCACTCCAGAACGACGAGTCTATATCCGCCGATTTAGAGTCTTTACCAGAATGTTTGCCCCCAGACCCCTTGCTCCCCGAGGACGACCGCGACAGCGTAGTTCCTCCGTAGATAGACAACCGATCCCGGCTGCGCGACGTCGAGCTGGATGAGACCCGCTGGCGCACCGGTGGCACACCCCTTGATTCGGTCGCACTGATACCCTCTTCTCCCACCGTAGCCTGTCGAATGTCCTCCAAGAACGTCCAGAGTCCTTCTCGCAAATCCGACGCCATCTGTTTGCCCGTCCGCACGATCGCATCTCGCGACGGCGGTGGCATGGTGTTCCGCCACTGCGCGATCATGTCATCCGCCGGGTTGGAGCTTGCACCACTGGTGATTGCATTGCGTTCGACGGAGGAGGGCAAGGTTGCCGACCGCGGAGACCGACCGATCCGCTGGTTGCCGGCCTCGGACTCCGATCCCGTTTTGCTATCCCCAGTCCCCGTGGTGGGAGAAAGTAACGACAAGGCTCGAGTGTGTGAGCCTCGGAAGACCCGTCGACCATTAGCAGAAACGTTGATGCACTTGGTCGCGGCTGCGCGGAGGCTCTGCCGCCGCTCCATCTCCCGGCTGATTCGAACCTGGGCCACTGACGAACTGCCGGCGCTGCTGACGCTATGGTCCCTGCGATGGGGGAAAACTGGTTCATCAGGCGATCGCAGAGAGACCAACGGTTCGGCGCGATGGCTGATTTCCGTCCGTTTCTTTGTCTTCTCGGTTGACGCCCATTGCTTTTTCAAAGAGTCCAGCTCCGTCTCGGCCCGGTGCAGTTCTTCCCGAAGCTCCAGCACCTTTCGCTCTTGGGAGGCGATCGCAGTCAGCAGGCCTGAGCCGTCATCTTTCTCCTCGAAAGTCAGCGGGGTGCCGAGATGGGGGATCGGCGAAGGCTGGGCGGAGGTCCGAGTCACGGGCGTCATGGATCCGGGAGAGGCAAGACTAGGATCGAAAGCTTCGGGTCCGGAGGGGATGTTGATGGGAAAGTTGAGGGTAAGTCGTTTGGCGTGTCGGGCAGCACCATGGGGACGAGCTGGAAGCGAGGATCGTTTGAGTTGGGTGGGAGTCTGGCCGATGGGCGATGCAGGCGCAGCATGGTTGAGCTGGTCAGGCGACGACAGCAGCTTCACTGTTCGGGACGTTTCCGGCGCAGTTTCCGTCTCGCCCGTTCCCGGGAAATCCCCCATGACGGGCCAGCGTGCGGGAGATGGAAGTGGAGGGCGAAGCTGATAAGGGTCCGGGATTTTATTGACAGATCAGGGACACAATCATGACATTCATTCCCGTGGAATTGAGTAATGAGCTCCGCTTGTGGGGGAAGAAAACAGCTTGACGGCCGCCGCAGTCGGGGGAATTTGAGATTGCTGGCTGATAAGAAAAGAATGTATGTATGTATGTATGTATGTATGTATGTATGTATGGGCCCGTCAGCAGTGATAAACAATCGGAGAATGAAATGACAACAATAACAACAATAAAGACAGTGGGCAGCAACCAGACTGGACACGGGGCGACAATAGAAGAAAAAAGGAGGAGAAGGGAGAGAAGGAGAAAAGGACGCGAGGAAAAGTTACTTAGTAGAAGGAGTAAGGGAAGAAGGAAGGACTAGACCCAACACGGGGGCGGCAAGTAAGTGGCAGGTGAAATTAAAAGGGCTCCAGGCCTGTAAAACGGGTCGTTGGTTGAAGTCACTAAAAGACGGTGATGGTAAAAGAGCGGGTCGCAACGCGCATCCCTTCCGCCTCCGCCCCCCCAATTGCCGTGGTCTCCATATTTAGTAGCAGTAGCCCTCTTTTAAGTAAGGTTACTTGAACATTTTGCTGCATGAATATCCTATTCGCTTTGCCTGATATTACGTGCTGCGGCTTCTGTGCAATTACTCAACATGTGATAGTACTCCGTACTTGCTTCTATATACATCAAGCTACTATTTATATTATAAAAACAATGGATTTTTGTCGATTGAGACCCAGATAGAGCATATGAAATGTGCACTCGCCATAATGAAACCACAAAGCACAGAGACGAGAAGGACCAAAACATATAATACCTTCCAAATCCCTATTGACTCGCAGAGACGTTGCTGAACCCTAAAAACGCCGAAACCCAGGCACCCTCAACCTAAGATCGACCCATTAAGTCTGGAGCGCTCTTTTGGACGTATCACCAAAAGGATCGCTCAGGAGCCATTGGGCAAAGGTCTTGAACCCAGCTGCATTCAAGAAACTAAAGTCATAGGGTTTAGTGTGTCGTAACACCAGCTCCTGGCCATCAAAGTATGCCTCGATGACATGTGGATGCAGTCGACTCAGAGAAAAGAGTAGGACCTGACATCGTAATCTGCTTTTTCTTCTGATGAAGAAGCTCAGATGGAGGTGGGATTACCGGCTCAACCATATCATTGACAAACACCTTCAGCTTCAGCTGACCCAAAATGATCCGGATGACGGTACTACCAAAAATGTCATCGCCGATCCTGGAGAAGCGATGAGTGAAGAGATGTTCAAACAAGGTGTAAGTACTAGGGGCTTACCGATGGCTCGGCCACATTCGTGGAATCTCTGGGAAATCGACCATCATATCGCCAACGTATGACTCAAGGCAAATGTAGATCAATCGCCCGTGTTAGCTGGTCATAGTTAATATCTCGGTGTTGTATTCTCTGCCGACATATTCTTCTGTTGGCTCTGGTATGTCTTTGAGGGCAAGAGAAGAGAAATTCTTGGGTGCGAGCGAGCCATCGGCGTCCAGGCTCCGAGGCAGAGCTCGAACTCTGAGCCGTTTCAGCGCGCTTTGGTTCAAGATAAGGGTGTTCGTCTTTTCCAGGGCTTTGACGTTCCATTCCATGGCAGTGAGTGCTTTGCGGAGGTTGTACCGATCGCGAGGCTCAGTGACGGTCTTCATGACCACGAGATATGTATGAATGGCAATCGCAGCGGGAGTATCAAAGCCATCAATCATATAGAAGTTAAAGCCAATACTCAAGCATAGACAGGAGCCGCAGATTCACATACAAGAGAGCCACAAGACTGCAGCTGCCACCTGCCAGTGACAGAATTAAAGTCATTTGATCAAGAGGATGGGAGCTGTTTCATAGTATCAGAGATAGACAGAAGAATTATATCTGTATCACTTGGTACCACACCGATTACATCAACTATGTGCAGACGGGATATCGGCACAAGTCGAAGTGGCGATGTTAGTTGAAGAGAAGATAGGGCTGCTGCGAGGAACATCACCCCCTCTAGTGTACTGTTACCCGCGAAAAGGTAATAGATAATGTCGAAGTAGACCGGCAGAGGCGTAGTAAAAGGTCTGGGGAAACATGCAAGAGAGTGGACATCTCTTTGGTGTAAGTGGGGCTGTCCTTTGACTCCGAGGCCCTTGTGAAAAACTCAGGCCACGCACTTATGAACTCGCCCCACGCCCCGGGCCGCTCAGTGAACCCAAAGCGGAAAGAAAAGTCACGGCACTGCCCGCAGCGAGTCGAGTCCCTCAGGGGAAGAGGGAGAGTCTCAGTGCTGTCAATCGCTACTCAGTAGTCCTCGATGGTGCTTGGCATAATTGGCACAACCTTCCAAAAGACATGGACTGTATGTACATTACATCTACTACCTCTTTCAGCCGAGAACGAACCTGCATGCAATGCAACATTGAACCGGTCGGTGTAAGGGGAATATCACGATCTCCGCTGGTCCTGATTAGGATCATCATGTTGTTGACAGCCCCCAAGCTGAAACAACCACTGCGGCTGCCCAGCACGAGTCCGCTCCACGCGGAGGTGGTCAGTTTGATTACCCGGTTGACTCTTTCGTGTTCTGGCCTTCTCCCAAGTATTTTGTTCGCCACGGTAAGCGGTACGGGTGAAATTGCCCAGTTGCATTACTATGTCCACGATGCCAGGTACACGTATGCAAGAGTCACATCGCCTTACTTACAACAAACACCAATTATTATCTCACACTTTCCCGGAAACTGTCCAACGAATAAGCAAAGGCAGACACAAAGAAAAAAAACCCCCCCAGAAACAGGAAGGAATGGGTAGTAATCACAAGCTTGCCAGAATTTATACTAAGTTCACCAGAAATGAAAACATCGCGGTTTCTGAACGCCAGAACCAACCTCTGTCCAACAGTCAAAGGGTACATAGGAAATTGATGGTCGTGCTTAGACCACATATCACAAACACAATGAGATCAGCTTATTAAGGAACGGTCACGGTGTACTCAGTTGGTAATCTCCCGCCAAATGCGTCCAGCTCGGAGGATATCGTCGTCTAGATTTGTCTCACTGGGGCACATTGACCAGCAGTAGACCCCAAAGTAGGTGAGAGATTGAAGCCCTATAACAACGGGCCATGAGAGCGCAAATAATATCAAGTGAGGGGGAATAATGCAAGAAGGAAGGAAAAGAACAACGCATATGTAGAAAAGACCGAGAGCGGCCAGATGACCAAAGATTTCAACGCCTTATGCGAGCCCAAGTTTTTGTACAATGATAAATATGGTGTTTTCCCAAGGAGATTCGAGATCTTCAGATCGCAGTATGCAAGGGGATGAGTGCAGACAATCGAATCTAGATTCCAGGCCAGCGATTGCGGAGGCCTTCAGACCAGCGCTGATAGAGTACATCCGACAGCTGCTTTGTGTGTTCCATACCCGGCACCTGTTGCCCGGGGAGGTTCGCCAGCTGTGTGGGCTGCAGGCTAGGTTCGGCCACGGCGGCGCTCTGGCGGCGGCGGTGGGATTTCAGGTGTGGATTACTCTGCGCCAGAACCAGTCGCGGCCTCTGTGGGGAATCGGGCGGTGGAGTCGCGGGTGGGACGAGACTGGCCAGCTTATGGTCACTGATTATCCACCAACACGAATGCTGTTAGCAATCCAGAAACCTTAATCAGGAGGTACCAGGGGAGCACTGCAAGCTTACCTTTGTAGTTTCTCCGTCGTTGCCTTCAGGATATGATACAGGCCTTCAGGGTCGATCATCTCCAGATCGCTCCAGGCCTCCGCGAGTCGTGAGATGGCTTCTCGCTTTTCCTGGTCACCCGTGGTACCAAGCACCTCCTGGCAGGCGAGACCAACCGCCTTGCTGTACGCCCGACGCCCCAGTTGCGCTTCTTTGCTGTTCGGCTCGGAGAACAAGGTCTTCGGGCTCGCATTTTCGTCCCCTCCAAACAGGTACTGCGGCGGGTACGAGGCGTCGCTGGGACTCTTGTTATCCGACACCCGACGGAACTGACGCACCGTCGATGGACTGTTGCCGAAACTCATATCCACACCGAGAGGCTGCTTCACGCCACTTGACCGTCGCTTGGCGCGTCGTATCGATGGGCTGTGGTCGGGCGCTTGGACTCGTCGCACGGCTGTGTTAGTCGTATGCTTCGATAGCGGGCTGGACACATAGAGGTCTTCCATCATGTCGGAAGTCTCGTCAAAGACCCAGTCCTCCTGTGGCTCCGGTTCATTCTCGTCGTCAACTTCTACCTCGCGTATGGCCATTGTAGAAGCTTTCACAGTATCGAAGATCCAGCCGTCATCGTCGTTCAGATTTCGAATCGTATTCCTGTGGAACAGAAGCAGTCAGCGTGGGTAGCTTGGGCAATGGAAATCGGACCTGCATACAAAGACTCCGCATAGTACTTAATCTTGTGGGTCACTCCTCTTCCAGCATCGAAGTCCTGCTTGCGGTGAATCAACTCTTGCAACGCCTCCGTCTTCCCTGCATTGCGGATGAACTTGTGTCGCAAGAGCTCCTTTGCACTCGGTCTCCGATCAGGGTCCTTGGTCAAACACTGTGCGATGAAATCCTTGAAAGTGTTGCTGTACTGATCTCCCTGTAAGCGCGGGGCGGGCTCCTTGGGAATCAAGAAGAGCACCTTCATCGGATGGGTGCTCGCATGGGGTGGCTCGCCGTTAATCATTTCGATCGCCGTGATACCGAGCGACCAAATATCCGCCTTATAGTCATATCCAGCCTGTTGAATCACTTCGGGTGCCATCCAGAAAGGTGTTCCGACAAATGTGTTGCGTTGAGACTTGATGTTGATCAGCTGCGCTGCGACTCCGAAGTCCGCTAGCTTCACTTTGCCCGTATGCGACAAGAGGACATTTGCCGCTTTGATATCACGATGGATCTTGCCTTCGCTGTGTAGGTAGTCGAGTCCGAGGAGCAGTTGTTGACAGATAATGGCGACGTGTGCTTCGTTGAAAACTCCGGGTTTGAGCTAGATGGTGTTAGCGAGGAGGGGTCTGTCTCCCAGCTGCGGAGGCGCTGCGTGGTTACCAAATCCAAACACGATCCTCCACCAAGAAACTCCATGACAATCCACAGCTTATGGCCTCGAAGAAAGCTGGCCTTGTACTGCGTGACGAACGGACTGGCGCAAGTAGCTAGCACCGAGATCTCCTGTTGAATTTCCTGGATATCATCTTCACTTGACTCGAGATCGATCTAAAATGCCGGAAGTGGTCAATCGGACGATCGGACAAAGAAAAAGACCCGTCACACGCACATGCTTGATCGCTACGATCTCGCCCGTAGCTTTGTCAATGGCTTTGTACACCGTCCCGAAGCTCCCGCCTACATCATCCAGGTCAACTACCGGGTGCGATCGACTCAATTGGCAAGTGGAGACTTACTGCCCAGCTCCTCCATCATCTGGTAGTGGCTTGCCATGTCGTCCTCCATTTTGTCGCGTGTGAGCCGTAGCTGGGGGAGACTGACGGCGCAGTTGAGAACGGGGGAGAGAGGACTGTAAGAAAGAGATAGGTAAGAAAAGGGAGAAGAAAAGAAGCAAAAAAGAAGAAAAAAGAAAGAGAGGAGAGCTAAAACAGGGCACACAAGGGAGAGGGGGGGGGGGGGCGCACCCGCACCGCCAGTCAGCTATTTTATTTCCTATCCGGCGAAAGGACGGACGGAGGCTGGAGCTGGAGCTGGAGCTGGAGCTGAGCAAGGACGAGTGGATCTGGCCTTGTATCTAGATAGTAGATAGAGAGATGAGGGGAAGAAGGTGGGAAGATAGCGAAGATTCTCGATAGGATAGATACCAGCAACGGGGCCCATTCTTTCTACCGTCCTAGTATTCTAGTATTGGCAGCCGCTTTTCTTTCCATGGTTCGCGGGAGAAACAACAGGCGGTAGTGCATGGCAACCATGGATCAGCTGCCGAGTCACCGCCTCAGGCACCGCTGTTATTTCCCGGCCCTGATTGGGTGCATATTCTCCGCCGCGGCTGTTGCCTCAGGCAGCCGCTGTACCCCAGCCCTGCATGGTGCAGGTAATGCAGATGGGGTTCTGCAAGCCGCCAGGTACGGTACGGATCTTGAAACATCACGAGGGCTGTGAGACTCATCAGATTGCAGTGGATGGAATGAGGGGACCATGATCCAGCGAGTTCGATATTTGAAGTGTAATGTATTCTACAGATTCCAGGGCTATAAACTTGGTCTAATCTCTTCTCGCTTGCTCCCAACACCATTACATTCCCAGAGTGGTGCCAGAAAACTGCATTTAGATGTACTTATACGGATTCATGATTCCGTTCTGCATCAAGTCAGTTCCAAAGGGTCTGGTGACGGGTCAAGGGTTCAAATAGGTCCTTACCGGGTCATAGAGGTTCTTCAACTGCTTCATCAGCTTGACCATCGTCTCATTCTGGCTGTATCCGATGAACTCCTTCTTCGCCAGACCTAGGCCGTGTTCCGCACTGATACTACCCTTGCGCTGCTGGATCCACTCATATACCCAAGGCTCAATGGCCTTCTCGACCTCCTTGTTGTATTGTCGGACCGAGATGTTCAGGTGCAAATTCGAGTCACCCATGTGACCGTAACCAACAACGGCCCGAACGGGGAAGGAGTCGTCATCACCCACGAAGCCAAGCTTCGTCAATCGCTCCTTGCAATCCTCCACCAGCTGGTAAAGCTCGGGCAGAGGGATGGAGACGTCATACTTGTAGGTGCCACCCAAGTGGCTCAGAGCCTCCGTAATACCCTCTCTCCAACGCCAGATCGAGTGGAATTGAGTCTCGTCCTGGGCCAGGACACCATCCGCAACAATACCCTCACCCATGACATGTTCTAAGAAGGTCTCCAACTTGGCCATGTCATGCTCAGCGTTAGAGCCACTGGTCTCCACGAGACAATAGAAAGGATATTCGGTCTCGAGAGGGTAGTTGTTGCCAGTCGACTCGTGAACCAGCTTTTGAGTGCGCCCATCCATCAGTTCGAAAGCAGAGAGGATCTCAGACAGGTGACCCTTGGCCTCTTGGTAAGCCTTGCGGACCATGTCATAGCTCTCCAGACCGAAATAGGCAACATTGACGGCCTTAGGCCGAGAAGGACATTGAATAGAGACCTTTGTGATGATGCCAATGGTACCTTCGGCGCCAATGAACAATTGCTTTAGGTCGTAGCCGGTGTTGTTCTTGCGCAGGGTCGACATAGCATCAACGACCGTTCCATCCGCCAGCACTGCTTCGACACCAAGCACAGTGCCGTGAAGACTGCCATAGCGCAGCAGACGCAGACCACCCGCGTTGGTCGCAACGTTACCGCCAACATGGCACGAGCCCTTGGCACCCAGGTCCAGCGGGAACAGATGATTCCGCTCGGCCAAGTACTGATCCGCCACCTCAAGGATGACACCCGAATCGACCACCAGGACTCCAGATGCCTCATCGAAGGAGTGAATCTGGTTCATGCGGGAAAGGTTGATGACAATCTCATCGAAGACGGGCACGGAGCCACCAACCAGACCCGTGTTGCCACCCTGGGGCACGACCGCCAGCTTCCTCTCATTACAGTATTTCAGTACCTTGCTAACCTCCTCCGTGGTCTGGGGCTTCAAGACCAGCTTTGTCTGGCCGCGGTACTTGCGCATCCAGTCGCTGTTGAAAGGCTCGATATCATCGGCGGCATCGGCGGTCACCCCATCGATCACCGCAGACTGGGCACCCAGCAGCTCCTTGAAGAATGTCACATCCTCGGCTGAGATCTCGGCAAAATTCGGGTCGCGCTTGATGTTGGGATAAGCATTGGTGGTGTACTGAATCTCTTTAGTCGCATTGGCGCGGGCGGTAACAGTGAAGGTGCGAGTGGCGGCCAGGGAAGGAGTCTGGACCGCAGCGACCGGGCGCAACAAGCAGCGAGGCTTGGGCACACGAGCCCGTCGAAGAGCGACTGAAAGATGCCTGGCGCTGGACATGATGTGGTGTTGAGTGGGTGAGAGAGGACGGGGGCAGCACTGAAAGAGTCAAGAGAGCGGCGAGCGGCGAACGGCAGCCATCTAAAAAGCCTACCCTCTGTCCCCCCGATGGCGGAGTTGGAGTCTTGGGGCTTGGAGTCAACGGCGCCGATCTGTCTTTCCGTCCCGACGGAAGTCGTGGCCTCAGGCACACATTCGGATTGTTTGATCACCTAAAGTAGTAGAGTTAATAAGCCTGGCAGTAAGTCACTTCCTATACTAGGAAGTATTGTCAACTACTAACCCAGTGCCTGCAATGTATATTACAGCTGGACAAGTGTCAGTCATAGGACTAAATGGTCAGTGCACTATTATTCTGGTTCTTCCAGCTCAGACACATACTATACCCAACGACGGCCAGTCTCTTCCTCTTTCGCCTGTTTACGATTCTCCAAACAAGTCTTCTCTTTCCATACCTCAAACTTAATGGATTAGATCACCACACCCTGAACTGAGAGGTGCTCGCACCTGTCGAGATGCGAGAATACTCAACAAGCATCATGGCTCGTACATTCTGCAGCGATGCCGGTTAAGGGAAAGAGTAACAAGCGTCGCCAAGCCCGTCCGTCACTGGCCTTTCTGTCATGTCCCCCTCGTCATTCCAGGTCAATAAGTGATACAGTAATAATAACTAGCATTGATAATGATAATACCCGATCAGAAGGTTCACCGCGGAGGACAGCTCTCCACGAGTCCAGTCCCCATCGAGCTCCCTCGGCCCTCATCGAACCATCGACCCAGCGATCTCTCGATCCAGACTCGACCTTCTCTGGCTTCGGTGTGTCTTTTGGAAGAGAAAACCAGCAGGCGGTTCTCGTTACGTCATTACCGTGCCCCGCAGTCGACCAGAATCTCTCCTTCGGCGTCCCAGCTTCAAAACGGCTCGATTCTTTCAGTTCCCGTCATGTCCTCCTCTTCTGACAACCCCCATTGCAAACATGTCTACCTGTGTTCTCGTTACCGGTGCCACCGGCCTCTTGGGCCGTCAGGTCTTCAACACTTTCAAGCACTCCGGCTGCCTCGTCGTCGGCCAGGGCTACTCCCGCGCCATCCCACCCACGATACAGAAGGCTGACTTGGAGAATCCCGATGCGATCAAGGCTCTCCTCGATGAAGCAAAGTAAATCAACCCTCTTAGCCCATCCCGGCCACACTCCATGCGCCACCAGCGTCCCTAGTAGATCTAATGATGCTAACCTCAGTCTGTCACAGACCCCAGATCGTCGTCCACTGTACGTGATGCTAAGCTTGCAAAAGCAACTAGCTTGTACCTCCCTTTCATTCTGACCATTGTAGGTGCCGCCAACCGTTTTCCCGACTTGTGCGACAAGAACCCTGAGCAAGCGCGCCGAGTGAACGTTGACGCCACCCGCATTCTCGCAGAGGAAACGTCGCGCCGTAGCATCCTGCTCATCTACATCTCGACTGACTACGTTTTCCCCGGCATCGAGGGCGAAGCGCCGTACGAGGTCGATGCGGAGACCAATCCCCCCAACCTTTACGGCCAATTGAAGCGGGACGGCGAGATTGCCGTACTAGAGGCCACGAAGGAGACCGGGCTGGGGTTGATCCTCCGCGTGCCCGTGCTGTACGGAGTCGCCAAGGAGAACTCGGAGAGCGCGGTCAACACTCTGGTCGATGCGGTGTACAAGGCACAGGATGAGAACGCGGGGATCAAGATGGACGACTGGGCGCAGCGGTATCCGACCAACACGGAGGATGTCGCACGGGTGTGTCGCGACATTGTGATCAAGTATATCAAGGAACGGCGTCGCATCCAGGAGCTGCCGAAGATCCTGCAGTTCACGTCGGAGGATCGGATGACCAAGTACGAGATCTGCGAGAAGCTGGCAGACGTGCTCGGACTGTCCCTGGTAGGGATGATCAGGAACAAGGAGGGGAACGATCCGAATTCATCCGTGCAGCGACCCTACGACGTGCATCTGTCCACTAAGGTGCTGAAGGATCTGGGGATTGAAGTTCGGACCATCGACTTTGTGGCATGGTGGTAAGTGGGCGCCTGATATGTTTGCATGCATGAAAGGGTTACTAATGTTAGCTTGCAGGCGCAAGTATTTGGGAGCGTACAAGAAATGAGTCGCGCTCTACTCCGTACGGATCAGGAAAATGGGCAGGGGATGGAAAAAGAATGAGATAGAAATGTTAACGTCGTAAAAGCTCAGGAGTCGCATCCTGACCAAGCAATCAATATGTCTGCTGAACAGTTAGTTGTTGGTAAATCACTGACTAATGATGATGGCTATTTAGCCAATAGCAAGCAATATTATATATGCACGTATGCTTTTATGTGTTCACTGCGCTGTGTGACAGTCAGGAGACAGAAAGAGAGTGGGGAGAGGGAGAGAGACGGGCTGGGATGAGTTTGACACTTCTACTCGGGGTGTATTCAGAAATAGCGCGATCATTTACCGGGGGCGAAGGGAGGGGGAGAGGGGAGGAAAGACCCGGGCCGGGAAGTAGGTAGGTAGGTAGTCAGTAAGGTACTCCGTAGTGAGTAGTGGCTGTGGCCGTGGCATGGGCGGCGATCCACTTTGATCTACTAAGGCTTTACTTTGATTGTTGTTTGATAGACAGCCTTGCCCCCAGAACCATAGAGTCGATCCCAAGTGTGGACACAAACCATAAACATATTTATAGCGGAGGAAGATCTCAATGCCTAGGTAGATCCTCCATTATTTATTCTAGAAAAGCTGGAGGCTGCAGTTCCATCATCAGCCCTCGATCTAGATATAAGTATCTAACAGTCCGGGGCAATTGCGGGCAATGCTGGGGCCAAGTCCAAGCCTTAGTCAGTCCAAGCCCAGCCTGACCGAAAACAGCCACTCTCCATTTTAGTCTAGACTCGGTTTTAATCTAATTTTATTTTTTTCTCTGGGTCTCAGTTTGACGGACTTTTTCCCCCCAGCCGCAATGGACGATGCTCTCCTACCATCATCATCACACGAACATTTTAATTTAAGATCGCGAGTTGAGCATCACCTGCCACTCCAATGGGATATTAATACTGACCTGTAGTAAATTCTTATTCATCGGAATTTCCAATCCCTTCCCGTCCCTTTGGAGATTTCCCTTTCCCTTCTACTGAGGGTCCCCCTCCCCCCTTGCATCGAGCAGGTGGTGGTGTTTAAGAAAAGAAAAAGAAAATAGGGACTAAGTAAAATAAGTAAAAGAAAAAAAAAAGAAAAAAAAAGAAAGAGCGAGCGAGCGAGCGACAATAAGAACGGGTTTGGCTGAATGCGGTCTATTCCTTTCCTCCTCCTCCACCATCTCTCTTGACTCCGTCCCGCAGTGGAAATTAGACCCTTTCTTTTCTCGCTTTGCCCTCTCCACAATAATAGGTGCCAGTGAAGTGAGTCGACTTGGACAATGCTTCCTTGACGGAATCTGGCATCGTGGTTCTTCTCCAGCTTCTCTCTCTTTTCCCTTCCCTCCTTCCTGCCTGCCTACATTCATCACTTCCTCCTTCTTAGAACTTGCCCCCTCCTTCTCTTCCTCCTCCCACCCCTTTCTGTGTTCTATTTTCTTTTTTTACCTCTCCCCTTTGCTACTCTCCCCCCTCTTCCCCTCCTCTTTGTATGGGAGTGTTTCCAGTGAAGCCCTGATTGTATCCCTGTGAAACATGTCTGCAACGTTTAGGGGTGGAGACACGCGAACACTCATTATTTGACCCAATTCCTCCTCCCTTGTGGTGTCGACCTGGATCGACTCGTAGACCATCCTGTCTCCCTGTGAAATCCTGTTCTTTTTCTCAGTGACTGCTGCCAACACGTTGCTACAACTTGATCTCCTCCGAAAGTTTAGCGACTGCCCTGCTGCAACCGACACAGCGGAGGCTGCCTGATATCGTCGTCATTGCGCCAGTCGGTACTAGAGCAGCCAAGTGCCATTTTCTTCGGCCTTACAGGGAAAGGGAAAGAGAGCTAAAACTCCATCGCAATCTAAAACCTGTTTCCAAGCGCGCGCCATCGGCTACTTGACGCAATTGACACTTTCGGGTGACTACTACAAGAACATACGCCTGGGCAGCAATTGAGATACTATATCTACACTCCATAGATCAGCACGCACACTTTCTCTCCCCTTCCTTTCCCACTCCTACTTCTTTCACGGCCACCGTGAGCTTCTCTTCCCAGCCATGGCCATGGAGACTCCCGACATGGTGGCTGCTGGCCAGCATACAGCAGCACCCATGAAATTTTCGCGATACCGAAGTGTTCGCAAGGCGGCGTCCAAACAGCCACCAACTTTCCACTCCCCGCCACCTCCACAGCCTCACCCACCAATCGCTGCCCTTCCGGCCTCGGTGTCGCATGACCATGTCGCCAACCCCGATGCTGCCAATAGTATACCCAATACTGTTATTGCTACTACTGCGACAGCAGCTAATACGGTTCAAAGAAGCATGTCGCGGTATCGTCGCAGGGTCCCGCCCATGCAGCCTCCTGTGCCCACCTCTGCATCCACGTATAAAGCCCCGGTAGTCGCGGCCAATGGTGCTTCAGTCGCCCACCCAGTATCCTCACAGGAACGATCTGAGGAATCAGAAATGACACGCATCCGACAAAAGTTGGCCCTTCGACTGGCGACCCGAGAAAAACGGGTTCCCAAGGACAGCGAGGACGAGGATGTTGAACGCGACAGACATCGACAGAATGCGATGGACTGTCTGACCGGAGGCGAGGATGGACCTGGGCCCAATCCTTTCGAGACGACCTCTAACGACAAGCCAGCTGACGAGGTACGTGGGGTTCTAGATTCGCACCGGCAGAACCAAAAACGCGCAAACGGAGGAAATGTCGCAAGCCGGCGTACGAGTCGTGAACCCAAGCGGCAATCCCTCAAAATCACAACAACAAAGTGTACCCAACTCAAAGCCAATCCCAGGGGCGACTCATCTGCAAGTAGTCCAATTGAGGCCAGTCCTGTCACACAATTTCCCGATGCTCCTGTCTCTGCTGTCAATGCACGCGAGCGTCGCGTTCTGGTCCAGTACAGAAAAACGTCCATGAAAATTTGCGTCAATCCCTCGACGTCCGCCCAAGACATCCTTGCTACTGGGATGAACTATATGGCCAAAGGGGATGACCCCGGGAAATTCATCCTGATGGAGTCGTTCGCCGACCTGGGACTAGAGCGGCCGTTGCGCCGATATGAGTCCGTGCGCGATGTGATGAATTCCTGGGCGCATGATGAGCAGAACTCGTTAATCATTGTTCCGGCCGCCAGCCTCGATGCTCTCGCTCTGCTTGACGCTCAGAACGTGTCACTCAGTCAACCTGCGGATGCGACATTTTATCTGTACTACTCACAGCGGCCTCGGAAATGGGACAAGCGGTATGTTACCTTGCGCTCAGATGGCCAAGTCGCCATCTCCAAGAAGGAGACTGGTCAGGAGTCCACAAACGTCTGCCACTTGTCCGATTTCGATATCTACTCGCCAACTGCGAGCTCTTTGGCAAACAACGTCAAACCACCGAAGAAGTTCTGTCAAGCCGTCAAGAGTCAACAAAAGTCAACAATGTTCTTGACGACCGAAAATTTTGTCCACTACTTCTCCACCAATGATAGAGACATGGCTGACAATTGGCACAAGGCTGTTCAGACCTGGCGCAGCTGGTACTTGGTCAGCATGCTAGGAGCAGGCAAGCCATCGGAGACAGACAATACTACGTCTTCGGATGAATCGTCATCGGCTAGAAAACGACCACAGAAGCCATTGTTGAACCCGTTTGAGGAGGCCAGCAACGAGATCGGAGCGCCCGCGATGCCGATTGTGGAGCGTACCCAGTCTACAAAAGCCAAGGAATTGTTCTCACACAAGAAGAGCACCCGAGAACGTGGACCTCCTCCGACATCTTTCCCCAAGCTACTGACAGGGGAGGCGGATCTTACCGCAGAATCTTCCGACGATGCTACTTTTTCGGCCAGTGGTCTTCTAGGACGAACCTACACCATGCGGCAACGGGCCATGAAAGAGCGTGAGGAGAAAGAGAAGCGCGATAACGAAGAGCGGCTCCGCCAGGGTCTCGTGGGCACTCTGGGCAGCCGCCGCGTTAACGGGGGTTCGGGCAGCCGGTCCAACACCATGACATCGACTCACGCCCCTGACTTCAGCGCCGTCAAGCGCTCCCAGTCCGTCAAGGCAAAGCCCCTGGTTGATTTGACCCCGGTTTACAGTGAACCCCCACAGCATATCCGCAAGGGAAGAGGAGTGACTGTTGACCCGGGCGTCCCGTTGATCGACGCCGCCACAGGCCCTGAGGTCCCGGGAGGTATCCAGATCCCTTCGGCCACTACCTGGCGCCGGCCTCCAGTGCCCGCCGAACCGATGTCCGCAATTGAACCCAGGACCCGGAAACGCTCCAACACCGCGCGCAGCATCAATGGTCAGCAGCGTTACCATCACACCGCTCCTACCACTCCAATTTCCCCCGTGGATCTCGCTTCTGGTCGTGAGGGCCCCTTCATACCCCATAGCCTATTGGCCCGCGCTCAACCGGCTCCCGCGCCAGGTCCTCCGGTCGGCCATGGCGTGGCAACGGGAGATCGCAATGCTACCAAGCCGATGTTGGATATGTCCCCTGAAAACCCTTTCGCCGAGGGGAGTTTACTTCGGGGGTTGTGACAGCAACTCACGCCTGCTCCCACCACCACCCCTTTTCACGATTACGACGGCATTTGAGAATTACTTAGCAGTGGCGTTATGTTCCTAGGCTGGAACTTTGTTTTGTCACAACGATATAGAATGGCATGGCTTGGCCATCTTGCCTGTATATTGCCTCCTTTCATATACCTTCTTGTTTATGACCTGAGCTCGCTGAGAAGTCTGTACATCTAGATGCATTTGACCTCAATTGGCAATCTTGATTTGATCAGAGCATGTTCGGGGCTGCAGCTACCATGTTCATGAATGTAGTTTACTGAATCCAGAAGAGCGAACTGTCATTTTGGTTCAACATGCGGCTAGCATTAGATCTCTTGTAAAATGTATGTAGGTTCCTCTGCAATTCCACAGCTCACCTTGCTGTGAGCCTTTGTAGAGTCGCTGAGGGATCGTCAGAACTCTTATTTTATTTTTATTCTTATTATTTCTTTTTAAATTGGTTCCCCTCCAGCGTGAGCTCATGTGGTGAAACGATCATTGTTGTGGCTCTACTGTCCAAGCTAGATCAAGCTACCTGAAAATATATCTTTGTCGCAAAGTGATATTACAGCTGCAAAAGAAAAATCAATGATACGCCAAATCACCACAGAGTAATCTCGACACCAGCCAGATTATGCATAAGAGGCGAACTAATCAATAGCATACGAGATCATCTCCGCCCCGGTCTCATACACCGTAGAGAGTGTCATGAGAATCCAACATAATGGCAAGGCACGTGAAGCCCTAGCCCCTATCGGCGACTACCCGTTTGGGCTGTTTGTTTATCCGGCCTTGAACCCAACTTCAGCCCCGTGACTCTCCGCAAGAACAACCGCTGGCACCAGAAGAATATCAAGTCTGGGTCTTCAGACACGCCAAACACGCCGACTCGTATCTGAGCCACCACGCCCTGGCCATTTGATCTCCATGTTACCGTTCTAGAATGAATCCGTGATATTTATCGACTTACCAATATCACCGACCGCGAAATCCCAGCAGGGTCCTGTCAACCTTACCCCTCTCACCTCCCCCCCACCGAGCCACCATGCCTAGCAGAGTCCCCGCCCGTTCGACTTCTGCCTCGACGCGCAAGAACTCCGCGCAACCCTCGCGCGCAGGATCGGTGACGCCTGCGTTCGCCATCCCCGACGAACCCGCCTTGCCCGAGGCGGTCCCCACCCTGCGACGAGACATATGTTCCATCTTCGCCGACGCGCAGCGCTCGTTCACCGGACACCGAAAGCTCGTGGTGCGACTCCGCAAGCTGCAAGAAACCTGCTGCGGCATTTCGCAGAAGAGCTCCAAGAAGGATGGCAAGACGGAACCGAGTCGCCAGGAGCTGCAGCTGCCGACCGAGGAGACAATCCCGGAGAAGGAGTTCAACACCGAGGTCGGTCGGTGTGTGCTTCGCATCTTGCCGGTCAAGAAATCCGAGCCGGTTGGCGATCGTATCCTCCGCTTCCTTGGCACATTCCTGAACCTAGCCTCCGAGAAGGATGCAGAGCTTTTCGCCTCGAACGAGGAGGACGACCTCGACAATGTTACCGAGACCCCGACTGCCCGCTTGACCACCACCTTGGTCACGCTCATCACGCCTCTGTTGATTGCGAAGGATAAGACTGTTCGTTTTCGCGCGACCCAGATCCTTGCTCATATTGTGAATTCGCTCGAGACGATAGATGATGATCAGTATCACGCTATTCGCCATGGCCTTCTGAAGCGTATCCGCGACAAGGAGCCTGCTGTCAGAGTACAGGCGGTGATGGGACTGGGCCGTCTTGCCGGCAATGACGATGAGGATGACGACAACGACGAGAGCTCGAGAGCGATCTTGGAGAAACTGGTTGACATCATGCAAAATGATACGAGTGCCGATGTGCGGAAGACTCTACTCATTAACCTACCCCTGGTTCCGGCCACCTTGAAATATCTCCTCGAACGAGCCCGTGACCTGGATGCACCGACCCGACGAGCAGTGTATGCGCGTCTACTCCCTAGCCTCGGCGACTTCCGACATCTATCGCTGTCTATGAGAGAGAAACTGCTGCGGTGGGGTCTACGCGATCGTGACGAAAGTGTCAGAAAGGCTACGGGCAAGCTGTTTTACGATCGGTGGATTGAGGATTGCGCGGGTACCAACAAGGATCCCGAAGCGGGACCCGTCGGCCAGCGTTCTCCGCCCGATATCTCGGCCCTCCTGGAACTCCTTGAGAGAATCGACGTAGTCAACTCGGGAGTGGAGTCTGGAATCGCTCATGAAGCTATGCGTGGCTTTTGGGATGGTCGTCCCGACTACCGGGAGGCCGTGATGTTCGACGAGCCCTTCTGGGAGTCGCTCACAGCAGAATCTGCTTTCCTCATCCGCTCTTTCAACGACTTCTGCCGCGTCGAGAACGAGGGCAAATACGATAAACTCGCCGATGAGAAGATCCCCGAAGTCACCGCCCTGGCATTCTATCTACACAAGTACATGACGAGTCTTTTGCAGAAGAAGAAATCCGTCAAAGAAGCCGGCGATGCCAACGAGGACGACGCTGTCGAGAATGAATTCATCGTCGAGCAGCTATTGCATATTGCCATGACTCTCGACTACAGCGATGAAGTTGGCCGACGAAAGATGTACTCTCTGCTACGGGAATCTCTAGCTGTGCCGGACTTGCCGGAGGAGTGCACCAAACTTACGGTCGAGACGTTACGGTTCGTTTGTGGACCGAACGCCGCTGCCGAGAACGAGTTCTGCAGTGTTGTCCTGGAAGCTATTGCCGAGGTGCACGATACAATTACGACGGAAGACAGCTTTGTGTCTGCCAAGTCGGAAATCAGCGATGCCAGCTCATCTCGCGGCCGATCTGAGACTCCCCAAACCGAAGATGAGAAGCCCTTCAATAAGGAGGAGGCAAAGGCCAAGGTCCTTCGGGAGATTGTGGTGAACATGAAGTGTCTCCATATTGCTCTCTGCATGTTGCAGAATGTGGAAGGCAACCTTCAAGCCAATATGAACTTGGTGACCATGTTGAACAACCTGGTTGTTCCTGCCGTGCGAAGCCACGAGGCTCCAATTCGCGAGAGAGGTTTGGAGTGCTTGGGACTCTGTTGCTTGCTGGACAAGGTCAGTAGTTATCACCGACTCTCGGCTCTACCTTTGCTAACATGTGCGCGCAGACCCTGGCGGAAGAGAACATGACTCTGTTTATCCACTGTTACAGCAAAGGACACGAACTCTTGCAGGTCACCGCTATTCACATCCTTTGCGATATGCTGGCTACGCATCCCACATTGCTCGTCCCAGTAGCTCAGTCCGATGGCGAGTCCGTGACACCGCCAGTCTTCCAGAAGCCGCTGCTGAAGGTCTTTGCCAGGGCGCTGAAGTCCAGCTCCCCCAACAGCGTGCAGACGGCCGCCGCCACTGCGCTGTCCAAGTTGATGCTCACGAGTGCTTTCAACCCCGGTGGAGCTAATGTGCCCCCAGCCATTCAGGAATACAATCAGGCCTCCATCGAGACGCTCCTCCAATCGCTGGTCGTTTCCTTCTTCCACCCGCGCACGCGTGACAACCCTGCGCTTCGGCAGGCCCTGGCGTACTTCTTCCCAGTTTACTGCCATTCTCGTCTGGAAAACACGCAGCATATGCGTCGAGTGGCTGTGCCGGTGGTCCGGGCGACGCTGAACGCTGCTGAAGAATACTACTCACTTGAAGCGGAAGAGGACAGTGACGGCGATATCGACGAGACAGTCGGACAACGGGAGCTGAAAGCGCTCATGAGCGGTGTCTTGGGCATGCTGGCGGAATGGACGGACGAGCGGCGGGTGGTTGGGCTGGGTGGAGAGAAGGTTCTCGCGGGTCAACCGGCCAGCTCAACGGCGTGTGGCTTCATTCATCTGGAGCTGGTGAAAGATATCCTGGAGCGGGTCTTGGGCATCAGCACAGGCACCAATCGCTGTTCCAAGGAGGAAAAGAAGCTGCTCTTTTCCCTCCTCAGCAAGCTGTACATCACCGCGCCCGTAGTTCCCTCGCGGTCGGGATCACGCAATCCCGAAGGCGAGGACCCCCTCCGGTCCAGCGTGCGCAGTGCCCAGGCCGAAATCACCCCCGAGAACGCTGCCCTCGCGCAGGAGGTCAAGGAGCTGCTGGACGAGACGATCGAAGAAGGGCTGGCAGCCGAAGCGGCCAGCCGCAACGCGCTGGTCAAGGTCAAAAATTCGGTGCTCAAGCTGTTAGCGGCTGCCAATGGTCGACCGGCCAGCGTGCGGATGCGCGAAGGCGAAGAAGGCGACAGCGACGTGATGAGCGTGCGATCGATGAGCGTGCGGTCCGGCAGCGTGCGGCCGTCGATTGAGCCGGGGGCGATGATGCGTCGCGGATTCTCGGTCGAGCCCAGCATCATCGAGGAGGAGGACGAGAACGAAGACAGTCACACGACAGTCATTAAAGCGGAGGTTCGCGACGAGTGAATTTGTTGATTTCTGGACTGGTTCGGTTGGGTTGGCGTTCTGGCTTGTTGGGGGGGGGGGTTTGTGACGGGGTTTTCTTTCCCCCTTGGCTGGGTATCATCAGCATGTTGATGGGGTTTCTTTTCTGTGTTTAGGTTATTTTTTTTCTTGCCTATCATTTTATTCTCCTGTGGCAATGGGTGTAAATGATCTGATGTTCGCTTAGTGGGGTTTATCTCTTATTTACTGTACATGTGCTTTGAGTTGATGGTGAAACATAACCCAGTTGCGCTGGGAGCAAGTAATGAGGGGGGGCGGGCGCGGAGTCCGGTGGAACAGTTGACTTGTCCTTGTCTTGCTACGGAGTACTAGTGGCAGGTTAGCCTGGCATTATTATTGACTCCGATTCCACGACAGGCACTGGACTCGAATGGACGGTCCTGGCCTGATACGGATGGCGCGACGCGACTCCAGCTGTCGGATAGTGGAGGGAGAGAGCTGCCGAACGCGTTGCATCGTCGTGGTTGCTAGATTATGCCATTGTACGCTTGTTATGTTATTGATTCATGGCTCGAGGCTGTCTTCCCTTGACTACAGCTAGATGCATCCACCGGAGCCTAATCTACATACAGTACAGTACCTGGACATGATTGACGGTGCAATCCATTTCGGATGCGAGGCAACGGCCGTCAGTCAGTCAGTCAGGCAGTCAGTCAGTCAGTCCTACCCGCGTCCGTCGGAAGTCCCGTGGGACAGAAGTACGTACGATGGCTTCCGTAACCTAATCTCGGGCTTTCATGTCATTCAACACATTTAGTACCTTCTTGATTGACAAGAACAGTGACTAAAGGAGGGATTGATGTCTCATGAGTCCAACTGTCCTGCTTCGTTGATTGATCAGCTTCATCTCTTCTTCTCTCTCGGTCGCATCGGCTTTCCAGGAGGCAGGAGGGAGGAGACGAGTGAATGCAAAGGATCGGTCATACAATCATTGACAGAACTAGGGTGGTTTCTAGGCAGAACCAGGACCCATGATATATCAACTATAGGGGCCTTTTCAGGAGATAACCTACACTTTGGTCCGTAGTAGCAGTAGCAGTGGCAGTACCATAGCAGTAGCATTCATGCTAGAAGGAGAGGCCTTTCTATAACCATGCAATTGATGGTTTAAATGGCGTGTAGTTCAATTGTGCCTGCCGTGTGGAGAGCTGTACTGTAAGCAGTGGTGGTCGACAGACCGACCAGAAACTGGAGAACAAGCCGAAAGTTTTCTTTTAATCTCGACGCTCCACCAAAAACGACATCCGGGCCTGGGGGACTTTCTTTTTCCTTCTCTTCCTCCTTCCTCGATCGCTCTCACTCTCACTCTCTTACTCTCTCTTACTCTCTCTCTTCTCTTTCTCTCTCTCTCCCCTCCTTCTCCTCTTTTCTCCCCTTCGCCTCCTCTTCCTCTTTTCCCCCTCCCGCCCGTGTGTCTATTTTTTCCACGACGGTCATTTCTTCCGAGTCCTAAAAATCGTGTCGCCTGCCGGTCCTGCAGTAGACACGTTTTTTTTTAACCCTTTCCTCCCTCCTCTCTCCCCTTTCTCCGACCCGTCCGTGGTTCTTCCCTCCATCCCCCTCCACTTCTTTTCTTCCCCCCTGCTGCTGCTGCTGCTACTGCCCGCTCCGTTGGCGTGAGAGGCAGTTACCGACTCAAGAAGAACTCTGAGCGATGGCCGCCGTTTCAGCTCCCACTCCTAAGCTGGATCGCTACATTGTCATCCACGTTGCTACCACTTGCGATGAACATGGCGTCTACGTCACCAAGGATTCCGCCGAAGTGATTGAGTTGGGGTGGATCTTGTTGGATACCAAAACCTGCGAGGAGGTACGTCTGAATCTTATCATGCCTCTTTTATCTGATCTTCTCGAATTCGCTTGTCATTCAATTCCATCCAGCCCTTTGACGGATGCATCCCTTCTTCTCTCTGTTTTCCCGCACTTGCTCAATTGCTGCGTTGCTCCATTCTTCCCCCCAACCAACCCACGCCCCCCTCAAACCTTGCGCCCTTAAACTCCGAGCGGAACTAGCCTCAATTCAACCACCTTCGTCTTTACTGACTCGCCGTGTCCTTAGTTGCACCATGAGAGCGTGCTCGTCAAGCCCGTCAACACTCCCATCACGCCTCTCTGTAGTAAGTCCAGCCTCTCAACCTCAGCCTCGTCGCCCAGCCCTCCACCCAGTCAGCCTCGTTCCCCTCCCTCCCTCCCTCCCCCCCGTCACCCCTCTCGGATACATCGGTTCGTTGGTTCAATGGCTGACGTTTCTCGACAGCGAGCCTGACAACTTTAACATGGGAGCATGTTCGCTCCGCAGGTACCTTCCGCGATGCCATCAGCCGGTTCGACGCTTTCGCCCAGGAACACCTCATCAACAAGAACCTCGAATTCGCTTTCGTGACATTGGATTCGTGGGATCTTCGTGTCCAGCTGCCTCGCGAGGCCCGTGACAAGGCCGTCGTGCTGCCCGCATACCTCCAGCACTCACGGACATTCGACCTTCGGACCGAGTACCAGCGATGGCAGACTCACCACCCGGAGTCGCTGCCTTTCGGACCCAGCTCGCTCTCCAACATCTGCGCCGCTCTCGAAGTCGAACCCGTGCAATCCTCCGCCCCCATTAAGCATAACCTCCCATTCCACTTGCAGGCCTTGGCTCCCGCATCGCCGCGGCGAGCCATGGAGGAAGCCATCACGCTGGCCCGGGTGCTCCGTGGCTTGATTCGGAAGTCCCAGCCCCCGCATGAACACCCGGAGATCTTGACCCGCCCCATGGATGCCAGAGCCGATGTGCGTGCTTTCTTGACGGAGCGCAGCAAGGTGCTTCATTTGAGCGGTCTGCCCCACGATACCACGCAGTCGGAGCTCGAGAGTTGGTTCACCCAGTTCGGTGGACGTCCCATCGCCTTCTGGACTCTCCGCACCCCTGACCAGCACAAGCCTACTGGCACTGGATTCGCGGTCTTCTCATCTCACGAAGAGGTATGATTGGGATTACTTCAAAAGCGTGACATACAACTGTTTCTAACCATCACCCCACAGGCTGCCGAAAGTCTGTGCATGAACGGCCGTGCTCTCAACGAAAAGGCCATCGAGGTCTCCCCCTCCTCGAGCCGTGTCCTTGACCGTGCTGCCGAGATCTTGACGCCCTTCCCTCCTTCGAAGAACCGCCCCCGTCCTGGCGACTGGACCTGCCCCTCATGCGGTTTCTCCAACTTCCAGCGCCGTACCGCCTGCTTCCGCTGCTCTTTCCCCGCCATGGCGGCTGCCCCTGATCCGATGGGCTACGGGGCTTACGGCTACGCTCCTCCTTCCATGATGCCTCCCCACATGGGTCATGGTGGCCATGGTATGGGCCACTCCCGGGGCATGGGCGGCAACGGTGGTGTGGTTCCGTTCCGTGCGGGTGACTGGAAGTGTGGCTCGGAGGGCTGTGGATACCACAACTTCGCCAAGAACATCAACTGCCTGCGTTGCGGTGCTCCTCGGTCTGGTGCCGCTGTCGTCGCTGACTCGGCTTTCCCCTCTCCCATGGACCCTCCCACTGGCTTTGCTATGGGCCCCAACTCCATGACGAGCACCCCAGCTCCTGGAGGCTTCACCGGCTCGACCGGGGGCTTCGGTGGATTCAGCCAGCAGTTCGGTGCTCCTCCCAACAACTATGCCCTGCCTTCGGGCTTGGGTAGCACCCCCGGCGGCTACGCTCCCATGGGCCAGATGAATGCCGGATACGGTTCCTCGAACACCTCCCACTCCGCGGCTTCCTTCTCCAATCCTGCCGCGCAGGCTGCTTTCACTGGTGTGGACCACGCCACCTCCACTAGCGCCTCAAACGGTGCCTTCTACGGCAATGATGGTGCGAGCGATCCCTTCGCCTTCCTCTCCACCGGCCTTGGAGGCTTGACTGTGGGCGAGGATGGTCACTCTCGCCGCAATGGTGCCGGTGCAAACAAGTCCCCGGCTTAAGTGGCTCGGTGGCTTCGTCGTGTTTTTACTTTTCTTTTCTACGGTTGTTCCTCACGGTTTTTTTTTGTCCATATGGAGGTCTGGAATATGTTGGTATATGTGACGGTTGATATTCGTTGATGCGCATTTGTATAAGGAATTCTGCAGTTCTGGTGCATTCGGTTGGGAGGAGCAGGCCGGTAGCGTGTCGTCGTTTCAACGGGTTTGATCCTTTTTGTTTCGCCTGGTCTCGTTGCAGACTTTATCACAGACCTTTTTTTCGGTATGTCTTACTATTTGCGCCATTGAAAGCGATGTTTGAGGATATAGAAGACCGTCCTGGTAGGGCCGACGGTTTTGTCCACGCGAATTTTGCGTCTCCATCGGCCGTGGGGCGTCGTGTTTACTCCGGGGATCCTTTTGACACTTGTGAAACGGCATGACGTTCGCGCTCTTGTTTATTTTTGTCATGGCGGACTGTTCTTTGTTTTATCGCGGTGGTACGCTGTCCGGCCGACCGGATGGGGATTTTGCTCGACCATGACATTGCATTCTAGATTTTGTCTCTCTTATTGGTTTTCCGAGTTCATCTGCGCTCTTCGACAAGCGGGTTCATTGGAGAAACAGGTATTGAATCACGGGTTGGGATACAATGGAACGGATTCTGTTGGGGGTGTTGGGGTATACCTTTTGAGCCAGCAAAATCTTCATTCAACCAGCGAAGGTCGATAGGGAGTCGCGACGTGCGACCAGAATGTTCTGAATGTGCATAATTGTTTTGTCCTGATTCTGAGTGTTCTCTACATATTGATGGTTTAAAAGTCTGCATATTGTTTGTTTTGTATCCCGGGGCTAGGAATGTAGTATGAGTACAGTGCCAGGTCACACTGATCGAGATGGATGCCTGTTCAGGCAGACAGGCAGGCAGGCAGGCCCGGGCAACGGAGGTAGTAGCGTCATGTCCGACTAGCCGCGCGCCTAGCGCTTGGGAGCTCTGAAGGCAGCGGCGGGCCTCGCGTCCACCTCCATCTGTCATCGCCCAGGCCGGAGACCTCCAGCCTGCACTCCACGACCCTAGACCACGAATTGCATCTTCTGACAACTTCTTTCTTTTCTATTCCCTCCTAGCTTTGCCCAGTTTCTCATCTGCCCATCATGTCCGGCTACGATCGAGCTCTTTCAGGTAAGCCAGATCCGACCGAGTAGCTTAGCTGAAGCTCCTACATCATCGATCACAGGAGGTCGGAAGCAGATTAGGATGGATCGCTGACCGGCAACAGTATTCAGGTACGACCGGACTGTGAAGATTATCCCAAGGACCGTTGTTGACTCTCGTTATTAGCCCTGACGGGCACGTCTTCCAGGTGGAATATGCCATGGAAGCTGTCAAGAGAGGTAGGTATCTACTTCTATCTTCTAACGCCAGCTCAGATACCCATCTTCACCATATCCTCATCCTTATTTCCCCCTCGTCCCAACCCACACACACTCAACATAACGAGAAGAACACCATCTAACGCTACCTCCCGGCAAAAACCAACAGGTACCTGCGCGGTCGGCGTAAAAGGCAAAGACGTGGTGGTGCTCGGCTGCGAGAAGCGGTCGGCGCTGAAGCTGCAAGACACGCGGATCACCCCCTCGAAGATCGCCATGGTCGACAACCACGCGGTGCTGGCGTTCGCGGGGCTGAACGCCGACGCCCGCATCCTGATCGACAAGGCCCGTCTGGAGGCCCAGTCGCACCGCCTGACCGTCGAGGACCCCGTCACCATCGAATACATCACCAAGTACATTGCCGGCGTGCAGCAGCGGTACACGCAGAGCGGAGGCGTGCGGCCCTTCGGCATCAGTACGTTGGTCGTCGGCTTCGATCCGAATGATCGTACGCCTCGGTTGTATCAGACTGAGCCGTCGGGGATTTATTCTGCTTGGTATGTTTCTCTTTCTTGTGTTCTTGGGGGTGACTATGGGGGTGGGGGAAGTACTAGGGGTGGTGCAGTGGCTAACCTGGGCTTTTCTTTATTTGTCTGGAACAGGAAAGCCAACGCCATCGGCCGCTCCAGCAAGACCGTCCGCGAGTTCCTCGAACGCAACCACCAGGACGACATGGACCGCGAACAGACCATCCAGCTCACCATCAAGTCTCTGCTGGAGGTCGTGCAGACGGGCGCCAAGAACATCGAGGTCGCTATCATGGCACCCGGCCAGGCCATCGAGATGCTCCCCGATGACCAGATCGAGGCCTACGTCAAGAGCATAGAGACCGAGAAGCAGGAGGAGGCCGCTAAGAAGAAGACCGCCCGCGTCGGCACCACGACGGCCGCCATCCTCACTCGCCCCGGCGGTGGTGAGACGGGCGAGTCGTCTTGAGTCTTGGACTTGGGAGTCCAAGTGAGAAAGTGAAGTGGAGAGAAAGAAATGGGTTCTACTTTATTTCCCCCCTAAGCGCTGTGCTATGTTTGGTCCAATGAAATCCTCGTTATGAACTGTGTAGATTTTTCTCTTGTGTTTTCTATTCTAAGATCTTCTGATTCCGGTATAGGTATGAACATGAAGAAGGGAAATAAGGATGGTACACACACCCAACAACCAACACCGGATTTTAAGGAAAGGCAAAATCCAAACATGATATCGTAAATCTTCGTTAAGTCCTCCCCCTCCGGAGGAAGGACATTTAAATAAGCCTAACCCAACCGATCCGAAATATCCTTGAAATTAAAGATCGATTTCTCCTGATGTCCACGCACCCGATCATCCTTCAGCATTCTAGATCCAGGTAATAAAAGTTAGCGATCGATACGTCTTAACGCGAGTCAAGCTTTCGTCCCCTCCCTCCCCTCCCCCTTTTCTGTACCCCTCTAGTAGTCATAGTGGGGTGCCACCGGGAGAACAAGAGAGGCGCAGCTAAAAAGGAGGTGTGATGGATACGATAAAGGACCAAGGGGAAATCGTACCTCGAATCCACTCGCGCATCCTCGCCTTCTATTTGGAGCGTCGGCGTCGGCGTCACGGCCTCGATCACGAAGTGGTTATCGCAATGGGGGCAGTATTCGTCACTTTATTGGGATTCGTTAGTTTTTTTTGGAGATTGGTTGGTGGGGGAGGGCTTGCTTACCTCTCGTCGAATTCGGCGGTGTCTTTGCGGAAGCATTTTTTGCATTTTTTGCAGGCGAAGACCTGGTTTAACCCCTTTGTTAGTGGTTTGGCGACGAGAGGGGAGGGGTGGGCTTTGTGCTTTGGGTTTGGGTTTGGGCTTTGTGAGGGGTACGGGGATTAGATGCGTTTCGTGTTTGTTGTCGCGCGAGGGAGATGGATTAAGTATTGATGTATGCTTGTATGGAGACATGGATGTAGTTGATCAGGACTGCGGTGTGCGTGCTGTAGTACAGTAGGCCATACCATCTCACTGGCTTTGGCAAGAGGGTGTCGTTCGGTCTCTTGGTGACATTCTGCGCAGTCGAACCATTTCTTGCCTATTTGTTTGAGGGTTGGTTAGAGATGGGGAGTTCTCAATGTGGGGTGAAGAGGGTGAAGAGGCCAATACTCACAGCAAGGGGAGCGGATCGCTACTTGCGCGTTGAGGATGTGTTTACTGCAGACAGACAAATAGTGAGGATGAGGCTGTCCCGGCTGCGGGTTGCGGTGCGGGCGGGGGCTTCTGTTCTTACCACATGGTTCACAGGCTCTGAATATGAGCTGGATGGATCTTGGGAGACTCGAGGACAAGAGAAAAGACAGGCCAAACGATCTATTCTTGGTTGCTGGGTGCTCTTCTGGCGGTGATCGAAACAGAATCGTGAGGCCGAATGATGAACGCGGAGAGGCTAAAAATAAAAAGGCGACCCCATAAGCCAATAATAAAGGATGGATCCCAACAGCCGGCTGTCATTCCGCCTGCCCGCCATTCTTCCCTTTCCACTACTTACGTTTACTACTAGTCCACTAACTACGTCTATGTCTACGTCTACGTCTACTTCCTATTCACCACTCAACTGCGTTATCCTACTTGACACTCAACTACTCTACTCAACTTGCTGAGGCTAGAGGCCAGTCTCGCACTGTCGCGTCATCCTCCTCTCCTTTCGTCCACTCTTCATTGTCGATCCTCCCTAAACTATTTGGCTGCCTCGAGTCTTCGTCCGTCCTTCTCTCCCCCTCCCCCCCCACTCTTTCGAACTCTCTCTCTTCTTCCTACTCTCCCTCCTCTCGCCTACCCTCCTCCATCACCGATCGAATTGTCTCGGACGTGCACATTCTCTCGTATTCCTTTTCCCGCCGGTCTGCTTGTGGCCGTGGCTAGGCTCAACGTCGTTGTGTTCTCTCTTCCCCCCCTGCTGCTCCTCCGCATTTCCTCCCCTCCTTTCCGCCTGGAGCTCCGCCACAATTGTCACGCAGCCGAATCGCCTCCCCTGCCACCCCCATTATCCCATTAATTGTCGGTATTCGAATCCTATCGCCACCTTGTCCTGGTCAATACCAGACAGCATCATACCACTCATCGCAATTGGCTGCCTATGAACCATATCTCCCTCCAAATCTCGTGTCGGATCGGTAGTCATGGAAGGAAACGGCAAGAAGACGGACGGCACGGATAACGCCCATATTGTACGTCCCAAGGCCTAAAGCTGAAGCTGAAGCTCAAGCTAATCGTCCCATCACCAATAGAGACCCGTATCTTCCCTCCTTTCGCATTTCGAGAACCTGTCGCATCGCCGAGCTCCGTCCGCCGCAACGAATGGCACACGCGACACCCCTTCCTTCCCGAGATCCCTCGAACCGGGCGACGACGTCCGCTCTTCGTCGCGAGTTTCCCTCGATCTGTCTCGCTCACAATCTCCATGGGATTCGACGCCAGAGTTGAACAAAGGCCATGGGTCTCTGCATAGCAACGGAATCCCACCGCGACCTGGCCGCACCCCCGGAGTCTCCCCCGGACGGCGCCAGGATAGGCCCATGTCTCTCAGCTTGCGTTCGTCGCCACAGCTCCCACCTACCCTGACCGTTGACTCCCCGCGGTCTCCTCCCCGGGGATTCGGATCGCTGGGTGACCATGAGGAGCATGCACGATCTTCCCGCAGTCCTCCCAACGCGTCCAGAGAATCGCTGCCTACAATTCCGCAGGGTAACCGTCCGACGACCCCCGTTACATCGTCGCGCGTCCCTACAGATCTGAAGCCAGGGCGTCTTTCTCCAGGACCGGCAGACTCAGTGATCAGTGGTCGCGAAAGCTCGCAGGACCGCCAAGGCAAGAGCGAATCTCTCCCCCCACCGGCCAACCGGGCGGAGAAGCCCAAGATTCCCGTCAAGCCGGCCGCCCTGTCCCATCACGATGGAGGCTCTCTCGCAGCTCCGCAGCCTGACCGTGCGCCCGCGGATGATCGCATATCGCCCTTCAGCACTCCCCCAAGCAGCCCCGAGAAAGATTCCCCGAAGCATAATCCGCCCACTTTGAGAGGCGCGCAGTTTCCGCGCTCCCCCTCTCGCCGATCACCCTCCCAACCTCCAGCAGAACTTCCCCGGTATCGCGTCGAAGAAAGAACCGCCACACCCCAGCTCCCTCTGTTCCGCGAGCCTTCCCTTACACAGCGACACTCGGTTCCAGAGCCTCCGCGCGAGACCAGACCATTGTCAGTACAGATTCCTCCAAGACCGTCACTTCCAGCAGAACCTCTATCGGCTGCGCCACTCTCTGCGCACCGGATACCAATGCACGACAGTTTCTCCGAACGTCCGGGTCTACCTCCACGACAGCCGTCGATTGTGCGGAGAGGCGGTCCGTCACCCTCGCGATTATCCTACCAACGCGAATCTTCCGCGCACTCAATCCCGCCGCCGACCCCTCTACGGGAATCGCGGTACTTGGACAGCCCGGCATTCTCGATGCCGCCTCCGACGCCCAACCGGGAATCGCGGCAACTACGCCCGGACGAACTTCCGACTCCGACAACGGTGCAGCGGCATCCATCGATTGCTCGAGAGAGCCGGCCGGTGCCGCCACCGGCTGTTCCGGAACGACCGGTGGTGGAGCGCCCGGTGGTGGATCGGCCGGTGGTCGAACGGCAAGCAGTGCGTGTCCAGAGCGAGGATGAACAACAGAATTTGGATAGTGTCCCCGTCGCGCGTAATGACTACCCAGATGCTTCAACTGCGAACAGGCGACCGCCACTTCTCAAGTCGGGCCCGTTCGAAATCAACACACGGTATGATACGAGACTGATGGATGTGTGCGGAAAGCACGTATGCACTACCGGGTATATCACGCGAGTCTGGGATCTCACTACGGGAGAGCAACTCATGAGTCTCAGTCATGGGGAAACAGTCAAGAGTCTGTCACTGGCCTTCAAGCCCGGCGTGGGATTAGAGGATGAAGGTCAGCGCGTATGGCTGGGTACGAACTCGGGGGAACTACATGAGGTGGATATCGCGTCCGGCTCCATTGTCGCGTCGCGGTCGTATCCTTCGAGAAAGGAGGTCATCAAGATTCTCCGTCACAAGAAAGAAATGTGGACCCTTGACGATGAGGGTCGATTGTTGGTCTGGCCACCAGATGAGAACGGCACGCCCAACCTTCAGTACAGCTACCACAACCCGTATGATCGTGTTGCCCGCGGACATACCTTCTCCATGGTCGTGGGCGATAAACTCTGGCTGGCCGCGGGTAAAGAAGTTCATGTGTACCGGCCCAACGCGCGTGACGATGTTTCCTTCAAAGTTCTTAGTAAACCGCTGGGCGCGCATCATACCGGCGATGTCACTTCCGGCGCGTATACCACTCGGGACGGCGGCCTCGTCTACCTCGGCCATGCAGATGGTAAAGTGACGGTTTACTCTGCTAAAGACTACGCGTGTCTGGCAGTAGTCAACGTCAGTGTCTACAAGATCAACTGCTTGGGAATTGTCGGCGACTACTTGTGGGCAGCGTACAAAACCGGCATGATCTACGTTTACGATACGACCACGAACCCCTGGACGGTCAAGAAAGATTGGCGTGCTCACGACAGCCCGGTGAGCGGGTTCTTGTTGGATTCTAGTAGTGTGTGGACGATGAATCGACTCCAGGTGACTTCTTTGGGTGACGATAATTGCATTCGTCTTTGGGACGGTATGCTCGAGGATGATTGGCTAGGTAGGTGGCGTACTTTACTGTTTCTTTGACTGCCTTGGCTGACTTTTATTCTAGAAACTCGGATGCAAACCAGGGACGTCGAGTTTTGCAACTTCCGCGAGATTCATGCTGCAGTGATAACCTGGAATGCGGGTGCTTCGACACCCGGTAGTGTGCGGACGTCTTCGTTCATTCAAGATGCCATCCACCCCGAAAACCCGCCGGAGATTATCGTCTTTGGTTTCCAAGAGTTGGTGGACCTGGAGAATAAGAAGATCACAGCCAGTATGTGCTTTCCCTCCTTGATCAACATGATCCTCCGTGCCTTGGGTGGTACTAACTCGGTATGAAGAGAGCCTTCTCTTGGGAAGCAAAAAGAAGGACAGTGGGGACAAGGAACATATGAGTCGCCAGTATCGAGTGTGGATGGAACACCTGACTCGCTGCATCAACGATTGCATGCCGCTTGAGGAATCGTATGTGCTCTTGCATAGCGCGAATATGATCGGACTCTTCACGTGTGTTTTCGTCAAACACAAAGAGCGGCAGAGAATCACGGACATCAGTGCATCTGAGATCAAGCGCGGTATGGGCGGATTGCATGGAAATAAGGTAAGCCCTTTTCTTTCTTTCCCAATAGAGGCACTCGACTGATTAGCTAGGGTGCTCTTCTGTTCCGCTTCACACTGGACGACAGCTCTATCTGCTTGGTCAACTGTCATCTGGCAGCTGGACAGACGCAGACTGCTCACCGCAACAACGACATTGCAGCGATCCTTGAAGCGGAGTCGCTTCCCGCCGAGGGTAGCCTCTCCGCACGGGCAAATCACTACGTGAGTGGCGGCGACGGATCGATGATCATGGATCACGAGATCTGCATTTTGAACGGTGATCTGAACTACCGGATTGATGCCATCCCACGTAATGTGATCATCGACGCGATCCGCAGCAACAATCTCACGAAGCTCCTCGAACGCGACCAGCTGCTCGCCTCGCGGCGCAAGAACCCGGGCTTCCGGCTCCGGTCCTTCAACGAATCTCCGATTACCTTCGCCCCGACGTACAAGTACGATGTCGGAACAGACGAGTACGACTCGAGCGACAAGAAGCGTGCCCCCGCCTGGTGTGACCGGGTTCTGTATCGCGGCCTCGGCCGGGTTCGACAGCTCGAGTACCGGCGTCACGAGGTCCGGGCCTCCGACCATCGTCCCGTCAGCGCCGCCTTCAAACTCCGCGTCAAGACCGTAATGCCCACCGAGCGTGAAGCTGTCTGGGAAGCGTGTCAGCAGGAATTTCAACGGGAGAAGCGTCGACTTGCTTCCGAGGCGAGGTGAGCACGATGCTCGTTCTTGTACCACCATCTCCTTTCTGACTAACATTGCTCCCCTAGTATCGAATACCTCATCACCGTCCTAGGCACCGATCCCCAACAAGCACGGACATTGATCATGGGTAACGGAAATTGAAACCCCGCCTTCTTCTTTGTTTTCTCAGTAGACTTTTGCAAGGGGAGGATCGTTGGAAGAGTGGGGATTGTTGTCTGCGTCGTCGAGGCACCCGACGCCGCACCCAGCATCAACCACTACAACAACGCATCGCGCTACGTCGCCGAAGTGTGTATACGACTAATGATTCACGATAGACATGTATTTATCATGATTGGAGGAGCGAGGGGGATTTCTTTAGATGAAGCTTGGTCTGGATGGGAAGAGCAGATACGATACCTAATTAATATGTGGTGTGTCAAGGGAGCATGATTGTAGTGGTAATTGGTTTTTTTTTTTTTCTGGGGAATGATGGTGGGTGATTAGTGTGGTATGGTAAGAGAGCAAAGAGCAGAAGAGAAAGAGAGGTGGATGGTTGGTGTGTTGTACATAGGACTGTTTATATTCGTACGGTTTTCTTCTATGATTGTTGCATTCTGGTTGTCCTTGGCTGCTTGTGGTTTGTTGGGTTGGTAGAAGGGCATGGTCGTAGAAACTACAATTTTGCTGAATACTCGACAGCTCAGGGCTGCCAGTCTTGGGTGTCGACAACTGAGATGGTACCTCCTGGTCTGCATTCTCAAGGCGTAAACGTTGTACACTACCTGCATGGAAAAGACATCCCAGGCATAGCGTGCGTCCTAACAAGGTGCATATAGCCAAACCGGTAGTACTATACTGTGCATACAGCACATAGAACTTGTTTGAATAAACTCACTGGGACTCAAGACATACCTTGTAGCCCATACACCTCCAATTTCATGCAAAGCATTCACCTCGCTACCAGGACGAACTTATACTAATCGCCCAGCCATCCTGTCATCTCCATCGCCAAAAAGAGCCAGCCATGTTACCGCGCTGCTGGACTAGCGCAGCCCGGCTGGTATCCGGCAAACTGGAGTATAAGTGGATGCACCGTAGCGCCACTTCGTGAGTGTATTTCAGTAGCTGGATAGTGTGGAAGTTTCTGCTCGCAGGTACAAGAGGGAAACCATCTTTATGCGTTTGTGCCTGCTGCCGCGGGGATCGAGTGTGAACTCCGTTTAAAACCGATTGGACGGTCTATGGAGTTTGTATGCGAAAAAAAGAAGAATTTGCCCCGCAAGTAACAACTCTTTTTTCGAGAGAGACGCAAGGTTCAGCTTGCATGTTCATGACGCCCAGTGGTCAGCAGGGTGTCTCCTCGGTTTGAGCGATGGAGGCATGCCTCGCGCCTGTGTGGACCTGTTCCTAGCATGGTTTTGTGGACAGGGCTGAAACGTAACAAGAGTCCATACTATTGGCGCCATGCTAGAATAGCTCTGCTCAATGTTGTGTTTCTTTGTTGTTCACTGAGGCAGTCATACGTCAATTGGTGTTGGGAAGATACCCAGCCGGCTAGTTTTACCTGCAGGAGTTGAAGAGAGTTTCGATCTTCGTATTGAGCTCGATTAAGCCAGCCATGAAGAGACTGTACGAGGTGACGACTGAACTGAGGTAGTTGGTAGGTGGGGCCGCTTGTTCTCAGCACAACGATATTGATTCAGCCACAGCAACAGCAGCAAAGCAACAGCAAAAATGAGCTGGAAGCCAAACCCCCACCAAAACCTCGGCCACGCGCTCGACATCCACAAACCCCACGACTGGGGCGATCACGGCCGGGACGGCCCGTCCGTGGGAGCGCCAGACCAGCCCGCCGGTGATCCAATGGGCAGGCAAGGCCTTCAACAAGGACCATTTCGACGCCATCAGCAAAGCCCACTACGAGAGGCCCATGGTTTCAGTTGCCAAGGCGGTCTAGTCCGCGTCGCACTTTCGGTATTTCTCACATGTTATGGTTCGGTATGCTCTTCCTCTCTCTCTTGGTATTCATTGTTGTGTTTGTGTTTGTGTCTGTCTGAGAGGCGTGCCTTGATCGCTCCCTCTTCTTGGAAAGGAAGTGAAGACGGACTAATGGTCCATGAATCACAGATTGCTTTGCGAATCACACCAGTGCCTCTGATCCAAGGCCCCATGCCACCGTGATCCTGAAGAACGCGGGGCTGCAGCATCGTAACCGCTGTGTCAATGCGCACATTCTGAACGATGCGCAGTTCAACTACGTTGGACATGAGATCTATGTACAGAATGAAGTCGAGTTAGATTTCGGGTCGATCAATTTTTTTGGATTATCGATAGATTGTCTGGGTTAGGGATGGGCTGAGGGCGATGATTTTCTTTCCGTTGTTTATGTCTCTTATTTGTTCTGGTGTTCTCGTTATCGTCAAGACTAGCGATCTTTTTTCTCCAGATTCTGTTACTCGGATACATAGACAGACACAATTCAACCATCTAATCACAAAGCGGCCCAAAAAGCACCTCATCCCACTGCACCTGCCCCTGCAACTCCTCCGAAGCATGCGCCCCAAACCCACAAGCAGCCATAAGACTAAACGTCAGATTCCGCGCAGAAGGCTGAATACTTCCTGTCAACGCAGTCCAGTCTCCCTCCGTGCTTTTCAGCACCTCAGCGGCGATCTCCTGCTCCCCGAGATGCGCGCTCACAGTGCACCCGTCCTCCACCGCGCCGAACGGCTCCACGAGCCGCACCTGCACGGTCAGCTCGTACGGCGTCTCGTCGTCGAGCCAGAAGAGGTCTTGTGAGACGATTCCTATTGGGGTGGTGGGGGTTGTTGCTACTGCACTGGAGTTGAGTATTAGCATTTGTTTTGAGGACTGAGGGGGGTGGGTGTTGGGTGTGGGCAAAGTACAGGAATTTCTCCCCCGCGTAGGCGGTCCCGGATTGTACCCAGCTTGTCGTTAGGGGGTTCTCGGCGGGGCACCAGTAGTCGAAGTCGTGTTCGAAGCTGAAGTTATTTATGTCGTTGCAGGGCATTTTGGTTGGTTTGTGTTGGGACTGAGAATGAGGTTGAGGTTGGGATTTTATTGGATGGTTGTGTGTACTTGTGCTTGATGTAGATGGAAGAGGGAGGTGCTAGACAGGGTCTATATAGGACAACCCACATCCACACCACACTAAGGTGTAAACAAAAGCGTCGCCGCATCAAGTCCGTTCATATCTGTGCAGCCTAATGTCAGGGTTTCCGGCCGCCGAGATGGAGCTTTCAGCTTACCCGCAAGCGACCCACTGCGGCCCCTGACGTGAGCCGCCGAAGCCAATTATCGGGGTTGATATGCGGTAGCCTAACTCGACGTCATGCTATCTTGTGGGGAAAATGAGGCGCAGAGAGGGATGCCCTGCGGTGTTTGCGAGCTCGATCTTGCGGGGTCGCACCGCTGCACCTTCCTTATTTGCTTATGCTCGGCGATGATACGGGGACTGGTAGATGACTGGTAGATGACAGGTAGATGCCTGGTAAGAGATGCGGATAGGCAGACACATATCTACTTCTCTCAGGCAGTATTGTTTGGTTTAGGATAGTGGAGTATGGGAGATTAGCTCTTTCCGAGCCATCCGGATAAAACGAGTACCTATCCTGGGGATCTAGGTTCCTGTGTTTAGCTTGTGCTAGTGAGAAATCCAGCCCATCGAAAAGATTTACATCCGAAAGCAGTTCCCATAGCTTTCATAGAGAACGAACTGTCAATACCAGAGCAGTGATTTGGCCGAGTTCAAGGACCCGGAAATACATCCCATCATGCCAAAGTTCCAAAGATCCGCACTATATGTCCATGTCGCCTTCGAGAGAACCTCTGGCGCGCAAAAGGGCCGGCCTTGACCAAAGGACTCTTACTGGACTTCTTCCCGCAGACAAAAACTCCAGACGGGCCGGAGTACGGAATATTCCGGTAACGGATGGCTTACCGGCTTCTGCCCGTTGACAATTACCAGAAGATCCATCGCGGTCTATACCATACGCTCCCCTCTACACTGAGTTCAACCTCCGGCGAGGCTGAAGCCACAAATCCTCCTCATCGTCGCTTAAGGTGAGGCGCAGGCAGATGCAAGCACGGTAGTCACCTGCGTTGCAATACTGCCGAAACTGTCCAGCAGACCCTGGGCGTCAGATTCCGATAGGAAGTCATCCCAATAGCGGATGTGGAGCTCCGCGTGAGAGGGAAATAGAATCACGGCTGCCACAACATGATACTGAGGAAACGGGAAAAAGGAGGGTTAGATTATCGATTTCTCAGGACGAAAGTCGTGAAGGGCGTGGCTTACCTCGGTGGGATCATAGCTTTGCAGTAGCTTGAATTTCACAGCTGATGGGCTGCCATCCTCATTGTCATCCGGGCCAGAAGTAGGCTCCATGGCAGGTTGTACCGTCAGGCACGTATTGAACAGCCGATCATGCCCGGTGATCTGTACGATGTGCTGCAACGAGACGTGCTGATGGCGAGTGCGCTCAATCTGGGCGGCTTGGTTGGTGCGAAGCATTTCGAGTAGTTGATCCGGGGTGGGTTGGAGAGATGGGAAGTGCAGACGACATGGAAGAATGTTGAAGAGTGGACCAACCATCTGCAAGATCTCCGGGACAGCTGCATCGCGACAGGATTTCAGCGTTCCGAAGCAGACGTCTTCGGAGCTGAGAGTGCGACCCAAAATTAGACCCCAGATGGTCTGGAATACATTGGTGACGGTCATCCCCGCGGCCTGCGAGAGCCCAGTCAGTGATTCTGTTTGGGCAATCTGCTGGACTACAGTTCGGACTTGCGGAGCACTGCCGACCGAGGAACATGCTAACTCGAGGCCGCTCGATTTCGGGAAAAGACACGCCGTAGTGTTCAAAAGGGCATGTTTCCAGAATAGACGGTCATCTTTGGCAGATGGTAAATCGTTCACGTAGGCAGCGTACTGGGTATACCGGGGTGCCGGGGCCAGTCCGGCCCCCCGGCTGAGACAGAGGGCCGACATCTCACTCAGAAGGATAGTCATCGATGCAGCATCGATCAGAGCTTTGTCAAACTCAAACAGCCACCATACCTGTCCGTCTGGCCCCTCGGCCAAAGTTGAATGATGCGGCATCGCTCCTTCTAAGCACCTAGCAGGTTTGACCTTCCAGAGGTCCGCCGTGGATTGGATGATTGGATTCTTCAGGACCTTAATAGCTCCGTGAGCAGATTTCAGCACAGCCTGAGTGGGCCGCATAGGGTCCGACCACGGTACCAGAACACTGCGGAGCATGTCATGACGTTGGATAATTTGTTCCAATGTATAGGCAACGTCAGCCGCCCCAAGGCACTGCGAAGACTGGATTTCCCAGAGGGACCGTTGTTTATGCGTGCCCGGGTTAACAAATTGATCGGCGATGATCCCAACATGTGGTGCGGGGCACTCGAAAACCTCGTCAAGAAGCGCAAGGTGAATGGGCGACATTGCCCGTTGTGCATGCTGCAGCCGCTCTTTGATCTTGCAAAAGCTCTCTTTGCATAGTGTGATGTTGCCAGTGCCCCCATCCCTACCGTTCTGGATATGGGGTCGAACATCACGCCGCCGGGCATCCACTTCCTCGGCCAGAACCCTTATCGACTTTTGCTCCAGCAGGTCGGTTATGGTAAACCTTAGATTCCTTTTGCGGCACGATGCGAGAACGCGCATCGCGAGCAGAGAGTCCCCACCCATACCAAAGAAGCTGTCGTCAATCCCGACATTGTGCTCGGGAATCTTGAGTGCATCAGCAAAGATCCGGCAGATAAGACTCTGCGTGTGAGTCTCAGGCCGCCGCAGGGTGCGCTTGCAGCTTACTCCACGCACCAGTCGCTCAGCAGGGAGCTTCGAGGCCATTTGTTGCAGCAGCTTCCGATCTGTCTTGCCAGATGACGTCAAGGGAAGCCAGGCAGTTGGTATAACAATGGAGGGAACCATATACGGCGGCAGAGCTGCGCGCAGGGACTCTAGTAGATTCTCGGGCGATGGTTGATTCTGATCATCGACAATATCGAACAGGTCGGGCTGAATCTGACCGACAATTTTTGGGGCAATGAATAAGACGAGCTTGGACTGACCCAGAGCCTCAAAGCTAACTAGGCTCGCGACCGCCATCATATCTGGAATCAGCCGTGTGACTTGATGCTCAATCTCCTGCAGTTCGATTCGTTGACCATGCACTTTCACCTGCGTGTCCTTCCGGCCTAGGAAGACCAGTGTGCCATCCGAGCTGTAACGGACCAAGTCTCCGGTCCGATAGAATCTCTCCTCTGGAGGTAAATCAAAGTCTCTTGCCCAGACTGGGCAGCGTACGAACGAGGCGTGGGTTTGCAATGAATTGTTGACATAGCCGCGGGCCACCATCGGCCCTGAGAGAAGCAATTCCCCAATGGCGCCGACGGGTAGAAGACAATTGTAGTTGTCAGGATCCACGACCCAAGTCCGACCATTCAAGGAGCGCCCAACATTGCTGGGTTCACTGCGAGTAGAGGGTGAGAGGTCGCGCATTGTGCTAGCAACTGCGCATTCTGCTGGCCCATATCCCACCTTCAAGGGTACTTGGCCTGCCCATTTGTCGATATCAGCAGTGGACACAGCTTCTCCAACCAGAAGAAACACCTCCAAAGGAGGAAGCTCAGCCGGTGATAGTGTCCGTGCCACAGACGGGGTCAAAGAAGCCCAGTTGATTTGCAGGTCTCGCATCGCCTTTGGCAAATCGCTGAGGCGATCCTCCTCGGAAGGAATGCAGATACAAGCCCCCGCCAAGAGGGTCCACATGATTTCCAGAATGGCAAGGTCGAAGGCGACTGATGAGTTGTAGAGAACTCGACTGGTATTGTGCAGTCCAAAGCTTGCTTGATACGCCTGCGCAGAGATGTGGCACATGGCATGCTCGATGACCATGCACTTGGGCACGCCCGTCGACCCCGAGGTGAAGGCAACATACATCGGAGTATGCGCATTCGCATTTGCTACTGGTGGCACCAAGAGTGACTGATCAGTTTGTCGCACTGCAAGCCATCTATCGACATCAAGGACGATCTCACTCGACACGCCTAGACCGCGAATCTTGGCTTCTGTGGTGTGGGATACGATGACTGCCGCCGCGTTGCTAACCTGGCACATCTCGCGGAGACGATCGCGAGGAAAGCCCGGCTCAAGCAGAACAAAAGCTGAGTCTGCCATTAGCACACCGAGAATTGCCACAATCTGCCACTTGGATCGCTCCATGCACACAGCAACAACGCTGCCTGGGCTGACTTCATTCAGCTGAAGGTATCCCGCCCATTGGCGCGCACATTCAATAAGCTCGCGATAGCTGAAAATACCGTCCCAACTCGAAACCGCCGGTGCATCGGGTTGAGAAATTAGGTGATTCTGAATGACCCCATGTACTGTGGCCGCGTGGAATGTCTGTGGTGTCGGATTCCACACTCCAATCTGCTCTCGATCGCAGTCACCGTAGCCTCGGATCGTGTCGAGAGTTTCCCTGGGGTGCTGCAAAATTCTGTGCACGGTACCTTCAAACTGTTTCAACATGTGGACCACATGCTGAGGATACAAGGTGTCTGCATCAAAGATTGCCTCCACATGCATGCCGTTTTCCTGCAAATCCACGACTATGGTGAGAATGTGGGACAGGAACTTCTGCTGCTGGAGCTGATTCTGCGGCATGTCCGTCATGAAGGGTGAGTCTTTTGCCAAAGAACGTGGCTGGATGGTGAGAAGAGTCTGGAATTGGCAGGCTTGTGCAGCCTCGGGGCTACATTTTGAGATCTGGGCCAGGCCAGTCTGTTCAAAAGGAATGGCACTAGAGAACCAGGACTGAATTCGCTCAAGGCTTGTTTCAATGGTAGCATTTCTATCCAGTGCGACACGCACTGGGAATGTGGCAATGGTTGGGCCCATCAAGTTCGCAATCCCGGGCACTGGCGAGTTACGCCCAGACACAGTCGTGCCAAAAGCCACATCATCGGAACCAGTCCGACCGGCTATAAGAATTGACCAGGCGAGCTGTATGACAGTAGCCATTGTATAGCCTGCGTTAAGTGGTGCTGTTGGAACAGATATCTGACGTCGCTTGACGGTGGTCCTTAACGGCGTCACCCAGCCCGGTGGCGGAGGCGGATAGATTTGTCCATGAAAACCTTGAAATGAACCACTCCAAAAGTTTCTAGATGCGTCATGATCGAGCTGCAGGTTGTGTTGCAGCAGCCTAGTCATTGATTCTCGGGATACCAAAGGCTGGCCGTGGTAGAGTTGTTCCAGATCTTCGAGAAGACATCGGTACGACCAGCCATCAAAGACCGCATGATGCATGCGAAGCACAAACACAGGCCCCAGCCCGTCTGAGCCCCGATCAGCAATTCCAAATCGTGTCAGTGGCCGTCCAAAGGATAGACTATACGCGTCAATTGTTTCCTGCACCTGCTCCAGATCGCTCGCAGTTATCCAGTCCAGAACATCCTGCACGACGAGTTGATACAGGCCTTCACCGTAATCGCTGACGATGCGCGAGCGAAGAATAGGTCTTGCAGCGAGAATCTTTTCCCAGCACTGCCTGAAGAGACCGACGTCCACCCGGGGATCGAGGCGGAAAATAAAGGTTGCTGTAAAGTCAACTCCTCGTTCAGCAGTCAGAAGCATCAGTGCTTCTTGTAGGGCGGTGCATGGATACATGTCAATAATCATTTCCTGGCTCAGCTGGCACTGCTCAGCGGCTTTTCGCAGGGCCAATGGTCTATGTGTTTGTTCCATGAGACTGAATGCGGGAACTATTGACGGAGACTGAACAGGAAGAGCGAGTTTTGCAAGAGCCGAAATTGTCTGGTGGGTGAAAACATCCACCATGGAAAGCTCCCAGCCCTGATCTCGAAGTTTGGTCACAAGGTTGATGGCCATGAGGGATGTACCACCCAGCTTGAAGAAGCTGTCGGAGAGATGGACGCTACCAGCTGGAATCTGGAGTTGATCTACTACGAGCTGGTGGATCGTCCGCTCCATCGCGTTCATCTCCACCTCATTCACCGAGACAGACGCAACATAAGATACTAACTTTTCACCGGGCATCTCGGCAGCGAGATGCCGGAGTCGCTTGCGATCGACCTTCCCCGTGGGCGAGATCGGAAGATGGGTTAGTGGAATGTACAGAGAAGGTACCATGAACCGCGCGAGACGACTGGCGAGCCATTCATGAAGTCGAGCAAACGATGCCACACGGCAAGTGTCGATAGTCCTGGAGACCGGTACGTCCGGGCTGACCGACGGTGACTCAGTGCGTTGACACTTCTCCACCACAAATAAAGCTAGACGAGGAGGACCGAGGGTAGGGGTTAATATCTCTGCCACAGCCCTCATTCCAAATTCAAACAACTCGGCGCAATGCTCGATCTCATGCAGCTCCACCCGCTGTCCTTGAATCTTGACTTGAGTATCCTTTCGCCCACCATACCGCAGTGTACCATCATTCACGTTGTATCGTACGAGATCTCCAGTCCGATAGAAGCGTTGATTGGGATCAAGCCCAAATTGACCCGCCCATTGGGGAGCTCTGAAGAAGTTTTTATCTGTCGGGCGGTTCATGTAACCCCTGCCCACAATGGGACCTCCGATGATAAGTTCCCCCATGGCCCCCAGCGGAAGTAATTGATGATGATCCTGCGGGTCGACCACCCAGCATGTGCCACTGATAGAATTTCCAATATTCAGAGGGTCGTCGACATCTGGGGCTGTGCAAACCGTGGCGACGATACTGCATTCTGTCGGTCCGTAAGCTACCATGAGCTGCTGCTTGGCTTGACTCCACGTAGCCAAGTCAGAAGGCAGAATAGGCTCTCCTCCAAGTACCACAGTCTGAACCAGGGGGATCTGGTCGGGTTGCAACATTCGCGCCACGGTAGGCGTTAACTCCACCCAATTCACCTCCAATTCCCGGATTGTAGCCCCCAGGCTTTGCAATCGTTGTTCCTCTGATGGGACGCATATGCAGCCCCCAACAATTAATGTTGACAAAATCTCCTGAATACTGATGTCGAACCCGTAGGATGCATATTGAAGGACCCGAGAGGAGGCTTGTAATTGCTGAGCAGGCGCATTGTGACGAGCGCTGGCACAAAAGGATCTGTGCTCAATGACCACACCCTTCGGCTTGCCCGTTGAGCCCGAAGTGAACGCCACATAGGCAGCGGTCTCTGGCGTTACGACCCGACACAAGTCCTCGTTGGATGTGGAGGCCTGCGCAATCTCTGGAAGCACAAGGACAGTCTCGTTCAGCTGCTGGCCCACCGGCACCTGCGCACGCGAGGTCAGAATTAGCTGGGGTTTGACATCTTCACAAATGCTCCTCAGACGTGGCAAAGGATAAGATGGATCAAGCAGAGTGAAAGCCGCGCCAGCTCTTAGAACTCCCAGAATGGCGACGGCCGTCCAGAGGGACTTCTCAAAGCAGATGGGCACAACACACTCTGCCCCAATGTTTCGCGATGCAAGCACTTGGGCAGCAGCGTTTGATAATCGGTCTAACTCTCCATATGTCAATGAGCCATCCCACGCGCTAATTGCTTGCGCCTGTGGCTGCTTGTGACATCGTTGCAAGATCAACGTATGAATGCAAGACAGTTCCGCGGCTGTCAAACCCGGAGAGTTCCATTTATGAACGAGATCAATCGATCGAAGGCCCAGAAAAGCTAACTCTCTTTCCTTTCTATCCGGATCCAGAAGAAGCTCATTGAGAACATGAAAGAAGGAATCCATAAGAACCTCCAGAAATGCCGAGTATGATGAGCATCTGGGTGTGCAAGAGAGCGTATTGCAGCTTGGGTCATATTCACAGATCATGGCCAGCGCATTGTTCTAAAAAAAACCTTGTCAGTCAGTCTTGCCAGAACCCAGAATAGTGACAAGTATAGGCCGACTCACCACCACTGGGGTCGCGCTTTGCGTATTGGACGAATGCGCACCAATCTGGAAGCAGAGCCAGGTATTGAAGGTGAAATCGGTCTCGTTGCTCGGAGACCATGGCTGCACTGGCGACTGTGCCAGCTGCTTGACTTGCTTTCTTAGAGGCTCGTCCGTCTCTGATGGCATTGACCACTGCTCGACATGCGCTGTCGGCCGGACAAGTTCGTCCTTGACATCCTCCACAAAGCCAAATACGGGTGTCTGTTTCCCCGTGTGCTTTCCCAATACGAGACACCATGATACCTTTATGATCTGAACCAGAACGGGCAACCGGTCTGGCTTCCTCCAGTCATCGGGCAGAGATGTCGACGCAAAGGGCCGCGTTTCACGATTATGACTGGTATTTTCCCATGATAACAGACATTCTCGATCGACAGAACTCATTATTGTTCTTCGAACTCGTATGGTGGTGGGTCAGCCTGGTGAGATCCACGAGGTAGGCCAAGCAGCCTACTAAATACATCTGTTGCCACTGAGCATTAGGGATGTGAACCGAGCACAGAGAGGGTCGTATGCACAGCCTGGGTCTCTTACAGCCATTCTGCAGCCCTCCAATGAGTGCGACGGTGTCCCTTGCCAGCTGCCATTCATGAGTGGCTTGGACAGGCGCCCAGAGTCGGTCCTCTAACTGAAAAGGTGATGATTGACCGCACGAAGAAACAACCCAATTTGTAATAAACAGGCTCCAGGTAGCTTTCGTAAGTTGGAAAGAGATTCGTCATTACGGAGAAACGATTGTGACTGATGTCTAGATTTTCACTTTCATTCCTTGCTTGCCTCTTGGTCGGTATCGAGCCTTGCGTGTCTGCTCGCGCGATTCCTAAAATAAATCACCTCACTCGCTCACCGAAATCCTGATCGCATCGTGCCTTACATGTTTCATTGACACCGTGCCTTGCGTTCGCTCCAGCCCGAATACCTGGCTGTGCCTTGCTTGGTTGAGCGCGCCTTGCTTGCTCTCCCTCACTTCGGAACTTTGATCGCAATGCGCCGTCCTTGCATCGGAATGTTTGCAGCTCGGCTTTCGAGTCTGTGACAACACCGCAAAGTAACGTCGGCATCTTTTGCCACTACGTATTGGACGCAATACACACACACATGAGGCGGGTTGCCTGAATTTTCCTGTCCGGGCCTTTCCCTCCCTTACTGCACGGGTTCCATCGGAAGCTGAGAGCTGACGCGAGAATGATTCAAAAAGAGCAGGGGAAGACTCGCACCTTACGATACATTATCCCCAGGGCACGGCTGAGTCTCCAATAGAAGTACGGGTATTCGAAAGCCGGATAGGTCATTGTTCCTGGATTTCCAATGGATGGTGGAGTCAACACGGGGCGACCAGCCCTTCCAGCCTTCCTTGGCCAGCTCTACTCCCAAGCTTTCATAATAGGAACACTCGTTCTCTTGCTCGCTCTTGCAGCCCTTGCAATTGATTATCTCGACCTGGTATCTAAACGCTGGGCGCTGCAGGGAATCCCCATCGTGGGTGAAGGCAATTACTGGAAGCGCCGGCTCAATCGCCTGCCGCTCGCCCAGGACTTCAATGGAACTCTTCAGCATGCATTGGAGACGGTAGGCAACTACCACGGACGCATGCCTGTCAGATTAGCAGAGATTGATTTTTTTCTGAACAGTACACCAAGGAGGGACAGCCGTGGGCTTTGCCGTTCTTTCGAGGCTACATGATCGTCCTGCCGCCCAAGTCGCGGAAAGACTACGAGGCCAAAACACCCGATCATTTCAGCTTTCTAGACTCCGTCAATGATGTATGACTTTTATACCCCGTGACAGGCATTGCTTTGAGTCACATGTAGCTGATTCATGGGTTTTGCCAGGCATTTGGATTGGTGTCGACCTGTCCGATGACTCGGGATCACGTCAAAGCGGTCCAGGTATCTGTCGCTAAACGACAAAGCATGGGTAAGAGACCGCGAGAGATTACCTAGTGCTCAAATTGAGACTGACACAAGTTATCTTTGCTGCAACAGAGTCAATGCACGAGGCTGTGGTCGACGCAGTTGACCAAGCGCTTAAAGCCCTCGCCATCAAGGAGAAAGATCAGGGTAAGTTGGCAATCCTCCTGTTTTCATTGTCTTGAAACCGACCTAAACATCTGACTGATTAGATTGGCAACCTTTTGCCGCCTGGGAAGTCATCTGGTTCATGATGATCCAGGTGGCAACGGCGTACATTATCGGGCCCGACTTCGGGCAGGACCCAACGTATATTCAGCGGTGTGTGGACTTCTGCTTGCAGGCGAGCGAGTTCCGCGACTACCGAGGCATGTTTCCTGAATCCGTGCGGCCACGTCTTGTGAGTCTGTCGCGTCCCGGTCGGAGGCTTCACGCCACCATCGCCAGAGCCAAGCAACAGTTACTTCCGGAGATCCGGCAGCGGATTGCGCGCACGAGGGACACCAAACTGGCGGCTGGCCAATTCCGCCACACGTTGCTCGACGCGAGCATTCTGATCAAGATGAAGAACGGCGCAATTGGCAGGGACGCCGCCCTGGCGGACGAGGAGAAGCAAGCAAGTATCCTCGCCGGCGACTGTCTCCTTAGCGCCCTCGAGATCGCCTATCCCATTGCCGCGTATGTCATCGGGATGATCAACTATTCGATTGCAGATCCCGGGTATGCAGATGTCTTGCGGGACGAGATTCGCGCCGCTTTGCAGACCACGGGGGGCACCTGGACAATCGACATTCTGGATCAGATGCCTCGGCTGGAGAGCTTTGCGCGCGAGACGGTGCGCTGTGATACAACCTCAATTTGTAAGTCATCCGCCCTCTTCCACTACAACGTACCTTTTACTCAAGAGAGACCTCAAAATTTAGTCACCGCCACGCGTCGTCTGCAGAAGCCAGTGCGGCTCGACTCCATCGGGCGAACCTTGAATGAGGGCAGCTACGTCACGCTGCCTGCGCAGTGGTTGCACCAGAACCCCGCCGTCTATCCCGACCCTGAACGGTTCGACGGCACGCGGTTCTACGACTCGGATGCCCATCGGTGCGCCACACGCGTTTCAACCGGAACCCCGGATTTCGTGCCCTTTGGCTACGGGGCCGAGATGTGTCCCGGGCGGGACCTGGGCATGCGCCAGGCGCGGTTGGCCTTCGCCAAGATTCTGATGGCGTACGATCTGGATTCATATCCTGTCCGAGGGCTGAAGCAGCCTAACAAGGCATCTAGTCCTACGGCATCGGTTGATTGGGAGTTCAAGTTACAGTGGAGACGTCGGACGAGTCAATCCTAGTGCGCGATGATGATCTCAGGGCCATGGTATAGTAGCTTCTCAAACAACCTAGAGATATCAACCAGAGCAATTAATGGTGGTAGTGGATTGTTCTACCAAACCAGATCAAATATATAAGTGCAAGCCACATACGTGGGAAAGTAGTTATCTACTACCAGCCTAAAGCTATTCTGTAGTCAGTCACTCATCTAGATTGCACCCCAAACAACAACCACCCAACCGCAGACTAGCCTTCGGTATACGGCGGCGGCGGGGTACCATCGCGTTCGACGATCTCGTCGACCTCGGGGTCCGACATCCCCAGCCGCCAAGCCAGCTGGGTCAATGTCCTTGCGTCCCGAACAGCCCTACCAAAGGCACCGGGCTGCGTGGCTATATCGAACTTTTCGCCGCGCGCAGTCGCGCGCGAGAACTCGGGCTCGATGACCCGGCCACAGAATGAATGCACCTGCAGGGTGAGGTCGGCCTCCGGCGGCTGCGCGACGACCCAGAGGATTCTCTTGGCCAGCGCGCGCGCCTGGTCGTAGTCGAAGGGCCGCGAGCTGCTCAGCCGCGTGCCGCTGCCGTTGTACAGCACCCGTAGCAGGTAGACTAGGTTCACGCCGTCCAGATCGTATTCGCAGGGCCGGAGCGGGGTGATGCGGGCGTTGGGCGGGTTGCGCACGATGTATTTGTCGTTGTCCATTGCGTTATTGGGTAGCATCTTGGTGGTCGTGGGGGTAGTGATGCTGTTGTGTGGTGTGGTGTGGTGTGGTGTGGTGTGGTGTGGTGTGGTGTGCTGTGTAGGGTCAGGTACTGCAGTGGGCTGCATGGGTTTTATATAGCAGTGGGACTCTCTCAGCTGATTCTCTTTACCCAGCATTCCCTCACGATGAAAGCCATTCTTCTTCCAAGAAGCAAGAGACGAGAAGCTCCGGGGAGTGCACAAGGGATGCACGGAGTATAAAGACGGGCGCCTCTTGATGAGCTCGTGGCTAACCGGAACTCCCAGCTTAAGCGCATTGTCCTCGGATATAAATCCCTTGAACAACCTCCTGAACCATCATGCAGAAAGGTTGACACTGCAAAGGGAGACCCAACAAGCCAAAAGCTGAAGCAATCCCACCCACCCATCGCACAGACTAATCATACAGCCCAACACCACCTCATACCCATACCCAGCCCCAAAATGAGCACCCAAAACCCCACCCCCAACCCCAGCCCTAACCCCCCACCCTCAACCTTCAAATACACCCCAACCCAACCAACCCCCATAACTCTCCCCTGGCTCGCAACCCTAACAACCCACCTAGCAACCCACAAAATCCCAGCCGCCCTGATCAACCGCGCCCTCTTCCGCGCCCTCGGAATGAACGATAACCTGCTGATGGATGCGTGCATCGACCTCGACATCCCCGACAAGCACCTGCCCGACGCAATCAAGATCCTGAGGGAGGCAGGCTTCGACGACAAGCCGCGGGACTGGGAGGAAGTGAAACCGCTGTTCACGTGGCCGAGCGGACCGAGTCGGGAGGGCCCGATTACGAAGGAGTTGATCGCAAAATTGTCGAGGTTGGAGGTGGAGGATCAGGCGCATCGGTTGGCGGATGCGTGGTGGGCGCCGGCGCATGTGTTTTTTCTTTGGCGCGGGAAGTATGAACCTGTTCGGGATGGAAGGTTGTGGGGGTTAGGGTCGGAGTGGGGGGGTCCTGATGCGCTGGAGGCGTTGACCGGGCAGGGAGAGGTCGTGTTGTTGAGGTTGTTCGCGCATGAGCGGTTTTTTTGGCATTTGCCGCCGCCGAGGGTGGATATTGAGGTTGAAGAGGGTGAAGGGAATAGAGAGGAGGGGGACAGGGTCAATGAGAATTGGGATTGTTATTTGCTTGTTGGTTGTGGGGGGGTTGATGCTGCGGTGCAGACTGTTGATACTGATATTGATAGTGATATTGATACTAATACTGGCACAGACACTGGCATTGGCACTGACACAAATACAGACAATGCTACTAGGACTGACACTGACACCTCCACAGACCCAGGCAGCCTGACCCCCACCCCCACGACGACGACCACCACCACCCCTCAACTAACACTCCGCGTAATGAAACCAGCCCAATACGTCGAGAGCATGCTAATGCTACACTGGCGCGACCACCCACGGAGAGTCGCCGAGGAAGCACCGCGCTACTCGGCCTCGAACGAGATGATGGGCACAAGCTGGGACCTGACGTACGAGATGCTGCGGGAGCTGGCATGGCGGACGCAGCCGGCGTGTCTGCAGCCCGATGCGTTCCGGCCGATGTTCTACCAGATCTGGGTCGAGGAGCTGAACACCGCGCCGGGGAGCAGCGCCGACGAAGAGATCCAGAAGCGGATCACGACGACCACTTCCCGGTGCGTCGGCTTCAAGAACAGATTGGTGAAGCGGTTGCTAGACGATGGAGCCTTGCCCCCGTCTCCGTTTCCCATCCGGCGGAGAGACGTCCCCGAGACGCTGCGCGAGGCTTATGAGAGGCTTATGGGAGGAATGCCTGAGGAGTCGCCGCTGCCGTGGAATGACGAGCTCGAGGATGGCTTGGACATTCTGTTCCGTCAGCGCGGTCGGCTGATGTAGAGTTCCTGGTTAGTCCGGGGTTTCTATCCTTGGTGATTTGCGATATTCTGGACTCCGTAATCTAGTAGGCTTGGTTCGTAGGAGTTGTTACCTGAGGGTGAAGAAAACTTAGGAAAGTCCACAGGTTTTATTCCTTAATAAAAATAGACATCATCAAAGTAGCACTGAAGACACAGGTGTGACAATCAGAAAAGAAAAGCACCAACACAATGACATACTCAATTGGCTAAATATGTAAGGCAAGCATCGATACTAAGTGAGCTTCCCTTCATAAGATGAAGACGATGACATATAGGTGTTGACTCAGAACAGAAAAGCATCAATACAATGGTTACCCCATAGACTAAACATCCAACCCCAAACCAATTTACCTTCATAAGAGAACACACCGTATAACGACGCCTCACTCCGGCTGGTATAGACAAATATCACGACCTCAGAAACCCCATCGCCTTCCATCCCCGAAAATACCCCCTCACCACCTCTGCATCCACAGCACCCACCCCCGCCAGCGTGGCCGAGTGTTCACGACACCGCACAGTCTCCAATCTCAATCCGCCGCAAGACATCCGTTGGAAGTGCTCTTCTAGGAAGTCCACCATCAGAGATGCAGGGTTTTCCTCGACGGGACCAGAGAAGGTCCGGACACGGTCGATCCATTCCTCGAAAGGGACAGGGGAGATAACTCTATGTTCGGTCTCTGAGCCGTCCCCTTCCGGGGAGTACTGTAAGCCCTCAGCTAACAGAGGTAGCATGGATTGCCACGATTGTCCGACCGGGTTCTCGATGTGGTAGACCGGGTACCTGCTTTCTGCCTCCGTTCCTTGCCTGGGAAGAAGCAGATCCCCCAAGGTAGCTGCGACATCTTCCACAGGAGTCCACGAGACGGCGCCTTTGAAATCAGGGAGACATCCAAGAGTCTGCGAGGACTTCAGGAGGAACGGGAGGTGTTCCTGCGGATTCCAGTATCCACTTACCCGCGACCCTGCTACTTGTCCTAATCGGACAGACATGGCTCGGAACACATGCGGGAAACGGTGGAGAGTCTCGTCGAGCATGCGCTCGCAGATATACTTGGCGAGTCCATAGCCATTGGGGAGAACGCAGTCGAGTGGAAGTCGGGATTCCGGTACGTTGGGGTTACCGGTGTGGAGCGGGTGGTGGCCGACTGTGGCAATCGAGGAGATGAGTTGGAACTTAGTCTGAGAGCCAGTATATACGTGGCTGGCGAAGTCGAGTAAATTGCGCATCACTCGGAATTGAGATTCGAATCCTTCGACAGGGCGTTTGCCGCTCATGGGCCAGGCGTTATGGATGATGTGCGTGGTGGTTGAGCTGAGGCGAGTGTACTCGGCTTGAGTCAGACCGAGGAGGGGCTTCGACGTGTCGGTCTCGAAGACCTGCAGCTTAAAAAGCGCGGAAGTGCTCATGGTGACCCCCCGCGTAGATAGGGCTTCATGCTGACGCTGGGTTGGCGTCTTGCTGCGGGTGCGACCGGGGCGATTAAGGCAGATCACACCAGCAATGTCAGGCCGGTGGGCGAGATGGCTAACCAACTGGCAGCCTAGACTGCCGGTCGCACCAGTCAAAAGTACTATGGCTGCAGAGGACGCATCTTTGAGTGATGTTCTGGGTGCCGGCAGCGATTCCGGAGCAGTGAATCCCTGCGTGTATTGTCGAATGTAGGCGTCCACTACTGCCTGTCGAGCCACCAAGTCGGGGTCAGCGGGTGGGCTTGGGGGTTGCGGCAGGGAACGGTGATGGTGCTCATACCTTGACCCTGGAGAGACCATTGCGACGATGATGCGCTCGATTCCAACGTCAGGTCGGTTTCCATCCGTCCAATCGACTTGGCCATAGCCTGCTGCGTGAAGAGCTGCCTCCCATCGTGACGGGTCGGCCACAGCATGGCATCGACCATCATCGAACAGCCACCACCCCTCGAGAAGACCGAAGATCATATCAATCCACACCAGTGGCTGGGTCATCTCCAGCATCATCAGAAAACCGTCGGGCCGCAGAGCCTTCCGTATATGCTTTGTAGATTCAGTCAGATTACGAGTCGCATGAACAGCATTGCTCGCGATGATGATGTGTTGACTACCCAGCAGATCATCCGCGGGAGCCTTCTCGATGTCATGCACTCGGAACTTCATAAACGAGTACTCTTTGAACTCCTTGCGAGCGTTGGCGAGAAACAGCGGCGAGATGTCGGTGAAGGTATACTCAACAGCGATGTTCAAACTGGCCAAGGCGGGCACAAGCTGCTTGGTAGTGCCTCCTGTGCCAGCGCCCATCTCCAATATTTTTAGAGGGCCTTCACGGGCAGGAAGTCTCTCAATCAACCGTCGCAGAAAATCTTCCATCATTTTGTAGTGTAATCTGTTGAACAGAAAGTCTCCGTAAAGACTAGACACTAATTGCCGGCCCTCTTCGCTGCCGAATATCAGGCGAAGACCATCCGCCTGTCCGGTCAGCACATCGGCCAGATGTCTTCCGGTAAAGTAGACTAGCTTATGGGCTTTCTCAAGGCCAGGATGCTGTCGAATCAGTTTCTCCAGGATGGTCTCACTCAAGTCGTGGGGAACAGGCCTCTGCGTTCGAACAACGATGTTTCCGTCGAGTTTGACCAATCGGCCATCATCCTGCAGAACTTGATAAATGTACTCAACCAAGCGATGATGCTTGGGAAGATGCTCAATGCGTGGCAAGACCTGTCCCTGACGGGCCGTACGCAGGCAGCAGCCGAGCTGCTCAAAGGCCTCAACTATCAAGGCAACACACATTTGAACCTGTGCAGGGTTGATTGTCTCCAAATATGCCGCGCCTCCGAAGTCAGAGATATATTCATCTGTGAGAAACTTAATCTCACTGAAAGCTTGCATGACAGCTTCAGACGGTATCTGGAGGTTCCTGTCCGTGAAGTATGACTTGGCAGTTTCCGGGACAGTAGCGGGGCTTGCAAGCTCACTAGGGGTAGAGAAACCGGGACTTGTAGGCAGTGACTTGGTTATCTTTTTCTCAACGTCGGATACTGTGAGCTCCTGTAGAACCTGTCCATGTGGAAAGTGTAGCCCGAATTTGCACTCCAAATCAGCTGACAGCTCCATGGAGAGAAGTGAATCGACTCCAAGTTCTCCGAGTGGAACATCATTTCGGATATCATGTTCTGCAACCCCCAGGAACTCTGCCAAAAAGGGCATAAACCCACTGGTTATCGAGACATTCAAGTCCCCGGAAACTGTAGTGGCTGAGTCGGAATACACGTCGCTGGCTGACTCCGCTGAGGATGACTGATCATCATCAGACGAAGCAGGCGTGGTAGTGCCACGAATGTAATCAATCAGACTGCCCACAGTTGTGAGATCCACTAAGTCATACATGGGGATTGAGCACTGAAACTTTTGTTCGAGATCCTGACCCATCTCCATGCCCATGAGCGAGTCGATGCCGATGTCGCAAAGCTGCGTGCTGTCTGCGATGTCGAGAGCATCCAGACCAGATAGCTCGGCAAGTACGGCTCTCACGCCTCGAGAAACGTCGTTGCCCGAGGATGAGTCTTTCAACTTCTGAGACCGAGACACAAGGTTGGCTTCCTTCAAGGAACCGACCATATTTGCTGGCCCCATTGATGCTGCACTAACTGTACCTTGGGCGGACACATCTGGAAGAGCAACCTTCGGCGGCATAGCAGGCTGCATTTTCAGATTGGGAGTCAACCTGGTCAGCATCCGACTCATTGCCTGTTTTGACACCCTGGTATACTTGATACCGAGCATGATCTCTGCTAGAGCGCCCGTGGCGGAATCAAAAACGAAGACATCTGTCATGTACGCCTTTTCCTCCTCAATGTATTCATGATGAGCAACAACATCCCACGTCTCAACTTGACCATATCTGGATTCCATCTTAGGAGACCTAACCCAATGCTCGAGCCCATTAGCGATGTACATATCGCTGGATGGGAGGTCTGTCATGCAGTTGACCCAGATACCACCGACCTGAGCAAAGCAGTCAGATAAATGCATATCGAGCCAGCTCTTTCCAGCATGCTTTCTGAGCACACGACCAGCAGACTCGTTGCCCTTTCCGACCAGCTTCTGAAGGCCCTGGTACTCAATACCGTAATCGACGACTTCGGCAAATGCTCGGTAGATGTTTCGTCCTTGGATGATATCGTCCGCATCAGATGAGTTCAGAATGCGCATGCAACGGTCATGGCTACCGACTAGACGCCCGTATCGCGAGAACTCCGCGTGAAACTCGGGTTCCTCGGTCAGACTGAATGTGATTTTCCCAAAAACATGCACAGTCGTGGCGGATCCGGCGCTACCCGAGCTTGCCAGGCAAAAGTCCCATGTGCGACCTCCGGTACTCTTCTCATTCTCTTCGAGGTCTAGCCAGACGGCCCTGGAAGGGTCTTCGCATAGCGGGGATTTGCTCTGGATATACTGGATCCGAGGAATGTATTTTGACTCTCGGAGACCCGGCTGCAAGCTTCTCAAAGCTTCAATGGCCATGTCAATTTCGAGGGTCATCGGACAGATTGGAGCGGTCTGTGCGATGGTATGACCCTTGAGATGATCCTTGAACACCTGGGTTGTGGTATTGATGCGGAATCGAGCTACACGCTGCTTAGGATCTTGGTATCCAACAAATGTGTACAGACATTCCGGAACAGGGTCTTCTCCGATCGGCTCAGTTGTAGGGGTGGACACAACTTCTTTGGGCACCTTGACATCCAACCAATGTTTGCTCCGTTCAAACTGATATACCGGCATCAAGATAGGCCCGTATTCGTAAGTCTGCGATCTGTGATGCGGCCAAAAAGTGAAGTTCAGCCCCTCTTTCCAGAGGGCGGTGGTCATATCGGTGATGTTATCGAGGCTTTGGGTGCCGTTGGTAATTTTGACCGCTTGGAAATGGCTTTGGGCAGGCGCTCCAAGAGCCCGGCGAGCCATACCCGTGATAGTTGAATTCGATCCAGCCTCGAGAAAGATAGCAGACGGATACTTCTTTGCTAACCGCTGCACAGCATGGTTAAAATAAACCGGATTCCGTAAGTGCTGAGCGAAGAAACAGGAACTGAGCGTTTCGCCAGCCGTCTCAGTGGCCCTTTCCATAGGGATCGATGCTGGTGAAAAGGTGACAGTCTGCCCCAGCCTTTTCAATCCGTCCATTAGAGTCAGCTCAACAAGCGTCGAGTGGAAAGCATGAGTAACATCCAACCTCCTTGTGCGCATTGACGAGGAGTCTGGGCTGCTGGAGATAGCTTCAGAAACCGCATCAATGGCTTTGGTTGATCCTGCCACGGTGAAGCTCTGCGGTCCATTATAGCAAGCAATTGTGGCAGTATTCTCTGAAGGGGTAAGCTTGTGGGCTTCGGCCAGTAACTGCTCCACGTGATCCAGGTCGCCCTCGATTGCCATCATCGCTCCGCGCTCCTGCCCCCACAGGTCCTGCAGAAGCTGAGCTCGTGTTGCGATGATGCGAAGAGCGTCCTCCACCTTCAATGCGCCAGAGACGCACAACGCCGTCAGTTCACCGAAGCTGTGACCCACGACGGCCGCAACCTCGACTCCACAGTCAATCCATGTCCGAGCCACGGAGTACTGTATGGCGAACAGCATGGTTTGAAGTTTGACCGGATCTTCCACCGGTATGGTCTGGAAAATTTCGGGATACAGACCATGATACCCCATAGCCTGTAGAATCGAATTGCAATGGTCAAGGTGATCTCGCAATACGCGGACACCATCGAAAACATCGCGGTCCAGTCCGATGAACCTCGAGATTTGGCCACCAAAGCAGAGAATGACCGGCCTAGTCGGCGTATGCTTGGGGGTGCGGGCTACACTGTTGTTGATCTTATTGATGTATGCCATCAACTTGTCATCCAAGTCAGAGATCGAGTTCGCGCTGAAAATGAGATTAGTGGGAAGATTGCGATTGGATTGGCGGCTAGCATTGAAAGACAGATTGGCCAGGGTGACGTTTCTTGCTGAGACGGCCTTGGACCGAACCAAACCCCTCAGCCTAGTAACAAACTCCAGCAAACTTCGGTCATCAAGAGCAGCCAGCCAGAAGGGGTGCTTCAGACCTTCAGCATGGATGGCGGTGGATCCAGCGCCATCATGCTGCCGGGGCTGAGTGACGATCAAGGAGGCGTTCGAGCCCGAAGCGCCGTAATTGTTGATCAGCGCAGCCCGATGATTCACGTCCCAGTTCTTCATAGATGTTGCAATTTCCAGCATGTCAGAGCTCGACGCCTTGAGGTGAGGGCTCAGAGTCTGAAAGCTTGCTTGGGGCGGGATCACCTGCTCCTGGATCATCAGAAGCACCTTAATTAATGCGACCGCACCAGAGGCGCTCTCCGTGTGTCCGATCAGGCCCTTGACAGATCCAATACTCATGGGTGTCTGGCGGTTTTTCAATCCGCCAAACACCTCCAAGATACTGCTATATTCTGCGGGATCTCCGACAGCGGTGCCAGTTCCGTGGGCCTCCACCAAGGAGATCTGCTGCGGGTCCAGCCCTGCTTTCTGTGTGACGTGCGCGAAGAGACTCGAAAGCGAAGGAGAGTTGGGCACAAAGATAGGCGTGCAATTCAAGTTCTGGTATACCGCTGTTCCGGAGATGCACCCAAGAATCACGTCTCCGTCGCTAATCGCGTCAGACATCTTCTTAAGGAACACCACCGCTGCAGCCTCACCCCGACAATAGCCGTCCGCCCTAGCATCAAAGGGCTTACAGGCGCCCGTCCGACTAAGAAATGAGGCACCAGCCAGATTCTGGAACCATAATCCATTGGTCATAACATTTACGCCGCCAGCTAAGGCGGCCGAACATTCGCCAGCCAGGATGGCCTGACACGCCATATGCACCGAGACTGCCGCGGTGGAACACCCGGAATCAAGAGTCATGGACGGGCCCGTCCAGCCGAAGTAGTGGCTGATCTTCCCAGCGATAAAACTCCGGAGGTTCCCGGTGGTTGTGAAAGCGTTCGGTTCATGGCAGGCGACATTGGTCTCATAGTCGGAATTGCAAACCCCCAGATAGCAGCCCACGTGCTGATCGACGTCCGCTAGACTGAAGTATCCGGATTGTTGCACCGCCTGATAGGCGACCTCCATCATCAGGCGCTGCTGCGGATCCTGAGAGGCCACCTCTCGTGGGCTCTTCTTGAAGAATTTGTGATCGAAAGCGTCAGAGTCGTTGAGGAAGTTGCCGTACCACCGGCGGTTGGGGTCAAGTTTGCGCCAGTGGGATTCAAAGGGGATTCTGTCGAGAGGCACCTCCCGGTGTTGGGACTGAGCAGAGCAAAGCAAGTTCCAGAACTCTTCCGGGTCGTCTGCGCCTGCCACTTTGAGAGAGTAGCCGATGACGGCGATATCGTTCTTCGAAGGGGAAGTAGGAGGGGCCATGGCTGCTCTTTCGATGTAAACCCTTGAGGTGTTGTTGTGTTTGATGCAAGGATGATAAGTTCGTCTAAAGTATTGAGCTTAATCGCTCGAACCGGGGTATCTAGCAAGCTGGGAGAATCAAATGCGGTATGCGTGGTCTAGGATGATGATAAGAGAAAGGCGCGTCTAGTCTATCGCGCAAACATAAGGTCTGGATGTCGTCTATGACAGATGAAAGAATGATGATGCCCGATTATGCAAAGTGAGAGCTCTGTTCATTCAAGATTCAGTTCGCCAGAGGCCATGCCAATTATATAGATCTTACCAGGCAGGAGCCTCATCTTGACCACGGATACTCCCATCTTGTTGATGTCTGATTGAGCCATTCGATACCATGCGATAGGACATGGTTACGGCTCCTTTGGTCCTTGCGATTCCAAGATTTGCTGATTCCGAGCCATGGCCCCAACGGCTGCATGAGCCAAGGGCTGTAGGTAAGCTCCTTTGCGAGGTGAGCGCTGACAGCGGACGCCGTGTGATGTGTACTTCATGAGAATACTAGACCGTTGGAAGCATGATCCTTCGAGAACGAGTGTATCAGCCCTGCTTGGAAGTACGTAAGCTGCTTCTCCTCCGGGATAGTCGAATAGTCGCTATAGTGGAGATCAGTTCCGGGACACGGATAGTCCTCGGATGAGCCGATTTGAGTCATTAGGCTAAAGCAATCATGCTAAGGTGGACCAGCTCAGGCGTATGCAGCTGGCATGCATGAGAGACACGTTGTATGCATTCAAACTTAAATAGAGATGAGAAGAAGGAGAAAACTCCGAGATGAGGCTAGACAAAAAAACACCGAACCGAGAAACGCACGTGCCACCCGGAGCGATGAGGCTCTCGTCCGAATTGGCTCTAGCTTCGACTTTATACTTCATACTTCAGCATAAGCCGTCAACATAATGTTCGAAAATAGATAAAGATCGCCATATCCTTAACACAAGTTCACATCTGAGCCTAGGCCTAACCAAAAAGCGCCGCACTTCAATGCTAAACTATCACAAACTCCGAGGGATTACCGGCGCATATGCGAATCCAAGCGTTGGCAGCACGAACAATTGTCCAAGACCCTAGCGTCGAGTAATCTTCACCGCTAATCAATTTGATTGCTCCTATATGCAATAAACTCCAGTCGGATCGGAGATGCTCCAAGTCCGAAACTACTGGTCGCTGTGAAGAAGAGAACGTCTGGTATAGAGTTTCAAGTTTCAATTATCAAATTAGCAGTTCAATCTAGGTACAAGCGAGAATAGCAAATAGTGTAGTCAAGTTGGAAGGACAATCGACAAACTAGCCCCCATCTATGCCCGGATTAGAAAAACAAGGTACATGCAAGTCGTAATACTCCGTAGCCGCTCTGGTGGGGTGTTTCTATTTGGCAATCAACTCGCTCTTCTCTGCCAACAGGGCGCCGAACTCCGCCAGAGACGGGGTTTGGAGGATGTCAAAGATGGACACCCTGGCCCTGAGGCTCGTGGCAAGGTAGTTGCGGAGGTCGACTGCGACCAGAGAGTCGACACCATACTTGGAGAGGGACAGACTCGGGTCGATGACTTCCTGCTCAATGTTGAAGATGGAGGCCGTCTTGCCGGCAACCACATCCACAATCAGCTTGATAGCATCGGCCTTGGACACCGGTCCAGCAGCGAGGGCACGGTTGAGTACAGCAAGACTGTCAGCGCTGCCAGAGGCTTCGGCGCCGTCGGAAGAAGCTCCGCGAGGGGTAGAGAGACGAAGGGTGCCGAAGCGACGGTCGAGACGAGTGACGGAGTCTTCGGGGATAGCATCGTCCCGGGCCAGACCCACGACGACTTGGCTATCAGCGGGGCTAGTGGGGCGGGGCTGCCGAATGGACTTCTCGAGCAGCTCAAGGACGAAATCGACATCGGCGGAGACGGCACCCAAGTGTTCCACACGCTTGAGCACCTCTTGTTCACCCTCTGCTCCCTGCGAGGCAACCCAACCGGCACCCTTGATGGCACTCAGGTTAAGAGCAATGGCAGGCTCACCCTGAAGAGTACGGTGGCGCGCCAAGGCATCTTGGAAAGTGTTACCTGCAGTGTAGTTGGACTGGGAAGTGTGGCCAGCCACACCAGTAACCGAAGAGAGGAAGATGAAGAAGTCAAGGTTGGGCAGATGGGTGTTCAGGTTAATGCTGCTGTCGACCTTGGCCCGGATACCCTTTTGCCATTGGTCGTAGGTCATACGCTCAAGCACCGTGTCCTAGATAATGTTAGTGAATTTTGAAAATGCACATCGTGTAGATTGTTGCTTACCTCAAGGGCCATGGCAGCGTTGATCACACCACGAACAGGTGGCAGAACATCAGCAGTATCCTTGAGCAACTTGACCAGGGCCTGCTCGTCGGAGACATCGCAGGAGCGGATTTGGAGGTTGCAACCATCGGCCTTGGCTGAGGCCTGCATGTCAGGCACCTCAGGGCTGGCCTCGGCCTTGCGAGAAACAACAAGCAGGTTCTTAGCTCCGTTCTCCATCAGCCAGGACACAATGGACCGACCGATGCCACCCATACCACCAACAATCAGGTAGGTTGCATCAGACTTGCCAAGGGAGATAGGCGTAGCATCAGCGGATTCTTGGACATCGAGATCGGGGTAGGCTCGGGAAATGTAGAGGGTTGAGTTCTTCACCGAGTACTCGCACTCACGGTCGGCAGCGGTGAGGCTGGAGTCGAAGCTCTGCTCAAAGACATCCACAATGTGGCCGATCTTGTCACTGGTCCAGGGGATCAAGTCCGTGGCGGCAGTGAAGTCAAGCTGGATTAGGCGCTTGCCGGCGTCTTCCTGGCGCACAGTACGGAGAAGACCCTGAGTCTGCCCATAGACGGGGATCTCGGAGTCGATCGCACCACCGGCGCTCAGCCAGAGGAGGTTCTGGCTGTTGACCAGTAGCTTCTGCAGCTTTCCGAAGTCAGCCTCTCCAATGTGGTGAACGAAGGGCTGCTCCAGTTCCGCTGTGAAGATGATAGCCTTGTCCTCGAATGCCTCGAGCTCATCAAGGCTTTCAGTGATGGGAGTAACACCAGTGCGAGCCTGGATAGCAGTGCTGAGCTCATCAACCCACTCAGCAGGAGGGGTGACTGTCGCGGGGTGGACGATCGAGATGGTAGAGGGGTAAGAAGACTTGGTTGACTTGGCGCTAGTCAAGATCAAGCTGAGAGACTGCAGGCTGGGCTCCTCGGAATCACCAATCTCAAGATCGACTCCAGAGAAGCCCGCCTCGCGCAAGAGCGCATCCCAAGACTCGACTGACTTGGACTCCTTGAAGCTGGGAAGTGTGGCGAAAACAAGCTGCGAGTCGGCACGGTCCTTGGTGGTCTCGATGAGAATCAGCTTTCCACCTGGGGCGAGGAGCTTCTGCACATTGGACAGTGCGGTTTGCGCAGACTCAGTGCCCTGGAAGGCTTGCGAGGCAATAATGAGATCATATCCTCGCTCCAAGGACTGCTCGAGTGGGTTCTTCTCAATGTCGAGAGCCTTGAAGTCGATCAAGTCAGACCAAGCAGCGAGCTTCTGGCTGGCAGCCTGGAGGGAGTCAGATGAGGCAGCAGTGAAGGTGTAGTGGCCTAGAAGAGAGCGGGTGCCGTCGGAGGCACGAGCAGCAAAGGCCTGCAGGACACTCTCAGTAGCGGCAGCCCCCAGACCAGCTCCCAGACCCAAGACCTTGGCACCAGGGCGCTTCACGGCGAAGAGCTCGATGACCTGGGCAAGCTGTGCGCCAGTTCTCTCCTTGAGCTTAGGGTAGTCAGCCAGGAACTCCGGCACCAGGTTGCCATCCTTCGCGAAATCCTGGGGTGCAACCTCGCCGCGGATAATGCTCGCAAGCTGTTGTCCGATACGGACAGTAAGGGAAGCGGAGGCGTTCTTGCTGGCAATCAGCTCATCCACAAGCATCTGCTTCATACCCTTGCTGGTGCGGGCCCAGGTCTTGCTGCGGGGAGCCAGCTTTCCGCTCTCTCCGAGCTTCACAACTTCCTTCAGCCACTCGTACAGACGCTGGATGTGCTTCTCCCACTTCTCGGAAGTCTTGTTGTAGCCGGTCTTCTCGATCTCGCGAACGGCATCGGCGATGTGAAGATAGGTAGCACGTAGCAGCTTGTTCTCGAACTCCGCCTGCTGGTCGGTCGGAGTGATGCGGAGAGAGTCCTTGAAGGCGGCATCCGGCTTGGAGGTGAAGATATCAAGCTCCCACTGCAGCTTGGAAGTCATGGGAAGGTTGGCCTCTGGGTTCTCGGCGCCACGCGGGACGGCCTGGGCAAAGAACTCATCCAGCTCGAAGACTGGCAGCGAGCGCTCGTCATCCTGGTTGATAACGGCAATGTTCGAGCTGAATCCTCGGCTGTCCGCACTCAGGTTCTCGGTGAAAGCCTGCAGTTTCTCGCCGCTGTGGCGGTTGAGGCCACTGCGGATGGTCAACTTGCGCATGGAACGGGGAACGACCATGGAAGATTGGAGGAGCTTCTTGGGCAGGTTCGTGTAGGCAGCCACGACAATGGCGTCAAGGGTGGTCGGGTGAATGACATAGTCATGAGCCTCGGAAGCCACGGTGGGGATGGTAAGGTCGGTGATTGCCTTCTTCCGCACAGTCTGGATATCGCCAAGATTGCGGAAGGACGAGCCGTGGTAGATGCCAGACTGGCGCAGGCTGGCAAACAAAGCATCCTCGCTCACATGGCTGGGCTTGACACCGGGGTGGAAGAAAGATTCGGAGTGAAGGGCAGACTCGGGAGAGGCTTCCTTTGCGCTGTCATCCTTTTCGGCCTTGACGGAACCCCTGCAGTTCACGATCCAGGTACCGGCAGCGGTCAGAGAAGACAGGAGGAAGTCGTACCAGCCAGCCTCCTTGTCAGAGGGACGGAGCTGAAGCTGGGTTTCAACACCGGCAGAGGAATCCGAGATGGCCAGAGCATTGGTAATCTCAATGTCACGCAGCTGGAAGGCAGTGATCGAATCGGTGGGTCCATCAAGAAGACGAGTTGCCTCAATAGCCATTGCGATGTAGCCTGCACCAGGAAGGACGACGGAGCCGTCAATCTGGTGGTCAATCAACCAGGACACGTCAGAGAGGCGGAGGAAGTTTCTCCAGGTCGGGGTGAGACCGTTGTCACCAGGAATCAGACTGCCGAGCAGCTCGTGGGGAGCGAATCTCTTGTGGCGGATCTCCTTGTTCACTCTAGGCTCGGTCCAGTAGCGGGTAGAGTGGTTCCAGGCGTACGTGGGCAAATCGTGGACGAAGTGATGCTTCTCGCCAAGAGGAGAGTTGACAGCCTCAAGGGAAACGGGGTACCCCTTACCCAAAAGCTCGCAGGCAACATTCTGCATGGTCTCAACAGCATTGACACCTCTCTGCAGGCAGGAAACATAGGGGATCTCTTCGCGGCCCTTGAGGATCTGGCGGATGGGGCCAGCGAGAGTGCCGTGAGCGCCCAGCTCGACGATCATATCGACTTCGCGCTTTCCATCCTCATTGAAGCACATGGCGTCGAAAGACTGGCTGAAGAGAACTGCATTGGTCAAGTTGTCGGCCCAGTGCTTGGGACCCAGAGTTTCGGCAGAAGTGACGACCTTTCCAGTGACCGGGGATGCGAAGCGGACCTTGTTCACCCACTCGCCGTCCTTGGGTTGAGCGGCCAGCAGCCTGGTGAGGCTGTCGGTGTAGTCCTGCGCAAAGCAAAGCATGTGGTGGGAGTGGTATGCGAGCGGAACCTTGAGTCTTCGGGCAAAGATTCCATCAGCTTGCAGACGAGCTTCGACCTGCTCGAGAGCGGGAAGATCTCCGGAAAGGGTGACGCTGCCGGGGGAGTTGACACAAGCCACAACAACGCGACCATTGTCGGTATTAGCGATGTATTTCGCTGCTTCTTCCTGGCCAAGACCAGCTGCCATCATACCACCAGAAAGAGACTTGAGAGCTTCGTTGCGGAGAGCGAGCTCACCACGGTAGAAGGCCGCAGCAAGAGCCTCCGAGAAAGTCAGAGCACCAACCGCATAAGCACCGGCAATTTCACCACTGGAGTGACTGGTGATGGCGGACGGTTCGACACCCCATGATCTGAGCAAATCGATCAAGCACAACTGGAGACCGACCGTGATAGGCTGGCTCAGGTTGACCTCAGACACACGGGTAGTCTTCGCATCGCGCAAAAGTTCTTCATACAGAGACCAGGTCGCACCGTGGCCCTTGAGGATCTTGTCAGCCATGTGGACGCTCTCGGCAAAGATAGGATAAGCTCCAATCAGCTCACGTCCCATAGCGTGCCATTGAGCACCCTGACCGTTGAAGACAAAGCCAAGTCGGGGCTTCTTGGTGGCGTGAGACATCTTGATGGTAGGCTCCTTCAAGCGTTCTGCCAGATCGGTGACGGAGCTAGCGCTCACAGCTGCCAGCCATGGGAGTCTGGATCGGCGCTCAGCCAGGGTGTAGGCCAGGTCTCCGAGAGCACTGTCGTCGAGGTGTTCAGTGGCCCACTCAGCGAGGTTAGCGAGCATGCCCTTGAGGGCAACCTTATCCTTCGCACTGACAATGTGGACGCGTGCCCTTGGGGTCTCCTCAATCTGGCGGCCGCTGACACCGAGGAACTGCTCGGGGGCACCATCAAGAATGACGTGGGCGTTGGTACCACCATATCCGAAGTTGTTGATGGAAGCACGCAGGGCCTTGTCCTTGGGCCACGGGGTAAGGGAAGTGGGAACAGTGAGGTTCCACTCCTGCTGGCGGATCTTGGGGTTGGGGGTCTCGTAGTTGATGTTCCGTGGAATTTGCTTGTGCTTCATGGCCCAAATGGTCTTGATAACAGCAGCAAGACCACTGACAGGCTCCGTGTGACCAATGTTCGTCTTCACCGAGCCGATGTAAACAGGATCGTTAGGCTGACGGCTCTTTCCAAAGGTCTTCGCCAAGGCAGTCGCCTCGGCAAGATCACCGGTAGGAGTACCTGTCATGTGGGCCTCAACGTAACCAGTATCAGCAATGTTCAGGCCAGCCTTGCGGTAGCACTGCTGGATCAGCTTGATCTGCGAGTCGATGGAAGGAGATGTGATAGTCTGAGTCTTTCCGTCCTGGTTCAGTCCAGTCTCTCTGATGACAGCGTGAACGCGGTCACCATCCCGGATCGCAGCATCAAGAGACTTCAGCACAAGGGCGGCAACACCCTCTCCTCTTCCGTAGCCCTGGGCACGAGCATCCCAAGCGTAACACTTGCCCTCTTCACCAACCATGCTCAACATGGACATAGCAATGTACAGGTCAGGGTTCAAGATGGTCGTACTGGCGCCAACTATGGACATCTCCGACTCGCCAGACTGGATGCTACGGCAACCCTGGTGAAGAGCGACGAGACCAGCCGAGCAACCAGTATCAATCGACATACTGGGCCCCTGCAGATCGTAGAAGTGGGAAACACGGTTGGAAAGCATGGCGGTACCGTTACCCGTGAGGAAAGGAGCGGGCATGGCTTCGGGGTCACGGCTCTGAAGATCGTGGTAATCCTTGCCGTAGCAGCCCGTGTACATGGATGTGTCGGTTCCAGCAATCTTTTCCAATGGGAGACCAGCATCCTCCATGGCTTCATAGACAGATTCCAGCAACAGACGTAGTTGAGGGTCCATGGCACTAGCCACATCAGCCGGCAAGTTGAAGAAACCGGCATCGAAAAGGGCGACATCCTCGTCAATGAAGTGACCACCAATGGCGTGGTTCTGTTGTAGATGGTCAGCCTTGCATGCTCTCCTCCATGCAGCTTGGGTAGAGGGGTACTCACGCGTCCAGCCCTGTCCTTGTCTGGGTGGTAGAAGGAGTTCACGTCGAAGCGGTCCTCGGGGATGCGAGACCAGGCACCTTCACCGGCGGCCAGCATCTTCCACAGCTTCTCGGGGGTGCTGGCCGACCCTGCGAACTTGCCGCTGATACCAACAATGGCAATGGGTTCGGAGGGGCGGGCACCTGCATTGACAGCAGCACTTCCGGTGGGAGCATGGCTACCGGTAGCAGGGATGGAATCGAAAGTTCCGTTGGCCGACGAGTTGATAGTCATTTTGATTGGTTGTTGATCGTGTCGGATTGATCTGCTGGTGATTGATTGTCTTTGGATGCTCTCTTCGGAGAGTGCAAGGTTTGAGATGATTAGAGTATTAGGATTAAAATGCGATGATGATCGATGATGTTTTTCATGGTAGACGGGCCACCTCCATTGCCATCTTTATAATCTGCAATTGTTGCGCTGCTCTCGCAGCAAACGGGTTTCGCGGCTCCCAAGAGCCCCCGACAGAACGGCATCGTGTGTGCGAGTCGGAGTTGAGTCGAGTCAACCCCAGGCTGAGTTGACTGACCATGGAGCATGTCTGGATGGTGGACGGGTGTCAAGGGTGCAGAAGGAAGGATTCAGATCCTTCGTGTCAGCCTATTCCACCGTGACGGACCGATAAGGATTCAACCCCGCCCCTTCCGCTCCTCTCCGCGGACTTCGGGGTTGGTATGATAAGAAAGTCAACCCCGCTCGGGAGAGTCTGACCAAATCCTGAGTCCGACACAGTATCTAGCCGTGGAAGTGGCGTGGAGGGGGCAAGAGGATCGATGGTGGTTGATTTGTTGAAGGAGAAAGGTGAAACAGAGCCGGTGTTGAAAGAGTTGAAGTTGCTGAGCCCCTCAGAGCCCCTCTTTCTGCACCCTCCCAGAAGAACCTGGTCACGTGAGGGTCCTGCAGTCTGCACAACGCTATGCCACGCACTAATTAGTTAGTCTAGTTCCTGGTTGAATAACTTTATTGCAAAGCTGATCAGGCAATATTGCACTAATGCTGTCTGCAGTAAACGTATGGGATGGTAAGCGGTATCCTGAAGTATGCGCCCTTGACCGCTGGAATTCCGATTGCTGTAATCCGAGCTTGCAATTTCACAAGACATCTCTACGTTGCTTTAGATAGAAATAACTCTACATATCTCATGATAGATGTCACAAAGCTTAGTATGAGTGGTCTTCAAAGAGTATCTATCGCAGCTTTATTCGTATTCTTCCTAAGATTACTACGGTTGTTTATTCTCCCAACGACAATATACAAACCTACGGGGAGTATAAACAGTATACGCGTTACTGAAGCGTACGGTCTCAGCAGCAATCAGTTCATTCTGTTTTTCTTACAATATTAAAACAACTTCAAGCTTCAAGACACTAAAAGTGACACGACGAGGAAGGTATTATCAACGCTCAAGAGTTATGGATGCTTCGAGTCTCAGGCCTTAGAAAGTCACATGATCATTAAATTGGATGCCACAGGCACGCACCTATGGACATGCAGGAGTTTCCTTTGGACTTTCCTGGTAAGCATGGATGGATTTCGCTAGGAAGGCAACAACAAACCAACTTCTTCGCCATCCTCACAATTGCATCTCAATTAATGCGAGAAGGAGGATTATGATATCCCAACATCCTACGATCTCATACCAGATTCGGGATAAACAGAGAGCTCGACCTCAGGAAATGAAAATTCAATTGTTACACAAACATCTAATCTTCTGGAGTAAAAAACATGAGAGCATAGGAGAGATCATTAGGCCCGGGTAAAGTGAAGAGCAGGGCAAATCCAGAACATAAGCAAACTGTCAAAACAGATCATCATCATCGCAAAGAGTCAAAGACATAAGTAGGTAAGGCCAGAAGAAGAACAAGTCAAAGATCAACGATCAAGAGCAAGAAGAAAAAGAGAAAGAAAAAATCAAAACTCTTCGCCAAAAAGTGTGTATCGCAAACAATCTATAGCTAGGCCGGGGAAAACCGCCCCGAGGAAGGCTGTGAAAGTCTATAAGCCTCCATGGTTAGTAGAGAAAACGCCCCGATCGTCTCGCAAGTGTGGCGCTCGCCGCTGAAGCTCTAAGCAGTGATCTCCGTGGCGGTGATCGTGACCTGGGCGTTCTCGCTCTTGACCTTGATTGGGGCCTTGACGGGGGCAGCAATGTGAGCGGCGTTGGTGCTGCCGGCAGTGACAGTCTTGTCGGGCTCCCCAGCCCACCAGGCATCGATATTCTTGCGGTACCACTCGACAGTGGCGCGGAGGCCGTCCTCGAAGTGGGTGTTCTGTCTCCAGCCCAGGCTCTCGAGCTTGGAGCCGTCGACGCGGTAGTCGAGATCGTTGTGGGGACGGTCGGGGATCCACACCAGGCGCTCCTTGAAGTCGGAGCGGGGGTCGAAGCCAAACAGCTCGAGCATGCGGATGGCAACTTCGAGGTTGGTCACACCGAAGGCGGATCCGATGTTGTAGGCCTCACCGTCGACACCTTTGTGGAGAATGGTGTCGAATCCGTCAGCAGCGTCGGCGCCGTACAGGTAGCGGCGCTTGTGGAGACCGTTGCCCTGGAGGGTGAGGGGCTGGTTCTTGGACAGAAGCTTGAAGAAGCGGGGGATGATCTCTGCATACCAGAAATCAGCCATTGAGGGTTAGCGTGCAAGATCAGGGGATACTGACTCTCGGGGTACTGGCAGGGTCCGTAGACGTTGTTGCTGCGGACTATGACCATGGGGATGTTGAAGGACTTGGCGTAAGCGTGGACGTACATCTCGGCGGCAGCCTTGGATGCGGAGTAAGGGTTGGTGGGCAGGAACTGCGTGGTCTCGTCGACGAAGTCGTCGGTGGTCTCACCGTAGACCTCATCGGTGCTGACATGGACGAAGCGGGTGATGCGGCCGTGCTCGCGGACGCAGTCAAGGAGGGTCTGCGTGCCGACCACGTTGTTGACAGTGAAGCTGGTGGGGTCAATGAAGGAGTTCTGCACGTGGGAGTTGGCGGCGAAGTGCATCACACAGTCGATGTTGTACTTGGACAAGGTCTCGGCCACGATTTCCCGGTCGGTCAAGTTGCCCTTGACAAAGTGGAAGTTGGGGAAGGACTCCAGGCAGTCGATGTTGGCCATCGAAGAGACATAGTCAAGACGGTCGAAGCAGACGATGTTGTACTCAGGGTACTGAACGGTCATGTGACGAGTGACCCAGCTGCCGATGAAACCGGCACCACCGGTGATCAGGATGTTGTTGATATCGCGGCGAGGAGCGAATCGGGTGGTACCGATGAGTCTCTGGCTCTCCTCGTGGGTGGAGGGCTCGAAAGAAGTGGCAATGGCCTGCTTGACAAGCTCGACGGTCTCCGGGGGAGGGCTCTCGGGAGGAGTGAGCTGAGCAACCTTCAAGGACAATCCCTTGGCCTGCATTTTGCTTGATTGGTGGTGAAGTGAGGGTAAAAACTGAAGATGTTGAGGCGAGAATGGAGGATTGAAGGTTGTGCTGAAACTGAAAGCTGAAGAAGAAGTCGAACGATTGTTATAAGACTGAGGCTTTGATTGCTTGCCTTGGCTTGTTTTGATTGCTGGTGATGATGAAGAAAAAAAAGCAGGATAGCGGTCGCATCGAGGTCGCTTTTATAACCGACATGGCATCGTCTTTTGCAGCCAGATCTCACGATACGGAATTAGAGTGGTCTGAGTATGGCTTCAGCCTCACGAAGTATTCCTGTCGACTCTGCATGACTCTGAGGGACTAGAATGGGAGAATCTTCAGGCCATAGTCACAGTAGCTTACTACCCCGCGAGAGAGAGAGAGAGAGCAAAACTAGGGCTCGCGCTTAGGGCGACGCCACGTGCTGAGGGGCTGGGCTGGGCTGGACTGGACTTGCTTGCTTGCTTGCTTGCTTAGTACGTCAGAGTCAATTTCCCTGAATCTTGTCTGACTTCACCCTATCTCCTCTTCACGCATCTTCTCTCTCGTCTGCAGCATCTAAATCCTCAGTCAAGTCTGCAGTTCCGCAGTCACTTCTACTCTGTTTTTTTGGTAGCGGTAACTCGTGCCCACCGGAGTCAACACAGGTCGGATTACGCAAGCTACCAGGCAAGGCTAGCCTGTTCTCCTCCGTCGCCAGGTGGCGAAGATGCTCACCCATTGCTACTGAATATAAGAGTCTCCGACCAGCTCGAACTATTCACATCTATCTATCCATCGCAGATCAAAACACCCAAATCCCCCAAGCCCATCTACACCACAATCCTCAATTTCAACAATCGACTTTCCAATCGATCGATCGCTCGCTTCTCCTCCATTTAAATTTCTCGCACCTCTCCTTTCAAGAAAAATAAGCACCCTCTTCAATCATCATGGCCATTGCTATTGACCAACCTCACGTTTTCCTGATCTTCGGTAATATAATCTCTGCGAACGTTTCCCCCGAAAGCCTTGCTTTTTTTTTTTGGAATCTGTAGCTTACTTTCCAACACAGGCACCGGCTGGATCGCCACTCAAATCAAGGAGCTCCTGGAGAAGCAGGGCGTGAAAGTGATCTCCTCCGATGCTCGGATTGAAAGTCGCGAGCAAGTCTTAACGTGCGCACATTTCCCCCCTCTCCCCGCATCTTATCTGTCTCTCGTTTCAGAATGCTCGCTTCGAAGCACCCAATATTCCCCAAACCAGAGCGAGACACGAAAGAGAGAGAGAGAGAGAGAGAGGGCGAAAGAATAATCTATGGAATGCTAACCCCCCGAGAACCACAACAGTGCGCTGGCCATCCACAGGCCCACGCGAGTGATCAACTGCGCGGGCCTGCGCGGGCTCCCCAACGCCGACTGGTGTGAGGACCACAAGATCGAGACGGTGCGATCCAATATCCTAGGTGTGCTCAACGTAGTCGACTGCTGCTTCCAATTAGGTATCCATGTCACTCAGCTAGGATCGGCCTGTATCTATGACACCGACCCGACTCGCGCGCCAGACGCCAACTTCACCGAGGAGGATGATCCCAACTACGCCGGATCCTGGTACTCGTGCTCTCGACTGTTGAGCGAGAACGTGCGCAGACCTGCCCCTTGAGGAAGCAGAAGGACGGGGGAAATGAGAAATGCGAACTAACCTCCCGGGAAAACAGAGCATCAAGCACTACCCCAACCTCCTCCTCTTGAGAATCCGCGCTCCGATCGCGGCCGACTTCAACCCCAACAATTTGACCACCAAGCTGATCAGCTATAAGAAGCTGGTGAACTTGCCTGCGGTACGCTTCGCCTCAGAACCGTCCGAGACTCAAAGACAATGAATGACTGACTGACCGTCCCGTAGTCCGGAACCATTCTCCCCAATCTTCTGCCTGGCGCTATCCTCCTCTCCCAAGCTGGAGACACCGGCATATACAACCTGGTGCGTGTTACCCAAGCCCCTCCCACCGGCTGCACCCCAAACCTAACCACAAGCGAAAAGATCTCCCCCTCGCCCTTCACCAACAACCAGATCATGACGCTGATGAAAAAATACATCGAGCCGTCCCTGAACTGGGAGAACTTCGAGCTGGACGACATGCACAAGGTGCTCAAGGCGCCGCGCTGCCACCCCGTCTTCGACTCGAGCAAGTTGATCAACCGTCTCCGCGAGCTGGGCCACGAAGTCAAGGACACCCCCGAGGCCCTTGAGGATCTGTTCATCGAGATGGCGCAGAAGGGATACGGCCCTGGCGGCAAACTGTCGAGGACCAAGCTTGCCGTTTAAAGCCACCTTGAACGACGGCGGAGCATGACCGAAAGAGCACATTAACGACTTTTCTTTTTTTTTGTCAATTCTTCTTTACTTCTTCATCCGGGTTTCTGTTGGATTCACTTGTTTGTCGCTAGGGCCTATAGATTGTTTTGCCATTGTTGGATTTGGGCTTCCTGCTGCTTGCTGAATGTGCCGCTGTTTCACTCTTTCAGTGCGGAATTGAGTCGTTTAATTCACAATACTTGAGACTGTGTTGGTAGCAATTTGGTTTTCCAGAATGGATATTGATCGGAAATGTCCATATGACTATAGTCCAAAAGTATCATCGAAAAGCATTGGACATTGTCATTTCGAGTCGTCTTTTCATTTCTTTCTTTGTTTTAGAGACAATAGCACCTTATCAGACGCGGGGGATCGCGAAAGGGATTGGCGCCCTCCTCATGTCCACCTTATGATATACCGTCGAATCCGGGCATAAAGCATCCAACCGTCGGCCCCAAATCAAGCATAGGGCAATAGACTAAAATCCGACCCTGACTCTGACTCCGCATTAAGTCCCTTGTTCTCGACAGTCATTCGACAATACAGTCTGTTACTGCAGCGACGAGGGACACTAAACGGTCGCAGTGTCGTAAGTGCAGTGGGCGTATGCTATGGTGGGAATTCCTTCCACATCCCGTGGTCCGATAGACCGGCCCGCACCGGCGGGCCGTACGCTTACGTACCGAGCACCGCCCCAACCTACACATCCTGCAGTCCTCTTCTTGCCGCGAAGCTGTGCAAGCCCCCGTAATTACACGTATTCGGGGGAGGACTCCAAAATCCTTCGGATGGGCAAGAGCCTCGTCTCGTATTCTCGCTTAATTCCCCGGACCCTTGGAAGACCTTGCCCGTTTCGGTTAATTTAATCAATATCAATGCTGTCTTGTCGGGATTGTGCATGAAAACCGCGGCAGAACAGAATCCGTTGCTTGCTGATCAGGCGGGCAAGGCTGGCGGGTCACGAGATCTGGGCAATGTGTATCTCTCTAGCTCAGAAGTGCTGGGCGCGTACGGATGTCAACAGTGCCATTTTGAGGGTCCAATTCTGACACAAGCGACCGTTGGGAACTAAACACCATGCGCAAAATCGCCTAAAATCACGAGCGGAAATGAGAAGAACATTTGGCATGGCATTTCTGTCAACCAACCCTCCTAGGAAAAATGCTCCACACATCCGTCGCGCCCATGTTGATACCTTCGGCGAACAGGTCAGCCCACGGCAGGTCGATCCGAACATCGGGAAAATGGGGGGATATGGTGTGAGTAGAAGGCGCCTCATCGGTTTGAACATACGTGTGCGTCTGGAGCCCGAACCATGATTGAAATTCGGTATCCACGTCTGCGTCCGTGCGGTCTGCATCATCATACAATGTCAAAATCGAGTCGCCCAGTCGCTCGACAATCTGGGAACACTTCTCGCCGACCTCACGACCATTGCAGATTCCACGGAAGAGAGTGAGAAACGTCTGGATATTGGTCTGCACGACTGGCTTCGTCAACTCCTGCCGCAATGAGGCAGATGCTCGCAGCGAGTATAGCATTGTTACGGCTGCCATCAGAAGGGAATGGATCGCAACAAATGTGTACTTGATGCGATTGCGCGCATAAAGCGCGCTGTATGAATTGATCAGCCCGATCGCAGATTCCAGGCATGTTCGTAGATCATGGGGCAAAGGGATAGGAACTGCCCGGGAAGGTCGGTAGAGAGACAGCATAGCGTGGTGGAAAGCGATGTGAAACCACTCCGCCGACTGGACAGTCGACAGGGTGTGTACATATCGCGGAGCAGTAATCAAGCACTGATTCAGGTCGAAGCTGTACCTGTTCCTGAGTTGATCCAATTCGAATGGGTTAGCCCCCACGCCGCCCTTGGGGTGAAAATGCTTATAAACCCCTGCGTTAATCTGGCGAAGTGCAATAATGTGATTGAAAGGAGACATATCCGTCACCTGCGGAATGATCGGCTCCTCAATCGCAGGCAGCTAATCGCTGAGTTGTTGATCCGTCCGTTGTAGCGGCAAGGGAATAGTGATATCCGAGTCCTCGATCATCAATGGTCGACCCATGTTGATAGCCATACTGCATTGCATAACATAAGGCACACCAGAGGATCCGCTTCATCACCTCCGCCTGCAGCATATCCTGCCCGATTAGACTTTCTTTACGGTGCAAGTCGAGCCCAATGACCAGATGCAGCGCCATCCCCGTGGAATACCAAATGTTGCCCGACTGCGGCTCATTGTGCCCATACATCGAAAGCAGTAATAAGCATTGCATATACTCAAGATCGCCAGCTTCCATGATTAGCTGCAAGTCTCTAACAGCATTTTTAAAAAGCTGTCGATGCGTTTCGTCACTGCTCGGTCGGTAAGACCTTTCAGTTGCGGCGATCGCGCACACAATCTTAACGAAAAATCGCGAGATCGACAGGATTTGCGGTTGTGCCAAGAAGGGATTGAGATGTTGCTCCTAGAATGTCGGACGATGTAACACAGGCAAGTACGGCCACCGCCGATCGAAAAAGGCCTCGGAAAGGTTGATATAAGTTTCTTGCCCGATCTCAACCTCGTGGACGATGGGCACATGCCCACCTGCATCGTCGCCCCACAGTTCCCAAGCGCCACTCAACGTGCTAGGATTCACTTTCCGCATGCCAGGGCGATTGGAGAAGGTCGGCGCAGGATTCGTTCACAGTATCGGAGGGCGGTTTCGTCGTACCCTGTGGTTGAATCAATTGAGTCCCTAGATCGGCTGTGCGATGCGCCAGCTCGACTACTGTGGGTAATACCGGCGGGGAAAGCCCTGAAGCTACGGGCTAGGCGGCTGAATGCTCTCCAGTAACTTGACCTGTAACTCTTGGTTCTGTTGGAGGAGCTCACTGCACCGTCGCTCCGCGGCTGTGAGGCGCGCTCGTAAGGAATCGCATTCACATTGCGGGTGGCTTGGGTGGACTACTAATCGGTCCGACATGATACACGAAGTTCCAATTCAGAAATGACCTTGTTGGGATCCATCAGAGGAAAAAAAATAGAAACATTTTCAAGGGACTGAGGGAGGTCTAGTAAGATACTGGGAGGAATTCACAACCATCGAACACTGACACTCATCTCCCCCACCATGCAACTCCCACCTCATCTCGACTTGGTCACTACTCTTGATCACTTTTACATGCTTCTATGAGAACTAGGGTTATATGAAGAGAAGAGAAATATGTTGGTTTCTTCGGCCACGACTGCGGCGAAGGCCAACATGCTGCCTATTAGAATTTCTCGGGACCACAGGGTACATAGTGCTTGCTTGCCCCGAGCCGGCTATTGTGAGGTATGGCCCGCCCTCCTATGAGCGGACCTCTTTCAGGACCGGCATGACCATAGAAGTTCATTTTGACCTTGTTGCCAATTACCTTTTATTGACATACTCCTTCAGCGTGTCCCCAAACCCAACCATGCATATCGTCGCCCAAGCGGCGACTCCTATCCGGGGCACCACCCCGCGGAACAACCCTTTAATCCCCAATGTATTGAAGATATACCTAAAAGTCGACGCAACATTGGGCGACGCTGGACGTGACGGGTCTTTCTTCATCGATTGCACTTCCACGCGAAGGACCTACATCCAAGGAACGGTCAATCCCTCTGCATTTTGATGGGTCAATATGCTTCGGGTAGCTTGGTCCCAGGAAGGCCATCAACCGCCGACCAAAGAAAGAGATTTTTTTTTTTTTTTTTTTTTTTTTTTTTTTTTTTTTTTTTCCCCAAAAGGCTGATTCCAACAGCCCAACGCCCCCCCCCCCCCCCCCCCCCCCCAATCGTCAACGCGAAAAGCTTCTCCTCTCGACCCCTCCCACGCATCGACCGGATAGTCTCCTCGGCGAACCGCGAAATTCCGATTCGAGACGACCACCCGGTGTCCTGCCGCAGTGCCACGGCATTGACTCTTTTGTTCACCACCCGGATACCTTTCTCTCGAAGAATGCGCATGAAAATCTCAGTTGTGCCCGGGGGCTTGGTTTAACCATCCGCCACAATCTTGGACCTCGTCGCTTCCATGGTCTTCATGCAGGTCGTCATGCCCATAGTGGGATAGGCTTGGGCAACACCGCCGCTGATACCGCCGAGGATGCCACAGACGGTTGGGGAGCATAGATCTTGGTGCGAGCGTGATATTCGACCTCGCTAGAGGTGATGATGAAAATGGCGCCTTTGGTGCACGCCTCGAGCCAGGCCTACTTTCCCTGTTTAGATGGTGATGGACGAAAACGTAGACACAAGGTACGGACTCAAGCAGCTTAGTTACGTACCCAAGGGATTAGCCCTTGATAGAAAGCCAAAATGCGACCGCACGCTCATGTCTCTCTGATGGCGTCGAATAGCGTGTCTTGCTGGTTAGCTGCGGGCTGCGGTTTCGTTAGCAAAGAAAAAACATGCTATTGTTGCGAGATCCTACATGGGTCTTGACCACTTCCATAGGCCGGCCCAATGTAATGACTTATGTACCGTTAGTTTACTGGTCATGATTGATGTGATCCTGTGTATACATTAGTACCCTGAAAGATATTCATGACAGCTCCAACGGCCAAATTCCTGTACGGGATCAGTCGTCGCTGCTCAGAGGCATCAAGGCGACCCGCAAAAGAGTCAATGGTGAGAACAGACATTATTGTACTGAGTGGCTCTTGACGCTCGGGTTTGCCTTCCTCGATTCGCCGAGCGAAGCAACCTCACTGTCAAGATCTCCCCAACCTCGCAACGCCTACGACGCCTATCCCCATTCCCACCCTGGTCCGGCCAAGGCTTCAACGACTGCGTCATCCTCATCAAAACCAAAGGAAAATGCACGACCAACCACATAACGCCAGCAGGCTCGCTGGTTCCGCTACCGAGACCACCTGGAGAACATCTCCAACTATACGCTTATCGGCGCCGTCAACGCCGAAACAAACTAAGTCAACTCAATCCGCAACCAGCTCACCGGCGAGGAAGAACAAGCAGTCCCCGCCACAGCCCGATATTACAAGAGTCAGAACCGCCGTGGGTGGTGATCGCCGGCCACAACTACGGAGAAGGTTCCTCGCGCGAGCACGCCGCTTTGCAGCCGCGGTACCTGGGGGGCGTGGCGATCATCGCGAAGTCATTTGCGCGTATCCACGAGGCGAACCTGAAGAAGCAGGGGATGCTGGTCTTGACAGTCGCCGATGAGACGGATTATGATCGGATCCACGCGTCGGATCGCGTGAGTTTCCTCGGGTGACGGAGTTGGCGCCGGGTAGAAATTTGACGTTGAGGGTGGTGTCGGCGCGGGGGGGACCTGGGAGACGGAACTGCGGCATACGTTTACCGAGGAGCAGATTGAGTATTCTCGGGTGGGGAGTGCGTTGAATTTGATGGGGGTGGAGCTGACGGTGCTCTTTAGATCTTGTATACAAATTTCCATCTCACGGGAGTGATTTGAGCACGTAGAGGTCTGGGGTGGGGAGCTTGGGGGGTGAGGTGTTTGAGGAGGTAATGCGCGGTCGAAATGCCGCTGTAGGAGCCGCCGAGGATGACAATGTTCTTTTTGAATGAGTTGTCTGACATTGTGAAGAGGGGCATTCAAAAGGGCTAAATGATCGAAATCCACCAAAGATTCTTTAGATAGAACTGCTGTCTACGTAGTGCCCGTGCATTATCAGTATGTCCGCGGACGAATCGTCCGAAACTCCTAAGCTATTCGTCTGTATTCGTCCGAGTTCTTCCGTACCTAGTACAACACAATTATTACCCTAGAAATTGCGAATCATTAAGGCTATCGTCAAAGGCAATACGCGTACAGATATAGTTGTGTCCAAAATTACCATGTCCATCAATACTATAAACGCTCAATGCAAGGCCCACATCAATACACCTCTAAACCAACGCCTGCAATGCTTGATGTGCAATCTAACCTCTCTCCGCATAAAAGCCCATTTGCCGCACGTGCTACCACTCACCAATCAGCATACTGAGAACAATGGCAAATCCAAGATTGAAGAAAAGGCATATTATGGACAGAACAAACCATCTCCACAAAGATATCTCGGTAAGAGAGTCCCGCCTCGAGTGCCACGGAACTATCTAGAATTGGCGAGGTGGCTGGTCGTGCGGAAAGATTGACCATTGTCGGTTCTAAGGGGGTACCTAGGAGTATGTGAATATGTAAGGTGTCAGCATTATCTAAGTTACTGAATGTATCAGCCCTAGGGTCGAGACTAACCAACTGCGTAGGTCTGTGGGGAGGAGCAGTAGCGCCGGTGTCGGCGGTAATACTTCCAGATCACCAAAAGCGATGATGGAGCAGTCACCAGTAGCGCGACTAAAGCGACGATCGTTTCGGGCGACCAAGAGGACATTTCGATTCGGGTTTGAGGAACTGTGCTGCGCTCCTTATGAGCTGAGCGAAACTCTAGAGGCTGTGTGAGAACGGTCTGTTTCGAAAAAGTTGAGGGTGAACAACCTCTTAAATATCATCGTCTGGGAGCCTACAAAGATTTTTCCCAACGAACCACTCGAAGCCTACCCGACATGCAAGTTACTGAAGTCATAGGGAGAGGATTGATCCCCGTGGACAGTTGCCAATTACCCCTCAAAGACATGCAGCTTATCCATTCTTGGCAGACAAACTAGCCTGCGGGTGATTGACCCTCGGATTTCCGCACGTCCATCTTACAGGACAGGGGGCCCGTGGCGAGCATACAAGGCACTAAGCACAAATACGGTGAGTTCGGGGTGCATGTGCCTGGCTTGGATCTCACCGGCCAATAGCAGCAGCTAAACGAGCGGTCTGTACAGGCACCCGTCAGATCGAGGGGATGTATAGCAGCAGACGGTCGCGCTATTCATGTCGCCCATCCGGACGAGGCCCGGCAAGTTAAATCAGTGAGGCAATGGCTGCCTGCTCCTAACCTCAGACTCTATACGCTCCTAGTAGAATATTCCAGAGCTATTGATTTTTTGAGACTAAACTCATCTTTGAAAAGTGATTCTGCCTTTTGAATTCACCTCGATTTGGATGGAACTGGGGGGAGGTTCCGGCAGCATGGATGATTCTTGACTGTGTCATAGCCGAAAAACCCAGACTATGCAAAGGCATTGGTATAAAATGCGGCTGCATGTTTTCGGTAAGCCATGCGGTCTTATTACTCTTTTTACTATAAGGGAATTATTTAAGTCATTTCCTTAATGTAAATGATTTTTGAAAGTGTGATTTTTATTTTAAATTAAAACTCTTCCCACCTGTTTGAGTTCAAGCTAAGACTTTTCTGATCCGATTTCTGTCTGTCAGTAATCTGGATTATAACCTCTTTTCCCGCTTTTGCATATGCGAAGATAAATAGAAGTGAAATATACTGTTTTTAACCCACTATCCCTTCGGCAATTTCTGTGGGCGGAAAAGGGAGAATCAGCTTAGAATCACCACAGAGCTGCCAGAGAGATCTAGTGCTGACGTCGCTGATTCCCTGCTTGATTATACCCACAGTATTGTGGAAAGAGGGAATCCGAGAGCAACGTGCCAGATGATATCTGTAGGCTGAATGTGACAGGCTGGTCAAGACTATCTCGCAATCTGGCGAATATCTAGGCTCGGAGCTTCTATGCTGAGTATGTATGTTCAGTAAATAGCATGCGCAATAGTAATACCTTACTCACAGGCCTGTTCTAAACAAACATAGAACCCGAAACTACCTAGGTAGTTTTCGACTACTTACAGAACACGGTTGCCCCATCCATGGTTCTTTTCCGGGCCGTCAGCGTCACACCCGTCTACTCGATCGCCAACCATGGAAAGCCCGACCGAATCCAGCATTATATACTTCTATCATAAATACTTCTAACAACTGTAGCAGAACAAGCCCCAACAAAGATCCCAACTCCTCGCAAGCATTCAAATGGAAGACATTAGAACCCTCAAAAAGAGAGCCCTAGTTGTTGTACACGCTTCATCATCAATTAGCTGCCGTCCAAACCAGAATATGTAACTTCTTGACCCCAGAGATTATTGGAGGCTGATGGAAACCAACCACTTCAATGAGAGTATCTTGATAGTAAAGTCCAGTCTCGAGTGACTGAGAGGCGCCTCGTCTGGATGAGCTCAGGTACTGTGAGGGCGAGAGAGAGTTGAATGATCTGGGATCGACGACTGGATCTAAAATACCAGGGGAAAACGGGTCGGTGTGGAGTCCCAGCAATAATGATTGGTGGTGGGAAACTGACCGACATGATTGGCGTGGGTCCGGGGATGGTGACGGCGGCGGTGGTGATGCCGCCGATAACACTCCCAGATTACTAGTAAGAAAGAGGGAGCAGTGACAAGGAGTGTAACCAAAGCAATAATTGTTTCTGATGACCAAGACATTTGTTGTTTCACGGGTGGTCGAGGAGTGGGCGCCTTGCAGGAAGTATTATGTCTGATAAGATGGAAAGGAAAAGATTGTTGAATAGTCAGTGCGATATTTTGATGTCGATCAAGAACTATTTAAATATCTACGATTCATCAGCTTGGCTCTAGGCTAGCGACGGGAAAGAAACTCTTGATGTAGGACGGTGAAAGGAGGGTGAAGTTGTAGTAAACTGTCGCAACCACTGAGGTCTCTTCACGTCATAAGCTGGCCGCCTGCGCCCCCATCCCCCCCCACCCCGCGACACCCAGTACGGCGGCGGACGATAACGGCAGTATTCGGCAAAATCGCCGTAATGGAAGACGCGTTTGTCCTGATCACATGACACAGGTCCGGCCTCTTCCTGCACGCCATGTCGGAGATTGTGGTTGTGCACACGCAGATGTGCAAATAGTGGAGCGAACTGCCAGGTGGTACTCAGCATCTATTACATACTGGCACACAGCACTCCAGACAATAATCAACACCATGGTAGCATACCCGCGGCGCCAGTCACAGCCCGGCTTCTAAGAATCGACTCACGCAGTATCATTAACGAGGGTAAAAGAGTTACTAAGATACATCTTCGTCGTTATTCATAACCATGCGCTTTTATTTGTTCTTTCATTGGCTCAAAAGACAACCATGCCGGCCCTGCCGGGAATTGTGAGAGCCTGAGGCCTCAATTCTCGCTCAACGCCTTGCCCGGCCCTCGGCCACACGTAGATAGCCTCACCGAGTTAGCCAGAATACATCTCTCTTCCAGGCCGCTATCAGGAATTATCCAGGCTAGCGAGTAAAGCCCGAGACAGTGATAGCTTCCTCAGGCGAGAGAGCTATACAGTAGGGCTTCCCAGTAACTTCCCAGCAGCTTGAACTTGAGGATTACCTGGAATAAGAACAAGGCACAGGCAGCAATAGCTGCCTGTGGTAAGGAGTAGATAGTTGAACTTATTATAATAAGCCAGTGATTTAGACTGCGTGGCAAGGCACGGAGCGCGACGCCTTTAGAAAGCCTTATTAGTATATACTCTATCATGAACCTCATGCACAGGTACACGCATCAAATGCACGACCAAACCAAAAACGTACGAGACAAACAAAAGGTCTCATACAAGATATCATACAGAAACGCCCAAAACAAAAAGCCAAAATTGAGTTAGATCGCACGGATATAAACAGGTATCATAATCATCAAACAAAAGAAAAAAGTCAAGTCTTCAAATGTAAAGTCAGCGTCACCTGATCCCCCTCCGACGAGCCGGCACCGGTCTCCAGAATGGCCGCATCGCAGAGGTTATGCATCAACTTCTTCAGGTTGCCGCGGGAACATCGAACCGAGTACTCGATCCCATTGTCCAGGACTGTACCGGGAACCGCGCACCCGGTCAGATCCATCGGCTGCGGGGTGGACACGAGCACCTGGGCCCCGTCGGGAGTCGCGTTCTCTGACTCACTCGCGCTGTCGCTGCTGGTACTTCGGGAGGAGGAGGCGGCGGTAGCTGTCTCGCCGGAGACGGGGTCGATCAGGCTCTGCCAGACTTCCCATTCTAGTTGGTTGGCGTCGGAGGTGTGGTGTGTACTGGTTTCGTCCCCGGGGACCAGCACGGTGGCGCTGGGCGGCGTGGTGAAGAGGTCGTGCGTCTGGTACTGCACGTCATCTCCGAACGCGGTGCCGGTCATCGTGCCGAAGATGTTGGTCAGGTCCATGTACGAATTCGAATTGGAGCGGCTGCTCGGGCGGGTCGTCGGCTTGCCCTCGGAGATGGAGCTGTGATGCGAGCTTGCGTACGAGGTTCTCGAGCTACTGCCGCTGCTGTCCTCTGTGGGGTGCATCCCCGTGGCACGAGGGTCAACCCCCAGGTCGAAGAACGGCGTGAAGGGGGTCTGTTTGCTGGCGCTGTCGGCCCCGGTCGTGGTGGCCGCTGTGGAACATGACAACAGTCGCGGTTGCTTGGAAATGGAGCCGCGACGTTTTAGCCGTCGCATGAGAAGCGAGTAGCGGTTCTTAAGTGCCTGTGGGGCGCGGGACCCAAGGAAGCTGTTGGCCATGAATTTCCAGTTGCGGCCGTAGATGTCGACGAGTTGGAGAAGAAGTTGGTCCTGCGAGAAGGAGTCTCGGTTAGCCAGGAGACTAGATACGATGCTGGTGGTGTTTTGGCATCTGTGCAATACTGCGTCTCAACATACATACCTCCTGTGGAGTCCAAGGGCTGTGGTCGAGATCGGGGTTCAGATTCTCGTTCCAGCGTTTGGCGCACTGATCCCCATTGCGGGTCGCCACGGCAGCCGCAACGACCACCCAGCGGGTACCATACTGCGCAACGGCTTCTCGGAGACGCTCGTCCTCATCTGGGGACCAAGTGCCGGTGTTGAGGCTGGCGGGGGTGAATGAGTCCCTGCTGAGGGGCATGGTGCATCTGCATATCAGTGGGGTAAATGGTTGAGAAAACGTGGCCCGGCGCGCACAGCAGCAGAGAAGCTTGGAGGTCTAGAGTGGAGAGGAAAAGAAGAGGAATCCATGCAGAAGCAGCCGGCATTCATGATGCTTTTGTTCTTTCTCTCAATAGCGCCAAGCTGGAGGTTAAGTCCTTTGTCGAAGATGGTTGAACTCCGTAACGACGAGAATGGTGAGATCCTTCAGGCGTACTGTAATGGAATCCCTGCCATGGGGTACGATACAGCAGGAATACGTGAAAGATACGATCCAAAACCAATCATCACGCACGAAATCCACTGAATCCCGGCGGCGGGTAACCCCGTGTCAGGATGAAAGACAAGCCAGGCGAGATTGTCGGAGGATGAAAAGGGCTCGGCAACGGGACGTCGGGGCTTATTTGTGGCTTATCGAGAGCCGCACAGGACAGGCAAATGCCCGAGTTCATCCTTCCGAGGCGCCCCAGAGCCCGGCAACAACGCCACCGGAAACTTATTTACTTACATTCCTGGCATCTGTTTGACTCTCATCTGGCTAATTTCACCGTGAAGGATCTGTCCTGAGAAGCGCTGCAGAGGTGAGGGCCTGCAGATCCCCTCGTGGTTGGCTCCCCCACGTGTAGACTGCCCCTCCTAGTACGATCCTGGTGACTCTGCATGTCCTCATCTCCAACAACCCGCCCTGGGCCCGGTTTCGTCACCACCTATGCAGTAATCTTCACGATCTGCGGCTTGAATTTCTGCACTGACTGAAACAGTGTCAGCCGGTTCTAGCCCTCTGGACCGCCCATCTGGGTGGTTGACCCTGGAAAGACCACATCGTCAACCCCGGAATAGCATCGTACGACTAACCCTCCCAGTTCAGCCCATTGCCCAAAGAAGCTGAACAACTATCTATCTGAGTGAACACACATAGCCTCACTTATAATCAACAATCAATTCACTAACAATACCCCAGCAAGGCCGACCCCTAGGACAACACAAGACCTAGCACCCTCTGCCGGACCCTGCAGATGCCAAACCGCTATGCTTCCAGGAGGCTTGAAAATCTCCCAGCAGATCTTCCCGCGCGCTTTCGCATCACACACCAATGAAAATCTCAAACACCACTACAGAGACGCTGCAGACCGCGTTAACCGGAGTCAACCTATCTAGATGACCCTCGGGACGAGCAGCCAAGGTATGCACGCTCTACAGCTTATGGTCCGGATGAATGCGGCTCTTCGTATAGTTTCCCACATCTGGAGCGAGGTACCGCTTGGAAGATAGGACGAGTACTCTTCTTCATTGAGTGCCCGTGAAGGAACTGATAATGCTCGGGGCTTTCGATAAGCTAGGGGTGTCAATGCAACTCGATTATGTTTCCAGCATGATGGTTAACTGTGATAACCAATCTTTTATCCCTATTGCCGATTCTCTGTGGTTCTTGTCATCTCTGACCTGATGCATGTCACTCTGCCGGATTATGTGTTATTCAAAAACAATGATATCTATTATCTTGTCACCGAAAGACAAAAAGATATGCAGTACCCGAGTCAAACCTCTCCTGCTTAGGCGATTGACTCCCATCACTTAATCAGCTCCACCCACGTGTTTGACGTTTTCGCTCGGCAATGGACAGTCTTTCGAGATAAGCTGTTACCACAGGTAATAGATGAGCAATTCAGGAAAAGGCTCGGTGGTGGGCCCATGCTACTCGTTGATTAAGGTGTGGGAGGCGACCGTTGACTGAAGATATTGGGCAGCACGGAGTACTAAGTCTCACCAATGTTGTTCCCAGCAAGAGAGCGCTTTCAAGTCAATGAAAGAAGTCTGGTTTTCCACTTCTAAGGACTAGTATTCTAAATATTCTTTCCTAATTGAGTTGCTTTGATTGTAGCACCACAGCCCTTGTCGGATACTACTATTACTACTATTACTACTATTACTACTATTACTCCTATTACT